CCCAAAAGAACAAAACCAAACCATTCATCTATTCCCCACACAATTCATATACCTCTTCCCCGCTCCCCACCCCCCTCTACCCCACCACCATCCACCACTACCCTATCTCGATTCAGATTTCTCATATCCCAAACAGTTTCAATTTTCAGTGTTCAATTCTCGCATTCGATATCCTCCCATCCTCCCATCCTCCCATCCTCTCACCCTCATCATCCTGCAAACAGATTTCCCATTCCCCATTCCCTTCCCACTACCCTTCTCAAACCCCTTCAACTCCCTATACCTTCCAATAAAACCCCTCTGTCCCATCGCCTAACTCCTCACACCCCCACTCCCACCCACCACCAACTCATAAACCAAATACACCAATACTAACACCTATGCCCATCCCATCCCATCCACATTGCCATTTCATCCACATCCCTTCTCTCTCTCACATAAATACCTATGCTCCCTCTCTCCTTCCCATCCATCTCCATCATCTCCTATCTCCTATCTCTCTCTCTCCCCTCTTCCATCCCTTTCGCCCTATCCTTCCACTCTCCCTCCACCCCTTACCAACCCCCATAACCCCACAAAATCACCTCCCCCCTCGTCCCCCCCCTCTCCTCCATCAATCAATTTCCCCCTTCACAGTTCCCCAGCCTCCAACTTCTCTTAGCCTCAGCCTGTAAACATCGAATGTAAAGACGTGCACACTCGCGTGTACATTTCTAGAATGCACACCACGCCCACTTGATCACTTACTTATATTTCACCTTACTCGGACCTCGCATACAGATTAATCACTTTGGCACTCAATGCTTGCAACCACAACATACTCATTATCACGGCATAATGACACAACATGCAAGGGTCTAACACAGAATTAGTCTATAAAACCTCATATTCTCTGAACACTATTCAAACCACCATCCATCCATCTTCACAATCTATTTATTGAATTCGTGGCGCAAAACAATCAAGCACAAGGAAACTTTTCGGCACATGATAATCAAATGAGATAAAACTTTGAAGACAACAAGATCAAAAGGAGGAACAGGGAAAAATTGCTTAGGTAATAAAGTACAGCGGCGACTAGTTTGTCTTTTCTTTTTTATGGCAAACTATCATTGCAAGTTGCTCCAACACCATAGCAATGGATGTCTGTAACAACTTCAACCTTGTCGCTTTTCAACCACGGCGACCGACCCCAAAGGCGCTCATTTCGCATTATCATCAACCACCACTACAATCAACCCCCCCTGACTCCATTCTACATACATTTACTTGAATGCCTTTCCGAACATCAAGACTTGCATTTGATCGTAGATGGACAAGACACCAGCACCTGCAACACCACGGAGAATGTTGGCACCAGCACCCTTGAAGAGAGACTTGAATCCCTCCTTGGCAACGATTTGACGACCAGCATCCAAGGAAGACTTGTACTTAACGGCCTCACCAGAAGTCATCATCATACGACGACGGATGGTGTCCAATGGGTAAGAAGCGATACCGGCACCAGTGGTGACAGTCCATCCGAGCAAGAAGGATGCAAGGAAGTTACCCTCAAGAGGTCCAACAAGGAGGACTGGCTTGATGGAGTCGTACATACCGAAGTAAAGACCACGGTAAACGACGATACCAGCAACGGAAGGACCGAAACCACGGTAGAGACCGGCAATACCATCGGAAGCGAGGGTCTTCTTGTAAACATCGACCAAACCGTTGAATTGACGGTCACCACCGGTCTTGGCGTTCTTGTTGTCGTTGGCAAGACGGGTACGGGCGTAATCGAGGGAGTAGACGAAGAGGAGGGAAGTGGCACCAGCAGCCTGTTTGATTAAATTAGTATTTGTATGACCAAAAGAATTCAAGTGGAAAACTTACACCACCGGAAGCCAAGTTACCGGCCATCCACTTAGCATATCCATCACGGTCCTTCTTGAAGTTGAACATCGACTTGTAGGTATCACGGAAAGCGAAGTTCAAGGCTTGTGTAGGGAAATAACGGATAACGTTGGCAGTGTTACCTCTCCATAAGGAGGCAACACCTTCTTGTGCGGTGGTACGCTTGAAGCACTCAACGATACCATCGTATTTACGGTCAAGACGACCAGTCTTCAACATCTCATCCTATAGAACGACTGTATTAGTAAATGTAGATTATAAGGTGGGATGGATTTCTCTTCGGGGTAATGATTTTCCATATTTTCAGATACCCGAAATAGAAATTGTGCACATTACTTCAATCTGTACATATGCATGTGCAAATTGTTGTATCCGAAAAAAAAAGATCAAAAGAAATATTCCACATGAACATACCTGGTTTTGGATCAAGAGCTTGACACGCTCGATGGGAGCAGCAGCGGTCTTGGAGACGGCAGCGGAGACACCACCCACTATCGCACAAATCAGTATTGTGAAAATTATATTAAAACTCCTCCAAAATCAATTGTTGTCTCAAATTTCATCGGAACAGGTTGTGAAATTTGTCGATTTCGAAGTAAGAGGAGATAAACGTACTCAAGAAGTCAATGACGAAAGGTGGACTATTGAAAGATTGTCAGTATCGTGGTTGACTTGAAAAGATTTGTTTGTGGGAACTCGGGGCCAGAATGGAATATTTGTTTAATCAGGAATGCCATTGAACAACGACGATGACTTGAAGAATTATTGATGTGGGATAACAAAGATCTGGACAATATTCGAAAAGTTCCAATTGATCTCCGTCTTGTTTCATCTCTCGATTCCATATCGATATCGTTGTCGATGTGGCATTCCGACAAATCAATCAAAATCCCATCCATATTCGAGCCCTTTCACGAGGAAAACGAGAATCCAGAATTGGTAAAGGAAAAGAGTTATCACTTACACGCCCATGACGGACTCCTTCTTTGGTGGTAAGTTGCTCATATTGACGGTATTGATGATCTAAAGATCGAAAAAGGATTGAGAGGAGATGGTATTAAGGTGGTTGATGTTGGAAAAACAAGAAGAAGAATGGGAAGAAGAAGTAGTCTTTTTGGCCCCAGGAAAAGATTTTATGTTAACAAGTGTGAAGATGGACAGCTTCCGAAATTACCCACAGAGACAGTGCGCTAAGTGGGAACTAATGACCAAAAGGGCTTAGTGGCTGAGCCGGGCGCGAGGAATTTTTTCTATCCTTAACTTTTCCATCCGCTGCCCGCACTCCCGCACTCTACCGTAGTAGAGTAGTATAGCGAATAGACGAATAGACGAATAGACGAAAGAGATAAAGAGAGAAGAGATATCCATGTCGAGGTCCTTTTGGGCTGCATTGGTAAAGGGGAAAAATGTTAAAAAATATCCAAAGTGTGAACTGGACTCTTCAGTATCGATTTTTAATTCTTTTACATTTATTGATATCTATTGGCTTACAATTATTTTGTTGTGAATTTCTTCAAGTTCATAGGTCAATTCATTTGTAGTCCTTTTTCGCTTCTGTCTTACTCCCATCCGCATACACAATCCCATTCCTTCACTCGCCTACAAACTTCTCACCCTATCTTTTCCGAGGGGTTGGTCTTGCAGCCTCGATGAATTTTCAGGACCAAGGGTTCTGGCTCCTAGGCATATAACATCAGCGAGTTACCTACCTTGATACCGTTATCATGATCGGAAATTTATCATTTGCATCGAGAGTAAAGATTCTTCTATAAAACATGTCCCCGTTTCATAACTTCCACTTTGTCTCCATTTCTTTTTTTTCCGTTCACTCTAGGAGAAATTCCTTGTTTTCAAAGTATTTAGTGTACTTGATTGGTGTTTGGGACTGCAATGTCATGCTTTGGTGGGTATGTTAATCTTTGGCGAGTCAATCAGTAAGCGTGGAAAAGTGGTGGTAATGATTGTTGATGAGGTATTTGTATACGAAGAAACAGAACAACCATGATTGAGGAATCGACATATATGGATAAGTAGGTTGGGCTCGGGGATAAGATGAGACTGCTCAATGAAATGGATACGGTACGCTTGAGATTTACTCGATGAACTCATTCATCACATTGATGGACTGGAAAGAGTATAGAGTCTACCCAGCGAATTTCCTTCTCTAGAGTTGCTTTGGTACCGAGCAAATAGTGCTATGTGATAGGGGAAGAATTTGGGCTAACTTCCGAGAGAGCTCTGGTCTCAAGTTAAACCTGATAGAATCACACAGTTCATGAGAATGACGCTCCGCTGGCCCTCCGGGGGCCACTGCCGTGGAGGCAGAGCAGACTAATTGGAAGTCAATATCAAGTTGTGTTGATATACTTGGATGCATTGAGAGACTCGACTTAATGACATTGCCTGTCAAGAAAAGCTTCAAGTAATCCGAGAAGAGAGCCGTCTCCAAAGTCATCTTCAGGCACACGACCATACCAACGGTGAGATCGAGTAGTGTATTTTACGGAGTTCAATCCAGGGAGTATCATCAACTAATGGAAAGTACCTACTATGACGTCCTTCTCCTCTGGAGCGAAGCGAAGAAGCCTCCACGGCAGTGGCCCAGCGGAGCGTCATGCTCTTCCTGGATGATATAGGTAGGCAATACGGCTTTGAATTCTCATGATAATTGATAGATGCAGAATCAAGGATCGGAGGTACTGTCATTCTACCAACATAATTAGGGTTATAGACAAAAGAACCAATCAAAATTCAAGCATTGAGATATCACATAAAAGAATCTCTCTCTTTATACATCTTCAGATGTCCATCATACCAATCATTCATGCTCTTCACTCTGCACATAAATTTTCGTCCCATCTTTCTTCAGACCTCGGGACTATGTATTAGTCAGCTTCGGCTCTAGATTCCATCTTTTGTTGTTGTGGGAACCAACCAAGACTAGTAAATGAAGTAAACAACCCAAACTCGGACCACAATTCACAATAATATCTCCATAAACTTAATATCAGAGTTTGTACAATCCTTTTTCAAGACATCATACTGACTGATAGATCTCTGGTTATACAATCAAATCCATTCAACTTGACTCTGACTCAAATCCAATCATGGATTCACCTAAAAAACTCACAGAGAATTGTCCTCCAGGTTCTCCATTAAATCAAATCTCTCCTGAACGTGCCAATCAACAAAAACAATGGGATTTACCAACATCTCCTACCGCTACGGAGAAGGGTTCGAAATCGAGTAAACATTCAAGGGATAGTTCAGTCAACGAGAAGATTGCTCAATTCAATTCTTTGGCTTATCAAGGGAAACAATTGGAAAGAAAAGCAAATGATGCGGCTTTGAAGCGCGCCATGGTTGGGAGAGAGGAGGCGGAGAGTGAAATGCGCAGATATAGGGATGAGGCTAGGATATTAAGGAGACAAGTTGAGGAAGGAAAAGAACGGGAAAGAAAGGTTGGAGAGAGACTTGAGAGTGTTATGGTATGTTATCGATTTGCGCGTCATTCTGATCATCTGCTAACCTCTCATCTTACAGGAAAATTATGGTCGAGCCAAGGAAACACATGCACACACACAAGCATTATGGGAAAAGGAAATTCGAAGAGCTCGAAAAGAAGGCTTCAAATCACAATCGGTCGTTGTCAAATTACAAGAAGAACTTAAGTCTTCAAGAGATACATTGAGGATGGTTCAAGGTGGTTTGGAACAAGAAAAAGCACGAAGTGTGAAGAGGGAACAAGAAGCATTTACAGCAAAGTATCAACTCGTTGAAGCGCAGGAAAAGTTGACAAGATTACGAGAGAAGATTCAGTTGGTTGAACAGGAGAGGGATGCATTTAAGACGATCGCTAAGAATGAAGAAATCGCCAGAATCGCAGCAGAAGGACATATACCATTACCGCAATCCACCAAGGACGAATTTCCATCACCAAAGAATGATCAAAGATCCATAGATGCTATGGCATTGGCGTCTGGCGCTGGTCAAGAGGAACTCGATGAGCTTAGACGCAAATTGGATTGGGAAATTCAAAGAGCAAACCGAGCCCTTGATCAAGTCGAATTTTTGGAGATGGAATCTAGCATTCATTCGTGCGAACCAAAATCCAACAAAAGAAAGTCAACCGATACACAAGAACACCGTGAAGAGTCGACAAGAAAATCCAAAACTCAAAGAACAAGTACAGTTTTTGTACCCTCTGAAGGTATCTTCAAATCTGTACCTGAAGAATCCGTAGCAGAACCGGCTGAGAATACATCCTCGGACACCAAAATGCATTTCGAACAAACATCGGAAAATTCTACTCATAAACGAAGAGAAGTAACTCCTTCTCACGATCCGCCATCTGCGGCTCTCATTTCCGATACCAATACTTCATTACTCTCTATTTTTGATGAGCCAACCAGTCCAAAAGTCACCAGATCACTTCAAAGTCCGATCAATCTCCCTGAGAACGAAGTCAAAGACGAGGCCAATCCCGAAGATCTAAACGGTTCCACTTCAACCACAATTCATCACCCGCAAACCCATGAATATGAAAATCACGAACATGACCACGAACGTCACCATGAACGTGCTTTCCACACAGTGTCAACCACAACCCGTATCCCACTTGCTTCTCCCTCGGAAGAACAAAGAATCGAATTTGCACCAAGTACACCGAAATCCTCACTCTCCCAAATGGTACAATCGATCCAGCTTTGACAGCAACAGTGTCAAGAGAAGAGGCCTTAGCTATGATTAGAGAAAGAAGAGGTAGAGCTAGAAGTTTGGCAGAAGGCAAGATGACTCCGAGAAAGCAGATGGTAGAGGGTGGATCGAGGAGAGATATAAGTGCACCAGCTACTACTGGAACACCAGCTAGGGGAAGAAGTCAAGGAAGATCTTAGTAGGTCAAGGGGTATGGGTGGGAGAGCTGAGATGTTTATATTCTGGTGGAATGACTAGGGCTTGGGTTGTGGAGGTGTTTAATTTTTCTGGTAATACTTAGGGATGGAATGGGTGGACAGTACATTGTGAAGCAAGGAGCAAGGGAGTTGGTTTTAAAATAGTTATATATCCGTCCGTCCATTTAGCACCGGAGTTCTTGTCTTTTATCTTTGGAAAGGAGAGGGCTCGGTATGTGCTGGTTGGATTTTGGGTGGGTTTATGATTTATGAATGGTTTGGGTTGGGTCACTCTTTGAACATATTGGTTCTATTTCTTTTGTTAGGTAGCATTTTTTGTGGTTTGAGAGGAGGTTGGAGGGGAGGTGGGCTGGGTTGGATGGTGATCAGGATGGAAAGAGTTGTTTGTGAGGCAGATATCAGGATAGCAGAGTATTGCGTGGTACATTATGAGTGTGAGAGTATTCCACAGTAAATAACTACATAAATGGATAGTATATCATAATTCTTTCTCTTGTATCTCTAAGTTTTTTTTACTGCTCTTCTTCGGGAATCTGTTTACTTTATGTGCTTTTCCCTCTCACACGTAGGAAGTCTGAAGTTCCAAGGTTTCTACTGCATCTATTGTTTCTTCCCGATTGGGACTATGGTGGGTACTGCTGCTGATGATGACGATGAATATCGTGATGAGTATCCATATAGCGTGGTAGGGAATAGGGAATGATGTGAGGATGGATGGGTGGATTATGAATGAATTGGATAACCAGGAGCTGCCTGCTTGCATTGTTAGTTTCAGATTTGGGTGGGTGTTGGGGAGTGGATTGCCGAAGGAGAAAAGGGGGAGAAGAAGATAGGAGAGGTGGGTAGGATAAAAGAGGGGGTGAGTGAGGGAGGGGATAGGAGAGAAGGAGAAGTGTGGAAAGGGGAATAGGATAGAAAGAGGAGAGATCAAATGATGTTTGAGAGATGGAGATATGCTTGTGGGTTTTCTGGTTGATCGTTGTCCTGTGCCGCTATTTGTTTCTTCTGTTGTCCTGTCTTTCTTATCTCTCGTTGGTAAGGAAGAGGGAGGATGTAGAGGGGGGATGTGAAGCATATAGAGGATATAGCTAATGAACGATTAGACTGGAGCTTTTGAGGAGTTTTTTTTTGAGGGAGGATGAGATGTGGGTCAATGGGAGAAAGGTAGGAAGATGGGAGGGGGTAGATGATGAAGGTTTTGTATCAACATTGTGTGTATTTCGCAGCATACATTCTCTTCAATCAGAAATACAAATGTTAATTACATTCATTTTTCTGTTTTTCTACCTCTTTTCTGTCTCCTTCCGCTTTTCTTTTTTTGTTTCTATGTATAGTTATATACTTGGGAGGGGAAAGAGGGAATATGGGGTGAGGAATGAATGAGAGGAGAGGAGAGCATTTTGTTATCAACAAAAACAAATGATGACAATATAATTTTGATGATAAACAAGGAAAATGACGATAAATCTTCACTCTGCATGTTTGTCAAATGTCCGTGTTTCGACGAGAATGAATTTGGGGTTGAATGTGGAGTTGGAGATGGTTGAGCATCTGATAGTTTGTAGAAGGATTGCTTGATTGCGGTACACTCTGGGATTCGTTTCCTCTTTCCTGAGTTTGTCTTCGAACTTTTCATATTGTAGTAGTTATTGTTCATGTAGAAGAGGGCAGAGGTAGGGAGAAAAGGGTTTATATAGGGTCAGAGGAGGGGTTTATGGATACCAGGTATCGATATAATGGAATTCACTATTGAGATTGTTGAGACTTGAGGAAACTTACTGCAACCTGGAATTGAAAGGAGGGCAGTAGAGTGGTTCGATGCGTATAGCAATACTTCTTCCCCGCATTACCGCAAATTTGATACACAGAGATGGAGGGAGGTAAAGGAAGCGGGAAGTACATAAACCTTCACTCCATTTTGCTTTTCTGCTCTGTATGAAAATGATAAGAATACCTGAAATTAGAATAGGGGTGAGAGAGTGGGTATCGTATCCAGGGTAAAAAAGGGAATTTGAGTTCTGTGGTAGGGGAAATGGGATGGGTACTTTGTGGAGAAGATAGGCGAGATGATTGATGAAGTGTGGTTCAATGGCGATAGAGATGGCGGCGATAATGGTTGTGGTGCAGATTTGGCGATTGATATTATGGAAACAAAAAGATAGCTGGAGAGATAATGACAATAACAACATAGTCTTGTCAATTCTATCCTTATAGATTTCCATCTTTGTTTCTTGACAGACAATCTTGCGGGGCGGATTATCTATTGAAACTTTAAAATTACCCGCTCTAGATAGACAATCCGCGGGTTACCGGTGGATAATTTGTCTACATGATATAAACATAAATATATAATATTGATATAACTATTTATCACGAAGGATAGCTATGCTACTTGGTCACTTTGATTAGGGAAAAAGATTGTAATAAAGATAATAAACTAGACGGATCATAGTGTTCGTGCCTCCTATGTATACCCGGATTAAGCGACACAGTCGCCTGACACGGTATTCTTTTAAGTTATACTTGTAGTATTTGTAATATACACGTAACACACTTGATTTTCATGATTAAAAGTAAAGAGATTTTCTGTGTGAGTAAGGGTAACTACTCAATTGTATATCGATCCTCGAGTAAGTGGTCTAATATTTCGGGTTCCTGTGTGTAGGATTGTGAGTGAGAGTAACACTTAGGGTCAAAGCGTGTCACACGTATTGATTATGAGTTTTGATTAGAAGGTTTTGTTTGCACAAGAATTTCGTGGCGCAGGTGGGTATAGTTGACAGGTGATAAGGATAGTGAAAAATTTTCAGAGGCAATCAAAAGTAATCATTAGTCCTCAAGGTGATAAGATGAGTTGTTCCCACTTCTCTTAGTTTCATTCATGTAAAGCTTCATTCATATTTTCGATTTGTCTTCTTTTTTATCTACCAAAAAGACACCTTTGCCTGGTCGAGCTCTGGTTCCGCTTCCTTCTTGTATGCAATCATTATATCATCCTTGTTTCTTTTCTCCTAGCTCTGCAACAGAACCTATTACTGACTTTGACAAACTTAGCGTTTTCCACGCATGCAGAGTGTCCCGAACCACCTCCACAAAATCGGTCCCATTCTTACGATCCTCCCGAACCTCCTCGCATTCCTATTCACCAAGATAAAGGCGTGGGTCCCGTTGCTTCGCACAGCACCTAGCAAAGTTCGAAACTCGCCAGTTTCTGCTTTTCGCTCCGGTAGGAATCCCCTCAATTAGATCGAAAGCGTCATCGATCATCACAATCTATTCGAAGCTTTCCGAAGTTCAGGGAATTTATGAAATCCGGCAATCTCTCAGTTGGAGTAGAACGATGACACGCGATATTGATGATGATAGTGAGGATAATCGCACGTTGACCACTGCAGAGCATCGTTATGATCCCTCCATTTTCTCTCCCTCTCCTTCATTTGGTCGTGGTGGTGATCTTGAGGACACTGATTATGATGATGATAAAGTTCTTGGTTTCGGTTCCGACAGTGGTGTTGCTAGGCCTGCATCTACTCGACCACTTCCCAGAAAAGGGGTGGCTCACAAGGTTCAATCCAAGCGTCCTGCTCGGAACGATAACGATCGAGGCGATCAAAATCCGATACCTTGTTATCAATGTGTTCGATCTCTCTTGTCAGGTCGTCATGAGGACTATGGAAAGTGTTTTAAGAGGATCTCGTCTTCTTCGTCTCGGTGCTGGAAGTGTCATACTCATACATGTTCACCGCTTCCTGCATTTTTGCGCCCTTTAGCGATGCTTTTGCTTGAACTATGGGACCCTGCGACAGTGGAAATCCCTGGGAACGTAAGAATCTCGATGTTAGTGCTTATTTATTTATACTCTTTTGCTGATCCTTAATCATAGAAGATCACTCTCAACAAAAAGAAAACACGCATTGCAATGTCAGTTATGATGGCTTTGGAGGAAGAAAACATGGATTGCGTTGATCTTGACCCTCTCCCATCACCAACATACCGTCCCTCTCGTCAATTAGCTCGTTCGTTTGTCCCACCTCCCTCCCTGACTAGAAAACGGAAAGCCTCCCCTCCCAAACCTCCTGTCGCAAAGCGTACGAAAACTACTCCTTCTGGTTGTGGTTCCCAGTCCCAAGTGACCAAGGAGACCAAGAGGACCAAAAGCACAAAGGATTCGAAGAAATCGAAGGATGGAGATAAGAATGTTTCCTCTAAGGTGGTGGACCTTGACAGCTCCATCGATAATAGTGATGATAACGATGATGTTGAGGACCTCGAGGATAGGCTCTTGATAATGCAGCTCGAGTTTGAACTCAAGAAGAAGAAGCGCGCTCGCGCTCTTGCTGCTCGGCGTAGATAGGATTAATGATAATAATATTCTTGAATCTCAGTGATTCGTGAGCTCGCATCCTGGAGGTTCAATAATGATTGAGGTATTTGAATTTCTATCATGGCAAATTCTTCCTTAATCCATTCACTATTATATCTACTATTAACAGGCATGTAAGATGAAAGTCACTCTTTAAATACTCTTATTATAATTGTAAATTCTCAATATTGATATTTTATTTTACTCTTACATATATAATAGGAATTGAAAACAGACTAACAATCGGCTCTTCAAGCGGCCGACTAATTCCTAGTTAGGGAAAGCGAATTGTCCCCGTGAGATTTTGGTAATACTTCTCACCAGAATCAATGAAATCTAATATTTTATACTAAGAAATCTTGTATATGGTGTCGCATGTGTCACAAGGAGCAATATTCGAATAGCTTCAAAGATCAACAATCAGATAAAATAACTATGCTAAGGGAGAAAGGTCTTCCTCTGAGATCAAGAGCTGAGTGGGGATTGATCACGTGACTATCTATTCGTCTTCTACTAGACATGGGTTTGGGTATAACATTTGGTACACAATTATCAACTTTTATATAACCACACTGTTTTTATATCGTTACCTTTATTAAAATCACATTTCTTGAGTTATGTAATATTTAATAATATTAATCAAGTTCTATAAGTGAATACAATTATTAGCATTAGAATCTCACGAGTGTGAGCATCTGGCCCCAAGCCTAGATTAGTCATTCCCCTCTGCCCGACCTTGTAGGTTGAATCTCGCTTGGCTTTTGTTCCCCTCCAAATCCCCTCCAGGTCCCCTCCGCAAGACCTATAAAAGTCCCTTACAGGTTCACTCTTTGTACAGTAGTTTGTTATTCTCTAGTATTGATAATTGATTCATTTTACTATTATGTTGTGAGCCTGTCGTCATCACATCCGGGGACTCTCGCTTTCCCCAACTAGGAACTAGTCGATGTCACGGATCGGACTCAATCGCAATGCAATCGCTCACATGTACGTGACTAATATAAATAAGCGCTCTACGAGCGCTTCACTCTTTATTATTTAGTTGTAGATTCTAAGGATAAATTGTACCCTGCTCACAGTTCTTTTGAGACAAAGTGTCACAGTCGGCTGCCTGAAGAGCCGTCTATTAGGCTCAATATTACTTCATACTAATTTGAAAACTTGAAAATCGATGTATAATAATCCTCAAAAATCAAGTATTCTATGAATTAAGAGGATTTTACAAAAACACAAATTTTCTCATTTTGTTAAAATAATTAAGATATTGAAATGTTATAAAATTAAAATAGAATAGAATAAAATAAATTTTTTAATCTATTCAAAATGCGGGGATGTCCGAAGTGCGGGGGTAAAGACCTACTCTTTTTAGTTGAGCAGCTACTACATGTTCTTGTCAAGATCTCGACTTATCTATTACTTAGACTTCCCATTACAAAAGCTTCAAACAACATTCGATCAAATCATGTCTATCAATCCGGGGTTTTCCACTGAACCTCCTGGCGGACCAGGCGATCAATTAGTTTTGAAGAATGACGATAGCATTGGTGAAATTATCAATGGGCATAATCTCAACGATCTAGGCAAAATTGTCCTGAAGCTCCTCACTTCTCCAAAGTTTAGCCAGACTACGGATACAGAGTCCAGCCAGATCGTGGATGATCCAATCCCTCAAGCTTTGCCAAATGAGATTGCAGCTACAATCCGTACACTTTTGTGCCAGATCGGGGAAGATACAAATCGTGAAGGTCTTAAACAAACACCCGAAAGATACGCAAAAGCACTTCAGTTTTTCACAAAAGGATACAAGGAGAAAGTGAACGAAGTGGTTAATGGCGCCGTTTTTAATGAAGAAATGGAGGAAATGGTGGTTGTGAGCGACATTGATATTTTCAGTTTGTGCGAACATCATATGTTGCCATTCTTTGGAAAGGTATGTCTTGCCACCGCCTTCCGCTCCCCTAGGATCAAGTTTGTGTACATCTGAGAGCTGGTATACGGATTAGTGAGATTTTTTCCGAGTTTGAAGTATATAGCTCAATTTTCGGAACTGCATTGGATGGTCCTATAACATGCACCCGTTTATTGCGAATACAGTCATCTTCAATTCCGAAGCCGTTCTTCGAAAGCGTGTACTCATCAATCAAAATTTGGAGACTTGCTATTCGTACATAGACTAACCGTATATAAAATATAGGTACATATTGGATATATTCCGAATGGACGAGTGCTTGGATTATCAAAATTTGCGCGAATAGTCGAGATTTTCGCACGAAGATTGCAAGTGCAAGAGCGTTTAACGACGCAAATAGCAGATGCAATAGAAAAGTCATTAGAGCCACTAGGAGTTGCAGTCATTATAGAATGTAAACATATGTGCATGATGATGAGAGGGGTGGAAAAGACGGAATCTACGACATCAACTCAATGTATGAGAGGTGTGTTGAAAGATGGCGTGAAGGAACGAAGGAACTTTCATGCCCTACTCAAACTAAGGAAGCGGAGCTAGTTTTCTGGTAGGAATAGAACTGAGAGCAACTCGATGGACTGCTAATATTTACCGTACCTTCATACGTTTACGTGACAATAAAATGCGAGAAGAAACCCATGCCACAGTGACTGAAGATCGTTTGAAAGTGAATATATATAGAAACTCTCCGCTTGGGGCGATATCGTCTTCATGATTTTTTATTGAGTATTGCTGCTCGTGATAGGCGCCAAAACATAGAGCCTATTCATAACGAATAGAGAGTCGGTAGCGCAGTGTGCCTTTATGGAAATCTTTACCATTTTTGTTTGTATGCGTTTTTGATTAGCTACCACCCCAGCACTCAACCATGATTACAAAAGTAATAAAGTATGCAAGAACAGCACACAATGTCACCCACCAGATTAACCATTAGGGTACGGACTCAAAAAGGCATTCAAGCCTGCAGTTAATCAAAATATATGAGTCAAATATCCTCGTTCTTTTAACCCATCCATTCAAAAACGATTCCTCCCTCTGCTCCAAGCATCAAAGTATAACATTGACGGGCCATTTAAACCATCAAATATTGTTGGTTACCGCGTGATAACAAAATCTGTTTTGTTGAATCATTGGATGGGTAAAGAATTGATATTTTCACAAACAGACCGGTGGTTTCCATAAATGCGTCTTGTTTCCTTGGCACGTTGCAGGCGCGTAACTGTATAATCTCGCTTTTGGGCTTTTTTTGTTTGTGGAATTGATTATAACCATATCAATCTTTCATCAGCTCCCTTTACGCATAGCTCGATCAATTAAAGCAATATGGTTAGTTTAAATGAATTGAAAAAGGCTCTTGTGAGGGATGTCACGACGGAGATGTCGTCCCCGAATCAACAGTTATCTGATTCTCAGTACAACATCGGTTTCGACATATTGATGAATGGGTCAGAATGGAGCTCGTACGAAGACTTTATCATCCCCGAGTTATCTCAACAGCTAACTTCACTTCTCGCTACACGTTCCACTATTTCAGTGATTGAGATTGGACCCGGTTCAAAGAGCGTACTTGGTTATGTGCCCCTCCATCTTAGACGGAAGATTAGAAGATACGCTGCATTTGAGCCCAACATAATATCAGCTACAAGTTTAGAAGCCTGGATTTCTTCTTGCTCGGAGTCCAACTCGCCATTTCCTTATTTGGAAACTACACCCAATATCTGTAGAGCACCTTTTGTTCTCGATGATGAAGAGAAGAACAATATAGTCGAAACCGGTGCTAGTGATGACAGGCCAACTTTCGATCTCATTCTTTTTTGTCATAGTATGTATGGCATGAAGTCGAAAGAAATATTCATCAAAAAAGCGCTAGAAATGCTTGTTTCAAGCCCAGAAAGTGGAAAAGTAGTGATATTTCATCGCGACCAGTGCTTTGAGCTTGATGGACTGACTTCATATCGTACGGCTATTTTTCCAACAGGAACCGTCTCTATAGCAGACAAAGATGTGGCGTTGGATGCCTTTTCTCCCTTCGTCGCGGGTTTCATCAAGCAGGATGTGGAAGTGGACATGGCTTTACGAACCAAGTGGAGAGAAACATGTCGCGCCTTGGCTTGCCATGATGAGAAGCTACCAGGATATCTGCTTTTCAGCTCACCTCAGCGTATGTTATCTCTTACAAGACATGCGAACGCGTTAGTCGACCTCGTATTACAGGTGCCATTAGCGAAAGAAGACCGAATTATCAAAAGCTGGGAGGCTCGCTTGCATCGACCTACTTCGATCTTCAGGCCAACAACGGTGAAGCATGTCCAAAAATGCATTCAATGGGCTGTGAAGCACAAATTGAAACTTACCGTAATTGGTGGTGGCCATAGCGCACACTGTCTGTGGCCCGACGTTGTCTCACTCGATATGGAAGCCTTCGATCGAGTACATGTTACCACCTCGAGTGATGATGTAGATAATGCCAATTCTCGGCCCGGTTCCACCTCTTTAATCATAGCTGAGGCCGGATGCAAGACAGGAGATATCATTCAAGAAGCAATGAAGTTTGGTTTGACAGTGCCTTTGGGCTCCCGACCAAGTGTGGGGGCTGGCTTATGGCTACAAGGCGGCATTGGGCATCTATCTAGGCTTCATGGGCTGGCGTGCGACAATATTGTAGGTGCTGTCATAGTCAGTGTTATTTCCGGTCAGATCTTTCATGTCGGAGAAGTACCGATCCAAGATTTGCCCGCCGGTGCAACAAGACCCAAAAACGAAAAAGATTTATTATGGGCAATCAAAGGCGCTGGAACAAACTTTGGAGTTGTTATCAGCGTCACTTTCAAAGCTTATTGTGCTCCAACTTATTCCGTCTGGAACTGGATCTTCCCTGTTAAGGAAGAGACTGAAGTGCGGCTCAAGCTTGGTGATGTCAACTCCATCGCCAGAAATCTTCCTCTGAGTTTTTCCATAGATGCATATCTCTACTCGGATAGAAATCAGCTGCATCTCGGAGTGACCATGTTTCAAGCTTCGACAAACAAAAACTTCGAAATGCCTCCGCTTGTAAATGACATTTTGGGACCAGTTAAACAATGTAAGGAAGTGGATGGTGTCGGCTTATTTGAGACTGAAATGTACATGTCGACGATGCACGGCGGACACAGTGGGAAATCTTCTTCGTTTAAGCGATGCTTGTTCTTGAATAATATTGAAGATGTGCAAATCGTCGATATCTTGAGAGCGGCTATTCAAAACCGCCCCACACCATTCTGCTATCTTCATCTGCTGCAATGTGGTGGGGCAACTCGTGATAACACAACAGAAGCCTCTGCTTTTGGATGCCGGGATTGGGAATTTGCCTGTGTGATTACTGGCGTCTGGCCTCGCAACCAAATTGACACTGGACTGGTTCGAACCACTATTCAGTGGGTCTATGATATCGTCAAGAACTTGTTGCCATTTTGTAGCGGAGTCTATAGTGCCGACCTTGGACCAGACCCCAGGGACAACACACTGGCAGCTAAGGCATTCGGAGTAAATCTGCAACGTCTGGCCCAATTAAAACGTACCATGGACCCATACAAGATTATAGCTTATGCCTGCCCTTTGTTTGAGCCTCCAGTAGAACAGAAATTGATCATACTTGTCACAGGTGACAGCGCAGCCGGTAAAGACTTTTGCGCCGAGACCTGGGTTTCTGTGATAACAGCATGTACTAGTCGAATGCTCACAGCACGTTCAGTCAGTATCAGTGATGCCACTAAGCGAGAATATGCGACAGAGACTGGTGCAGATATAAATCGGCTTCTTTCGGATCGTTCTTACAAAGAGGAACACCGACCAGCTTTGACAAAATTCTACCAGAAACAGATGATCAATCGTCCTCAGTTACCAATGGAGCACTTTCAGAATGTTGTACGTGATTCTGGTAGCTTTGACGTGATTTTCATTACTGGCATGAGAGACGAGGCGCCACTTACAACTTTCTCGCACCTGGTACCAGAAAGCAGAGTTCTTGATATTCGGATCAACGCTAGTCAAATGGTTATTCGAGATCGCAAATGTGACCATCGTGACGGAATTAAAGCTAAAGATGACCGTGATGGTACGACTTTGTCGGCTTTACATTATCTACCCAGTCTTGTCTTCAATAATGAGATATCAGGCAGTGAGGCTGCAGAAACTTTTGCCAAGAAGCATATCCTGCCATTACTGCATGAGGACTTCACGCGACTCGCAAACATGGTACGAGCGGTACCCAATCATCCACGCCAAGGTGTGACTTTCCGTCACGTGCTTGACATTTGTCAACAACCAGGTGGATTAACCTTATGCACTGATCTGCTGCAAAGGCACTTCATTGGTGAATGGGCTGAAGTCGATACTTTAGTCTGTTGCGAATGCGGTGGGTTTGTTTTCGCATCAGCCTTAGGAGCGCGGACTGGTATAAGATTGGCATTGGTTCGAAAATCTGGCAAATTACCACCACCCACTATCTCAGTCGAAAAGTCGCAATCACATATTTCGTCTACGGAGTCTGGAGAATTACAACAAAACATGTTTGAGATGGATCCAGGTCTGATTAGCAAAAGTAAATCTGTGTTGGTTGTGGACGATGTACTTGCGACGGGAAGGACACTTGGTGCAGTGTTGAAGCTATTGATGAAAGCTGGCGTTCGGCGCAAGGATATCAGAGTTATGGTCGTTGCCGAATTCCCCATTCATAGTGGCAGAGAATCGTTACGCCAGGAAGGATTTGGGGAAGTCAGGATTCAAAGTCTTTTGACTTTTGGTGGTGTTTGACTGTGAAGATTGCTGACATTATGCGTTTCAATTCTATGGATGAAGAAGTGGTTGTGTTGAAAAATTGCGAACTGGAAGTACCTAATCTTGGAATGCGGGGTAAATTTTACGATCACGTGCTTATATTGTGACGGTCCTGAGATCGCCAACCGTCATGACTCTAGCAGTTACTGTTTATTGTACATAAGACAACGAATGAAGTATCGTTCCATATACGCAAAAGGACTTAAGAGACTTTGGTACACATTATACTCTTTACTCTGATCTTCTTTACTTCCCAGCGGGAGAAGCCATAGTGTAGCACGTATTAAGGATCATCTCGATACCTGGTCACGAAGGAGTCCCATTTCTTCTTCGCTCGGGTCAACTACACTATCCCTGATGGAAGTTGAGAGCGGTAACTGGGCCGTTATATAGTATTCGTAACAAAATTTGGCGAAGATTTCGTTGTAGTGCTCTTGCCCATTAATAGTGTGAAATTTAGCTCGGGTAAAAAGCCGAGCGGGGAAAATACGATCAAGCCCTCAAGCATGAAAGGTCAACCTGTCCAAGAACAGCACCAACTGTATCTGCAAGTGAGTGATTGAAAATACGGGAAATATACAATGTTACAACCTGTGATGCTAAGCATTCATCAAGTGAGCTCATCAACTTCAAATTCCCCACACTATTTTGATGAATATTGAGATTGACAACAGCCGATTCATGACAAGTAGCGACAATATTTAAGTCATGATGGCAACAAACATTTACAGCCTCTACATATAGATACTCACACACCACAAGACAACAAACTGCATCTCACATCTCAAATCACCCATCTAATTCCTTGGTTGGATCTGTCCTTATCGGTCTCTGCAAAATGTTGAAACAAAAATCAAGCAAGACGCGAGAAGTTTATATACCTCCTCGCGCAAGAATCTTCCCCGGAACTCCCTCCGATGCCTAAATCCTGTGCAAAATGATGCTCTTCCCTTGTATATCAGCCAACTATTGCAATCCTGGACTCTTCACAACTATCGTCTCTTGGAAAGATATTCTCGGCTATATAAACTCTTCTTACCCATCATCATATTCAAGATCCAAACCAAACCAGTCGTTGGCTACACCACTCAGGTCACTCCTGGAGACTGTCAGTCCGAAGTAGGACAGACCTTGAAGCAGACAAAGATACTATGCGATGGGACCGATTCCAGTTTTCTCACCTGCTTTGCTGAACATGATGGCGATATTAACTTTTCTATTGATGAAAAGAACTCCAAGACTGACAACGAAGAATAATCGACAGTAAGCCCGACCTATGAAAAATATACAAGAACTAACCATATAAATCGTTAGCCCAGCCCACATGCTTCCCCTCAATCCGTAGACTACACCATCGAAAATTCGGCATTCTCTCGCCTCTCCTTGCTGCTCGCTGATCCCTTGCTTTGGCAATTTCTCTAACATCTACTTCCTCTGTGTCCGTGGAATATATCAATTTATACCTAACCATGGGATTCATGAGTTCTTAAGCAGGAGGTGCAGAATTTCAAGCGAGTTCACTAGATATTCTCATGCCAAACTGATCTAGCTATAATTCACCTGCCTTGAAGTACTAATTTCTGAGATAAAGATATCCTGTCAATGACGTCTGTGTCCAATCTACTTTGGATATATATAAAGGGCCAAATATTCCAGCTCACGAAAAAGCAATTTTCGTGCCAGGTAGAAGAAAATGGAATGCAGGGTGAAATTGTCGTGAGTTATCCCAGGGAATGATCTGAAACTCTGAGTAATGCTTGCTTGTAATTAATTGTACTCTGTTCAATGCATAATGGATGGCATACATTGAGATAGATATGAACATGCCCTTGATCTTCGAGTAGTGTTGTCAAAACATCAATATCTATTTCTCCCAATGCAAATCCAACTATTGATAACAAACCCTACAAGTCTCTAACACCAATAACAGCGACAAAAAAACGATCATCCAAAAACCCGAGGTACTACACCCCTCCACAATAACACCAAAACCTATCATTCCAAATCTCCATTCCTCCCTCCCTTCCTCTCTCCCCTAAAGCCAGCCATCTACCTCAAACCCCAAAATCCCTCACTCTCAAGTACCCTTATCAAGAGGGTACCTCACCATTCCATATCCTCTCCTACGAACACCCACTACATTTTTAGATACCCCCATCCGCACCCAGCTTCAACAGAATCTACAAATCAAAACAAACATCTTCTAACTTGTAATCCCAATGAGACCTGTATCTACACACACTTCCAATATAACCTCACAATCGCACGCACCGAAACCGCTGATACGCGCAGACGAAAGCCTATAAATATTTCTTCCTCCGGATTGTAACCCTATTTGAAAGAACATACTTCCTCAGACCAGAGCGGCCATGCGAGCCAAGTATCGCATCTTCGCATATACTTTGACTAATTTCTCCATATTCTTAAAGTCAAGAATCTTTCAAATCCATCGAGGTAGTGAAATCCACACAATCATCACTCGCTGCGCAATAAAAACCACATAGCCATAACCATAACCATAACCACGATACAAACGCAAATGCATTATGCAAATACAGATAACAAAACCTCACAATTGTACTTCAACAATCAAAACCTTCCTGTTTCCATGAATAAATGGTGATACCTCCAACCCTCTCCTTTTCCTTTACTTCCATTGTCTTTACTTCCATTGCCTTTACTTCCATTACCATTGTCTTTACTTCCATTGTCTTTACTTCCATTGCCTTTACTTCCATTACCATTTCCTTTACTTCCCCGTAAATCCTCTCCCTCTCATCCTCCCACTCTTTCGTGCCACTTATTGCTTAATCTTGAATCCCGAATCCCGAGTCCCGGGATCGAGCAGGAAGGAAGAACATATGTACCTTAGCTAGATATATAGAGATGAATTGAGATTAATACATGGGAGTTAGAATCTAAAATTAGGTTTGGGAATAATGATGATAATGATTTTAGACTTGTTGGTGGTAATTGTTGATTGGTATTTTGGTATTTTGGTATTTTGGTATTTTGGTATTGTGATTTGATTTGATTTCACTTGATTCGATCGCTAGGAATGACGATGGATAATTGATCTGTATCTTTTGTGATATTGATAATGATAATGGCAGTTACAATGATAATGATAGATATCTGTAGATGTTCGTTCTTCTGTATACCTACATAATCTTCAAAAACAAATATCATGAAAGAAAAGATACATTCAAAAAGACATATTCAAAAAAAACTTTCATTTTCCCAACCTAACAAAAAAGCTACCTCAATCCTCCCTAAAACACTCACCATCCATCTCCATCTCCATCTCATCTCAATCCAAAACATCAAATCTCAACCCCTTATCTCCCCCTCCCCCTCCACAAAAACCACACAATTCCATCCTCCCATTTCAATCACAATTCCCTTCCCCATTCCTTCCCACCCCCTCCAACTCCTCACAGGCCTTCCAAATTCCCCTCTTTCCCCTCTCATTTCCATTCCTCTCCGTAAACTTCTCCCCCTAGAACTTCTAACCGGTTTTCCCCAACCTAGAATTCCTCTTCTCTCAACTACTACCCATGCATTCCTACTACTTCTTCTTCTTCTATTCCCTTCTCTTTCCCATTCGCGACTTCTGTTTCCCCCATGATAACCATTATTATCATTCCATTGCCTATCCCTCTCTCTTCCTGTCCTCCTATATCTCCTTCCTCTCCCTCTCCTCTCTTCTCTCACAACCGCTTTATCCGGTCTCCTAACTTCACTACCATCACCATCATCATATTCACATCTCATCTCCCATTCCTCTCTTCCCCCACCTCTCGCAGCACTTTTCCAAATTCTTCCTTGTCCTTCTCCACTATCTCTCCTTTCCCTATAAACCATTTCATCTCCATCCCCATCATACCTCGCAGTCCAAACCGCAGATCGTCTATTAAACCAGCACTTATATCCAAGCACCAACAACACCATGAACCCCAATATAGAACCCAATACAATCCCCACAATCGCACCACTGCTCAAATCCGTCGTCTCTGTTACATCAATTGGCATCGTTGTCGACCTGGGACTCAAAACAACAACATGACTTGTGGCCGATCTAATAGTAACAGCTTGATCTTTCGAAATTTTTGAAATAGTGTTTGAACCGAGAAGAATGGTAGCGGTAGAAGATCTATCTCTTCGAGTGATAGTCTGTGTTATATCCCTTGAAACACGAGGAAGAATTATCGCTTGAGGAACAATTCGAGTCAGTCGGGTTATAGGAGCCATTTTAATCCTGAGTAGTGAAAGATTTAGAGTTTCCCAAGAAAAGTGTTGAACGAATTCCGAGTTTCTACCAGTTGAGGTACATTTATCATATTTAATATGCAAGATCTACCGAAGGGTTTTATGACGATCGTGATGCTTTTCTGAATACGCCCGGTTTCTTTGAAGAAGTTGATAGCCTCATAACGAGGCATCTACGCGGTGTGAGTCTTAAGCCGCTTGAAGAAGGGTATGCACCGATTTATATCATTTATCACGGGTCAATTCCTTCAGATGATAAAATCCGAACCCATTAAATGGCTAAGTTGCATTGCAGTAGACTAATGCTGTCAGCATTATGTAGCATATATTTCATGTTGATTTGTCGAGATTTAAAGATGTATGTACGAGAAGGCTGAGAAGTCAAAGGTCACATGCAGCCGCTGAACGACTCGAAAACCCTGATTACTCTCTCATCATAGTACCTCTACCAGTTTTGATCATAGTTATTACCAGGTTGACCAGTATAAGCGGGAAGATCGCCGTCCAATAATGTTTGCCAATATTCCCAATCCATAGGAGTAATATCAGGCATTGAAGTATCTAGGAATGAATCTGAAGCGAGCCATGGTTGTTCTTGAGGCATTTGCATTGGCATTTGCATTGAAGGTCCTGGTTGCGATGGTTGTGGTGGTGGTATGTAATCAGGTGGCTTTTGTCTAACATAAGATTCGGCTGTAGCTGGCATTTGCCAGTGATTGACCGTTCTAAATGGATCCGAAATATCATCATGTTGCTCTATAGGTCTTTGAATTTGGTCGTGCTTTTGTCTTTGAGATCTCAGGATTGATATAAATCTTGGCGGGGTAACTTGATCTGGTGAACGGCAACCTTCTTCTCTTTTCTCCCAAGCTTTGAGTACCAAATTACCCAAGGCAAAGTATAAACTACTTTTAGTATCATTAAGCATTTCTGCACGGAACTCATATGCAAGTTCGACTTGTTGCCATGCTTTGTCAACTAATTCTCCCCTTTCCCTACGTCGAAGTTCGCTGAGCAAGTATATAAATGCATCCAATTGAAAATGCACATGAATATGCCACAGATACCTTTGGACAAGCTTTTCTGAATGGCCTAGACCATCATATTCAAGCATCTTCAATGATTCATTGAAAAGCATATCTCTTTCCTTCTGTGGCATACTCGCACCTTTATCAGGATATTGTCTTGGATGATGAGCCATTAGTCTCATCGTACAAATGACAGCTTTCGCAACATAAATCGACAATAAATGTAAGGGTATCGACGGGTCACAGTATTGTAAATACTTCTCCTGGAGTCTTGCCTCCAGTTCATCAATAGTTTTATCCTTTTCGGCAATGACATTTGAACCAGGAGGAATATCTGAAGGACCACCACCGTGATGGCCGCCACCTCTATGTCCACCACGACCACCTCCCCATGGCCATGGCCATGACCACGTCCCCATTACCAAAGCTATTAGCTTTTCGTATAGCTTGTGAAACTTCGTATCGAATACAACAGAAAAGCATTTCAGTTGCACCTGCACGCTCGGGTGGAGGTTCTATCATGTCGGGGGTAAGATCGCTATCGCTAACATTCAGTGGTAATTTCGTATCGAATTTTGCGAGCCACTACGTAATATCAAGTCAGTAGAGCTTGAAGATAGGTGGGGAACGACTCTGAGCTGAATGAAGAGATATTAATTTGTAGTGAGAAGACCTGCAAGGCCGAGAGCAGATGATTATCGAGTATATACTTACGGCGGGAAATCCAGCTCCACACAATTTCGCAGCGAAACCATCAAGGAAAACAATCTGCCACCAAACTCTTCTTCTCATTTCCGTGTCGAAAGGAGATAAATTATGAGACGATCCATCACGATGGATACCCAATCTTTGACCAATTCGAACGGCAGAACCTGTCAAAATCCAAAAGGCATGAGCATCATAATGCTTGCGAGCTGCAAGCTATTCATTTGAAGTCAGTTGAGAAGTACAGGGCCATTTGAGTATATCGGAGAGGGATGGTGGGGCCGTCGAGGTCGTTCGGTTCGAGTAAAAGGAGTCGAGGGGTAGTGATAATAACTTACAAGAAATAAACAATAAGCCTGCAAAGCAGTCAAATTGAGAGATTTGATATATTTGACGTTGATGAGAGCTTGTTGGGTGGCATGAGAATATCTCGTTAAAAGTATTGATCTTGGTTCATTGAATGTACTTTCACATTCATCGTCTTTGAGGGAGCCAATGGATAGGAGGTATATAACGAACATTAAGGCTTCTGTAGGTTTCGGAATATGATCCATATCTGATGTGGCTTCCAAAATCATCTCTTGGACTGTAGGAGCATGGAACAGTTTGACCAATGGATTTACATTAGTCAAAAAATTTGCCATAACCTGAAAATTGTAACAGGTTGTGGATGAAGGCTTCTGAGATTTCTTTTTGAGCTAATCAAGTTTCCAAGAAGAATTGTTGATTCCTCGGGAAAGAGAGCATTGTCATTGCTATCATCTTCTTCCGATGAGACTTGAAATGCTTCTTTTGGGTCTTGTAATTCATTGCTGAGATTCTCCCAGACAGTACTAGAACTAGTTAGCAATGCATTTGAATGACCTCGTCGAGTAACAGAAGTCCAACGAGAGCTACCCACTTTTCTATGTAACGAGAGTTGCCATGTTTAGAGTACAATCGACCTCTTCCAGCTTTAGAACCACGAGCACAGCCCATAGAATGACGCCCATGTAATTCATGGGAATTGTGATTACATCGATGTTTATGTGGACCATTTTGATTATCATCATTTTCGGTCCCGGTTGCTGTAGCAGTAACTGGATCTTTACCTTTATTGGTTATTGAAAGGTTTTGTGGATTAGGATTGGGCGTCTGTTCTTGGCGACTTGAAATTAATTCATCAGCATTTCCGTCTTCAGTGCCACTTGCATTTGCACTTCCAACACCACCAGTAACACCATCGTCCTCGATTCGAATTCCATTAACTCTCAATAAATGTTCATATTTCCTTAATCTTGCTGCAACATCCAATTCGCTAAGCTTCCGTCGCCTTCGACGTGGAGCAGCAGGCGTACTTGGGATACATTCAGCATGTGCTTTGACGCAATTTGAACATTGAGGTTTTTGCCGGTCGCAACGTACTTTTCTCTGTTGACAGAGAATGCAAGAATGACCACGAGTTATCTTTTGATGAACTAGTTGAGCTGGAGGTGTTGGCATAGTCGGACCAGGAGGTTGAGAAGTTGATTCCATAATAATATGAAGGTATACGATATCTGAAGATCAAAGTCCCCGTAGCCGTAACCCAGGAGAGGAAGATTGATGTGATGAAGGGGTCGTGAGTTGACGATGTTATTGAACAATTTGACTCGTATTGTATTCGTATGTACCTACCACATTCGTACATTCGTATCCAATGGCCGGAGATTCGGAACCGTCGGGAGTTTGGGTCCAAACTATAAATAAACCCTTTTCTTGCTGACTTTTTTTCCCTTTGTCTTTGGATAAATGCGTGATCGAACACTTCAGTGTGAATGAAGTCTTCCAAATCATACCAATACCCCTTTTGGGTAATATCCAGTGATATATATAGGAAGAAGCAAGAATGTTCTGAATCTGGTGGTACCCAGTATTGATAAAATGATTGTACAAGGCTGAGTATGTATGTATGTGTGTATGCATGTATGTATTGATGGTGGTGTGGTTCTGGGGATCAATTTCTTGAGGTGTCGGGTGTCGGGGTCGGAGGTTCGGCGTCTCTTCGGTCCCGACATTGTTCTTTCCTTAATTGTTCAACCTTTTTTGAAGCTTTCTTATTGGATGACAAGAGGAAGAAAGACTTGTGAGCCTTGTGAGCCTTGTGAGCCGTGTGAGCCTTGTGAGCCGTGTGAGCCTCGTGAGCCTTGTGAGCCTCGTGAACCTCGCTGTTGCTTCATTTGGTAGGATGTGGGTGTGAAAGTAAGAGGACAATATTTTTCGTCTGTTGAATGGTAGAAAAGCTACTGAATTTCCTTCTCTTCTGTCAAATCTATCGTACCCTTTGATCCCTCTACAAGCTGTGTACCTAGTATAGCTGTCCATTCAGGTTTTCATAACAATGCGACTCTTTTACCACTGACGTTGTCATTCTACTCCCCTCTAATCATAAGGCTGTATGAAATCTTGTTGTCTTCAAATTTGGGTGAGTAGTGAGTCTATCAGCCTTCTGCTCTCACTTTTTGTTCTTCCAATACTTTTCTCGCCAAACCATCTTGATATAATTCCTTCGCCCACACAACATTAAGATCAAGTATCAACAAAGTACCAATTGGTCGTTATTCTACTTCTATCCAGCATCCGAGTCTTACAAACAGCGTACGTGCTTCAATTATGCTTTCTCGTCCATTACCCCAAGGTCAACGACTTGATCTCATAAGCTTCCTAGCTCAAGATCCATTGCCAGCTTCAATTTCTCAAATTGCATCTGAAATCCAATTCTTGAGAGAGTGTCCTCAAGTAACTACTGACAAGAGAAAGGCCAAGATGGTCCGACCTGCCATCGAATCAGATAATTCGGGGGAATCCGCAGCAATCAGCTCCTTTGGTGTTCCATTATCAACCACTTCCAATCGCAATGGTCGCGTCAATCGCTGGAGAACTAGAGTCAACGATGCGGATGGACAGTATCCTGGATCGGGAAAATTGACTCTCACTATGTTATCTCTCTATCTGATCACGCTGACTGTAGCTCTTGTAAGCCCTTTTCTTTGCATGCGCGAACTCATCTCATATTCCTCGAATTTTACCCTTGAGTGTTCCTACTGCTTCCAACCCATTTTATATCTCTTCTCTTTCTCAGTAGCTCTCTGGCTCAAAACATTCTAAGACCTCTCGAGCAATGCAGATTGTTATTTCTACATACTGCAACTTCGAACTTCCAAAACCTCCTTCCATTTACGAGCCATGCAGTGATGCTAACAAAACTTAGGATCGAACAATTCTTAGTACTGCTATCCCAGCTATCACCAATGAGTTTAACACACTTGAAGATATCGGATGGTATGCATCCGCATACCTTTTAGCAAGCTGTGCTGCTCAATTGGTATTCGGAAAAATCTACAAGTTCTACAACTATAAATGGGTTCTCATGATCGCAGTTGTCATTTTTGAGGTTGGCGTAAGTGGTCCTTCTACATACGTATCTGCCACCGTTTGAATTGTTGTTTAGTCTGCTGTATGTGGCTCCTCGTCAAACTCCAAGGTTTTTATCGTTGGTAGAGCAATTGGTAAGTCCTCCTCTGTCTTTTTGATATCAATCTTCAGAACTGACACAGTGAAGCTGGCCTAGGCTCTCCAGGTATCCGTAAGTGCGATTGGTACATGGCTTGAGTTTCTCTGTTTTCGATTCTGCATAAAGCTTCCACATACAACACCACAATTGAGTTGTGTTGTTTCTCTTCTCCTTCTCACGCTCCCCGAAAAGTTCCCTGGCAAGACAACCACTGACTATTTCATATTGTAGTCAATGGAGCTATATTAATCCTGGACGAAACCGTGCCACTTCATTGTCGCTCTATTTTCATGAGTAAGAGATGCAGACAATTGGGAAGCTCAAGTATGTCAAGCTAACATGGAAATAAAGGTTTATTATGGTGTATGTTCGCCATCGCCACAGTGTGTGGACCTTTAATTGGAGGCGTCTTCACCGAGAGAGCCACTTGGAGATGGTGCTTCTACATCAACCTGCCAGTGGGCGGAGCTGCCGCATTCATTCTACTCTTCGTTGTCAAAGGAAAATCGAGGAAAAATACAGACACTTTTGTCCAAAGGCTTCGAAGAATGGATCCCATTGGAACCCTCGTCTTCACTGCAGGTATCGTTTCCGTACTTCTAGCATTGCAATTTGGAGGCAATCAATACAGCTTGGGAGATACAAGAAGCATCCTCCTCTTCATTTTGGGTGGCATCTTACTTGTAACCTTCGTCACGATCCAATTTACGTCCGGAGATGATGCAACAGTGCCAATTCGAATTATCAGGCAAAGATCTGTTGCGTCGGTAGCATGGTTTTCTTTCTTCAACTCATGTTCTTTCTATCTTGTTTTCTACTACATTCCAATCTGGTTTCAAGCTGTTCAAGGTCTTGACGCATTCGATTCTGGTCTTCATGCACTCCCATTGGTCTTAGCTCTGGTGTTCGCCACGCTATTCGCGGCAATATTTCAAAGATCCATTGGCTACTATGTTCCAATGGTCGTTGTATCATCAATCATCGCACCGGTTGGCGCAGGACTTCTCACCACATTACAAGTAAATAGTGGACCAAAAGAATGGATGAGTTGGCCGGTTGTCTTTGGATCGGGTCTCGGCTTAGGTATACAGCAGATCAGTTTGGTAGTCCAAGCATCTCTCCCAGATGATGATATACCAGTGGGTCTTGCACTGATACCTTTCTTCCAAACTCTTGGCGATACGATTTTTGTCACTGTTGGTCAATTTATCTTCTCTCATGAATTGGTCAAGAACCTCTCGGCTCTCAATCTCCCCTCCTTACCAACCTCACTTATCTTACACACGGGTGCTACAGAACTTCGAATTCTCATTCCAGCACAATATCTTCCAGAGGTCTTGTCAGCATATCACGCAGCTATCATGAAGGTTTTTCTTGTTGCTATTATTACAAGTGCTCTTACAATTTTCACTGGTCTAACCTTGGAATGGAAGAATGTTAATAAATTCAAGAAAAACTTTGAAGTTACAAGACGATCCATTTATCAATATCGTGGTGAAAGGGATTGTCCATTTCCTTTGTATGACGCTGGCAGCTCTGAGCACGTACAACCTGGATTTGTTGATACACAGAGCAAGCCTATCATGGAAACTAAACTTGACAGTGATCTTCAGCAACAATTGGAAACGATTAGGGAGGAGAGAGAAAAGTCTAGTTCTGCTGAGACTAATTCTCATGTTATCAAAATTTCTAATGACACGAAGACCATTGTAGTTGGAGTTTCAGAGAAGAATGAGGATGAGATTGAAGTTGTGGGATGAGTGGATATGTTGTGTTTGTAGATGATGAATATCATGAAGAATATTATGATGAGTAAATGAGAAATGATGGATCTGAGATGACATAATGGGACATGTTTTTACGATCGCTTGATCTTTACGCTTCTTGTCATTTCAAGACAGATGGTAGAGTTGCTATTTTCTACATACCATGAGCTAGAGAATCGAATTTTCTGATAATGCATAAATGGATAATTATGATTTTTCATTCTTCTGGTTGACCTGTTGATACTCTCAACTCTCTTTCGGGTTTAGGGCGTAGAGGAGATTACTTTGCTAAGGATGTTATCTACAGCTCTTTGAAATATCAGATATTTGATTGTAATATCATCTCATCGTTATCACCTCTGATCCTTTGCTCACCATCGTACTTATTAGATCTAAAATGGGTCGAAAGAGTGATGATGGTAGCAGTGGAAGGAGGATGATAGTTAATCTTTCAATCGATAATTATGTGATCTTGAACACTCATATCATTAAAATACATCATAAATTTGCTTACTATAAACAACTCATAGACTATTCAACTAGCTAACTGTTGAGATAATTATATTGCAGCAGTTACATTGAATCTCATATTTGTATTTATGTCATTTTCGTTTCACCCCTTTTACTTTTGATTTTCCACTCCCAATGAAATCGAGTTGACACTTTTCTAGTGATGAATCATTATATTAGCAAAATTGTTATTTTTTCTTGGTGGTTTTTGACTTATTTATATCTTCACATCATCTCATAATCCTCTCCTCTCATCTTCCTCTTCCCTGCACTCCCAAAAACTCCCTTGATCCCCCTCCCCCACCTCTTCCACACCCCTCTTCCCTTTCCCCTCCCCTCTCCTCTCTCCCCCTCCTGTACCTCCTCCCTAAAAAACCTCTCCCAGTACCCTCCCACCCCTCCCAAAACCCTACACACCCCTCCTCCCAACCCCCCAATACAACACCTCCCCCATCCAACTCGGCATCGCTTCTCCCCTCACCCCCTGCTCCTCAGCTAATTCCTGCACGACAAGCTTCTTCATCTCTTCTCCTCTCTCGCGGAGTTCGATATTCAGGAGGGAGATTCGATGGATGAGTTTTTGTCGTGCGAGTTCGTTTTCGTAGGCGGAGAGCGCGAGGTGTCCGTATCGTCGGGAGCGGCGGAGTTTGTGGTAGAGGTGATGATCGAGGTGGGCGATGGAGGATGATGATGATAGGGATTGATGGGGTGAGGATGGTGTGGGGCATGGTTGGGATTGGGACTGTAGATAAGGTTTATCAGGGTGTGAATGAAAGTATTCTATTATTTGCGCATCGAGGGTTTCTTGGTATGATTCCAAGGATGGGGTTTCAGGAGCGTGGGGAGAAGTGGGAGATGAGTAGGTGGAGTAGACATAGTCAGATTGTGATGCATGGTTCGAATATTCGGAATCGGAGTCGGAGTTGGATTCTATTGTGTGGATGGAAGCAGGAGGTGTAGGAGGACTTCTGTGGGAAGTCTTAGATTGCTTTTGGGGAGTTTGGGAGTGGGGATGTGGATTTAGATGGTTTTTTGAAGATGGATCTTGGAGTGTTTTCTTGGTATTGGCTTTTGATGGCATGTTGATTCGGATGACTTGAAGAGAGAAAAAATGTTTGATTAATGAAGAACCAGTAGAATTGGAGAAGTTTTTGAAGGTTTCTCACTGGGTGTAATGTGCAATATATGGAGAAAATTATATACAAGAAATAAGTATATCGAATCCTGATTTCGGCCAGGTGTAGAGGTTATATATATGACACGATATTACTCTTCTATCTGTATTACCGGGCCGTGTAGTACCAACAAAATGATAGTTGGTCAGACATTGGGTCAATAAAACAGATTTTTTATTTCCGTCATAATGAGACCGGAATGGAGACCGGACATTTTGTAGGGCTGAGATCTCGGATGTGGAGCACTTGTGCAGTGGGGCATTTTTGGGGTCATGGAATAGGTCGGGGAAGGGAAAGAAATAGCTTGAGCCGAGACGAGGCTCCTAGAAAACAAACTACAAATGCGGCACAACCATTGTCCAATCCGGGGTCCCATACGCACCAACCGGCAACTTCCTGATACTAATAAATGCCTCGACCACCAAGTAAATTCTCGCAACCACATATGCTATACCACAAACCGTACACAAAAACCCAATCACCAAATAGCTACCCCAATGTTCTTTCAAAGCTAGAAACCGATCCCAAAACTGGTCGACAGGCTTAATAGCTCGAGCGAGGCCATTGATACATAACCATAACAATCCAGAGAATGCAATATATACAGCGCTGGCTCTCCACATCCATTGTTCGAAGAGAGAGGGAAAATAATCGTACCAGGCCGCTGCGTGCACGGCTCCGAACGCAATGCTGGCTAGCCATAATGTCATGCCCATGACGAGACCACCGGTGCTACGGAGGAGATCTTCGCCAGGCCAGTTGCCCGCGGAGAGAGAAACGAGTTGTTCGATTAGAGGCTCGTGGATTTGGTGGGTGGGCTGACCAGGAGAAGCTGGAATGGTGTTGACGGTGAAACGGGAGCGGAGCGCAGGGTGGGTGTGAATTGCTTTTGCTGCTAGTTGCCAACGGGTCAGTTGCTCGAGACTAGCATTAAGTAGGTATTTAGTATTTTCAGTTTGATCGGGATCTCGTTTGGAAGAACCGTTGGCGTTTAGGTCCGATCTTGACGGGACAAAGAATCCGAATGTAGATCTTTGGGCCGATTCATACAACTCGGTAGTTGCTGCATTGATTTCAAAAATATGCGATTTCTCTGGTGTGAGACTGGACGGCGTTCTCTGGATTCCAAGCTCCTCCTGAATTTCATCAGACGCCACCGGAGGCACATATGCAAATCTCGAAAGTTCAGAGTCCTTCCACGATCTCTTGAGAATACCAGGATGTTTGCTATCATTTCCACTGATCTGAATACTCATGTACATATAGGCACATAAAGGCTTTACCCAATCTCCCTCGAGTTTCGTGGGTACCATTATAGAACGTGGTTTATGCCACCACAGTAAATAGATAATGAATGCACAGAGAACGTGACCCAGTGTATTTACTTCCAAAAGGGTGACCGGGAGCCCAGTAACAAGTCGTCCAATAACTTGTACTAACATCCATCCAGCTTGGAGAATAACGAGAAGTTTCGCCATGGTGTCTGCTTTGCTTTTATCCAATATCTCGCGTTTGGTTATGTCTGGAAGGTGACCGCATTCCGCGAGTAGATTGACACCACGCGCGGTAAGCGTTAGACGTTGATAGTTGGGGATAAATGGCGGGGTGTTATCGTCGGAATTCTCGAAATCGAAAACAAATCCACCCATGCCGGCGTAAAAACCATGAACAATGGTCCATGGTGAAATGGTATCATGTACTTCAACTCTGGTCGATTTATTATCAAGCTAAAAATTGTAAGTAACTTGAGCAGTCACTCTCCTGATAAATTGCACTGTCCATGGAAAGGTAGATTCTCCTTTCTGCACGAGTTTCTTTTTGGAATTTTTGTGAAACCTGAAGATCCGGAAATGTAGCTCAGACTGAAAGAGAATATCCAAGAATACGTACCTCTGACGATTTTGTACGAGAACGTTCACTCGGACACGGTGTCATAACCTCAGAAATTCTATCTTGAACCAAAGCTTTCAAAGCTGTCGCAGAATTATACTGTCTCCAAGCCGCAAAGACCACCAACTCCGGAGCAAAAATACCTACAACACCCCATCTGATTCCTATTATAAATTCTTGAATCGTAGGATGATAAGGTCTTGGAATATTAAGATGCATCGCCGACCAAACACAAAGTGATAATGTCAATAGACAAGAAACGACGAGGGAAAATGTTCCCCGGCCATTGGGATCTGACACCCAGCCAGTGGTTGTCTCGTTGCTTGGTTTAAGAAACGGCGCACATGTTGATGTATCGAACAAAAAGAAATAGAACAAGAAAGAAGATGTGGATAATAGCATCGTGATGGTAAATAGCGAGCTGTGAAGAAACAGCAAGCGACTAGATTGTACTTCGCGCGGAATCTAGTGGGCCCACGCGTTGGGACTTAACATCACTTAATGTTATTCCTCAACTCATATGTCTAATTTCATCGACATTGGCCTTGCCTCAATTGTTTCATGAATAGATATAATAAGAAGTTGTATTGGACAAAATGCGAAAGCAACCCAAAGAAGATTCTGCAGGACACCCTCCAGCACAAGGATTCCCATGTAGAATCGGTCATTAGCAACAGAGAAGCAACATCATTGATACAGATATACAAGTGTGTATGCCAAAAAAAACCTATCATACACCGCTGAAATTCATGTAACATAAATGCTACGCTTTAGGACATAAGCGCCGGCTGGGGTTGTATGCAAGGTTGAATAGAAACGGAAGGTTACGTTGAGCATCCTCACGACGCTCACGTGATATAGAGTCGACGAGCTGACCTCTTTTTTCCTTGTGTGTTTCCTTGGGAAGTATTGATAGATACAGTACTATTGCTTTGTTTCGTTGCAAACGTGTGTTACTTGTTGTGAAATTATTTTGTTGCGATTTTTAAAGATGTTATCAAGACCAATACAACGTTCTGATAAGAGGAGTCAAAACACCATCAAAGTTGTCGCGGGCCAGCCAGACATCAGTAGTAAAGCAAGACTTCGGGCTAGAGGGAATCTGAGCGGCTATAATTTAGGAAGTAACCTACTCGAATGGCATGAACTTCGTAAGTTCTTGTGAATTCTCCGCAGGCTTTACAATGACTGACAATGTGCTGGAGAAAATTGGCAGCAGTTAGTTTGCTTTCTAGGATTCTTAAAATGAGAATTAGCTGAAATTTTTGATCTCCTAGAGACAATGAATACATCTTATCAGGATATAGGTGACTTCTTCCTTGTACATTATGAATTCGTCATCACGCGACTAATAGAACACAGACCTGCCTCAAATTCACTTCTCACGTCTCTGTGGAGCTTATGCCATATACATAACGAGACAAGTAAAGTTGCTTCGTTTGACAATATTTGGAAACATGGCTAATCAGAAATCGCACGTTCAGTCAACATATACTCTCATCTATTCGGCTCGATTCTCTTCGCTACTCTTCCATTTTCTCTCTATAGACAAATCGCTCCACGCTATGCCACTGCAACGATAGCAGATATTGTCGTGTTCTCGACGTTTTTCTTTGGAGTAGCTATTTGTTTTCTACTTTCAGCTACGTATGTCCAGTGAGCTGTCCAATAGATGCTTCTTTTAGCTGAAGCCTCAATAGTTTCCATCTTCTAGCGAATCACAGTAAGAGGGTTAATGCACTTGGCAATCAACTCGATTATCTAGGTGTGGTGATCTTGATGTGGGGTTCCACGATCCCGACTGTTTATTATGGATTTTACTGCGATCCAGCTATTCAGGAAACATATTGGACAATGGTGGGTGTGCCCTTCTTATTAGAAGCATTGGCTAATGATGAAATCAGATATCTCTCTCGGCAGCGGCCTGTGCAGTCACAACTCTCCATCCCAAGTTCCGTCATTCGGCTTTTCGTCCATATAGAGCAATTATGTACAGTTGTCTAGGGCTTTCCTCTATCACCTTCGTTATTCACGGTCTCATACTTTACGGGTATGAAACGCAAAATTGGAGAATGAGTTTAGATTGGATGGGGATCATGGCTGGGTTCAATTTGTTTGGTGCTTTTGCTTATGCTGCAAGGGTAAGCTAAGTCTTGCATGATTGCCCCATTTGCTTGATAATTTTGCAAGTCCGAGTTCGAGAAGAGATAAGAATTTTAACACTGAGAGCTAACGAAGACATTCATAGATACCAGAGAAATGGTTTCCACGTCGCCACGACATCTTAGGTTCAAGTCATCAGATTCTCCATTTTATGGTTATTTTTGCGGGATTAGCACACATGGCTGGGCTTTTGAGAGCATTTGACCACATACATTCAGATACATTCCGGTGTATTTAATTTGGTTGAAATTCTGCAAGGAATTTGCGCCACTGTGGTTTGGGGGGAGGGGGCGCGACTGTAAAGGGGCCTTGAAGTTTGCACATACGAAAAAAGGTGCACATGGTTTTCGAACTTCTCTTTAGACGTCTAGCTAGGATATGATTCAAACCCAATATTCTCTTGAGAATATTCTCAAATATATCTGAATTCACCATTCTGCCTTGGACTGAGATTATTGGCTTCGTGGCAAAATAAGAGAGGTTATCTTGATTTCTTTCCATTGCGTGATCAAATCTTACCTGTAACAAGTCGCCTGCGAGGTTTCACCTTGTGATATTTCAGAAGTTCTACTCTTTCTTATTTGCTCGTGTATGCTTTCCTTTCTTTGAGAACCTTTTCGATACCGCGGAAATCATCTGATTAAACCAATAGAAATTTAAAAGTGTCAATATAGTATTCGTTCCCAGATAGCCCCAGGCCAACCATGTTGGTAGCGACAGCTCTTTGGATTCTCCGGAGAATCTGAAGAGTTCCCATTCTGAAGCACTAGGGAATCCAGGCTCCGGGGCAATTATTGCACTGGGGGTATGGAAAGAGCTCCATATATCCTGATACAATCTTGCAGATTGGTAGACACCCCACACAAGACGGCATGAGAAGAACATAACGAGGAGCACTATGCCATTGTAAAGTTGTGCTTTGGAACCCGTCATGTTGAGCTTATCGAAGAACCAGTGAATATTGAGGAATGGGGTGGAGAGTTCGTAAAGGACGAAGTTCAGACCATAATAATTCGCAAATGGTCTCTAAACATTTGTTGTATTAGCTTAATACAGTATAGTGATGATGGATACGTGTGCAAACAGAAACTAAGAAATAAATCGAAACTCACAAAACCAATGCCAACCACTAAAAGTGCACAGATGGCATGTATTAACGAGCTCCATCCAAGAACGTCTAGATGAACAACACTAGCCATCAAATCCCATAAGAAATAACCCATAGCAAAAGCCTGGACAAGACCTCCAGCCCCAGTGTATCCCCATATTCTTCCCCGCCAGTCCATGTTCCATCGTTCATCATCTGTCCATTGCACCCACAAGGCCAATGTACATATCACAGTAGATTGAACGAATGAGACAAAATGAATGTTCCAGTTGATCTTGCCTCGATGGGAAAGCGATGGGTATTTTTTTGGAAAGAGTCGAGATGAAATAATTTGGGAGACATAGGTATCGACGATGGTGTAGAAACAAAATGCGATGATTATTTCATGTATGTGGTAAGGCAACGTTTGCAAGTCCAAGAAATCTACCAAGACTTGAACTTTCGCGACGAAAATCTCAGGTGGAGAGAAGAATAGATCGAGCATTTTGAAAACTGCGTCGTAAAGAATCAAAGAGTTGTTACATTTCACAGGTACAAATATACTGGTGTGCGGCAAGATGAGCCCTGAACTTTCAGCCTCGCAACGGTAAGACTACCTTGTCTCATCCCTCTTACCCTTGCCTAGAGATCGTTTTTCATTGGAACTCACGACCGAGTGATGCTGCAATAACTTTTAAATCAGTCAAATGAGGCGAGACGCATCTTGTGAGTCGGTAGGCAATTGAACATTGGTCGGAAGTGATCCACCACCAGCATCTATAGCCTGTCAGAACAGTTCGATTCTTAGAGCGGCCATAGCAAACAGTACACTCGTACAAGTTGGAGTCCATAATTGGATGGCAGGTAAGTTAAATGATGAATCTCGGAATATTAACAAGAATTGCACGATAGTTGTCTGCGTAGAAGTCAAAACGTTAGTTGAAGATTTTCGGACGAGATAAGAACAACTGCTCGACCGATTATTCAGCGACACAATTCCCGAAGTATAACCTGAAGTCTTGTGACCTCGGCGCCTGTGACACCACCTTGCGAGCCTTCAACCCTCACCAAATCTCCATCCCAAATTCAAACACTTCAATAACTCATCTCAACAATTTTTGACCACATCATAAACAGAGCAGTCCCATCCTCCACCCGTTCAAAACCTTAAAAGAGCCCATAATCAGACGATATCGACGTACAGTCGTACACTCAACCCATGTTATTGAAACTTGGGACGTTTTAAGGTTGTCGGAGTTGATACACCTCCGTGCTTCATGTACTCGCTTGCTCACAATGCCATGGACGGACATGATTGAAGCCGAAGAGAGTTAAGGGTTGGCAACGGGATGAAAAGACTGAATTTCTTTACATGGGCAGCAATAATGCTGTGTCGTTATCGAGAAAGGCAAATTGGGATTTGGATGCGATTCGAGTATAACACAGTTGTTGAAGAAAGATACACACACCTAAAGTTAGGCTAACCTCCTGTCATATGCGAAGTCTCGCAACCATTTAAAGAGACGGAAGAATAAGCCAATGTACATGCCATCAAGGCCCAGCCTTACACATATTACCCCATTCGTCTCCATTTATTAACCTTTAAGCAAGGCATCCAAACATGATACACACCATCTCAACTTCAAAAGATAGTTACATGCCAAGCCTTCACTCCTGTCATCTTATCTCAATCATCATCCGTAGTTTTGGTTCCCGTCAAAAGACCTAACCCCTGGAGTTTTAAACCTCCCTTCCCCAAACACTTCAAAGTCATCTTTGTTACAACCCCAACCTTCATGATCTCCTTGAACATTCTTGGATGAAGAAATTGTATTGAATTTTACTCATGTGCGTCACCAAGGCTGTAACAATAGGATAAGCATATTGAAGATCATTCAATTTTCGTTTTTGCTTAATTATGCCTTCTTCTCCCTCGATGTAAGTTTTGATTTTTTGATTTCATATCTTGGTTTTTACATTGTCTACTGTTTCTTTCACTCTTCATCATTCTTCCTACTTTCTTTTATAACATATACGTATTCTTTAATTGTTTTGTCGGCGAGTACGATATACACACATTTTTTATTCTCAAGCGACAGGTCGCCATCATTCTATTCTGTCCTATTCTATAATTTTTGGAAAGACTCATTTCATACAGTAGTTCTTTAACTTGATAACTATTCATCCTATCAAAATGCATATCACACAGTCTCTCCTCCTTTTCGCTTTAAGTATCAGCACTGTCTATGGTAAGTCCTATGCATTCTCTCTCCCTAATCCAACTAACCCCCCTTCAGCCGCAGCCAATACAACCACCTCTCAAACCCATATAGTCCGCGTCGGCCAGGTCAACAATAGCACCGCGCTTAGATATTTCCCCGACAACATTTCCGCCAAAGTAGGCGATACAATTCAATTTCAATTCGCAGCTGGAAACCACACCGTTACCCAATCCACTTTTGACGCACCCTGCGTTCCAATTAGCCAAAGTTCAAATAACACAGGTGTTTTCAGTGGCTTTATGAATGTAGCTGCTGGGTTGAATAGTACGGGTATGGTACCAGTATTCAGCATGCCGGTTAAGGTCGCTACACCGTTATGGTTTTATTGTAGTCAGGGGAAGCATTGTCAAAATGGTATGGTCTTGGTGGTCAATGAGAAGTGAGTCTCTTCCCTTCCCTAACTATATGTTTTATACTAATACCTCGCAGCACGGCAGCAAACTCAACCCGCTCTCTTGCAAACTTTGCAGCACTAGCAGCAAAAGCCACAAAAAATATCGCACCTACATCCAACGGTACTTCATCCACCTCTTCTTCCACTTCCTCAACTTCCAATTCAGGCTCTTCGGGATCAACCGGCTCCTCCTCCGGCTCTTCAGGCTCCTCATCCACAGCAACAACACTCTCTCCAGCCTCAGGTACATCTTCTAGTAACAGCGGAGATTCATCTGCAGCTGCAGCTGCATCTGGAACAGCTACTACCAGCACGAGTCTTGCGGCCGCTACTGCGAATGCAGGAAATAAATTTGGAGTACAAAATGCGATGGGATATGTGGGTGCACTTGGAGCTGGTGTAATGGTTTTGTTGTGAGGGGTTGATTGATGAGTTGAACGCATGACGATGCTAAAGAGACGTCCAAAAGATGAGAGAAAAGTAGACTTGGTGGAAATAATGTGGAAAAGAAAAGAAACGATGATTTGTTAATGTATCACTATGCATATATGCATTATACCGCGATCCTGTGGACGGGACGCGATGATGGCGTATGGAGAACTATTCTCTACTTTGTTTGTTTAATTCGCTGGATGATAAAGCGATGCATCACGATGAGATAGTATAGATGATGTCTGTCATACCCATATTAACTTTCGTCATCATGTATGTACATGTGAAGTGCTCGTTCATGCTAGAGTCAAATGCACTAGTAAAAATTAGATAGCTAATAGCTGGCCCTCTTGACCAATATTCAAATTCGAGATAGATGGCTCTTGGACTTCATTCATGAAATCCCATTGTCAGGATATATAACACGTAGTAACTCTATATCAAAAATATCACCCGCTGACACTCCCCTCATCTCCAAAAACGCCGAATCTCGCTATACTGCCTTGATAGAAAGAGAACTCCTCGTAGATAGATATTCGTGCCGGCAAAGGCCCAAACCATCATATTCATTTTGATTCTTCCAATCGTAACTCCCTCCCACTTCCCTCAAAAATCCAACAACAACTGCGGCGCCATCTTCTCCAAATCTTCTACCTCCCAAAACCCACCCCCTCTTCCACTGCCCCTCTCCGCATACCTAACTCTCGCAATTGCCTCTCGAACAAACGTATCCATATATTTTCCCACCGCTTTATTCGCTTCTTTTGAAATCCGCGTATTAGGCTCTGCAAATAATTCGTGCATAATTTTAGATAGGAGATCATTAGAAATTGTTGTGCGGATTTCAGAGTCCGAATCTGATTCTTCTGCTGGGTTTGGGTGGGTAGATGTTGAGGCGGTGTTGCGAGGAGTAGGACGAGGGGGAGATATCATTTCGAGCTCGGAACCAGAGGATTGGGGATCGCCGTTGTTTTTTGCTTTGGAGGTTGAGGGTTTGGTTGTGGATGTAGATATTGATGCTTTGCCTTTCCCTTTTGGTATAGGTGGTTGTGATGCGAACGGATCATCGCTATCCTCGTCGACTTCCATTTCATCATTTATATCTTTTTCCGACTCTGAGTCTGAGTCTGAGTCTTCTAGTTGAGGAGTGGGAGTTTTGGACACGCGGGGTTGCTTGGAAACTCCCGGTTTGACTGTAGATTTAGGTTTGGAGGTTAGGGATGTGGAAGTTGCGCCTTTGGGACGTCCGCGAGGTTTGGATTGCCCGGAGGGACGAGGGGGATTGAATGGTTTGGGGGGCATGATTGTAAGTGGATGAGCAATTGAAAGAGAGATGATGGTGATTGCAAGCTTGTTTATGTGCGGTATACGTTATGTGATGTGCAGTGGGAGATGTGAATGTGCAGATAATTGCAACCGTAATGTTAACCCAATTTCTTTTCGCTGAGAGAGTTGAAGAAGCTGAGAGACGCGACGCGAAATGGAACGTTAACATGTGACGCAAGAATATGCAAATACGGTGACCTTTTCGCTCACACTTCGGAAAATTATCCAGCATCGACACCAACAAAGCAGAAGAAAACACAGTATTACTCAATTTAGTTTAGGCTATTGAAATAATGAATTATATTTATTAGATGTGCAACAAAACGTCTGAAATGGATGCTAGGGGTACGGTATAGCATGGTGAATCGATGGGAAGGAAAGGGAGGTTACTTCTAGTGAATCTTTGGACCTCCCTTTCCTCGAATTTGAGATGAATATCTAAGATGCTTTGGGTGATCACGGGCGAGTGTATTTTGAAAGAGGCATCTAATAGCTAAGATCATTCGGATTCTTCCGTGGACTCACAGAACTTCAGGATGAAGTATTGGCACCATGGCAGTGTTTTCTTTCTCACACACTCGAGCCCAAACCTGGCGCAACGTCTTCTCAGATGTCAGCATCGCAAACTCCAAGATCTTTACTGTACTCATCCCGTCTCTTCTTATATGGTAGACGGTGATCGAAGTATAACCATGAATGAAGCTCGCGTAATCTGAATGAATTCAAAAGAGGACTGTGCTTGGTCTGCGGAATAGTAGCTGCCAGGTGTAAAGATTAGAGAGCAATTCTGGTTTGAGGGCTTAAAGAAAAGGGTCAATCATTGGACTTATCAAGTGAAGTTCACGATTTTCTGCTTCTGGAACATCACGATCTAAGTGCTGGCTGGCATGTCGAGAATGGCCTCACATTACTTCTCTTGTGAAGTTTGCTTCAATAACATCTCACGAGACTTAGGGGCTCTATTTACCACTCACATACAATACGAATAAACTCACAACACCATCAATGTTAGATGATCATCAATCTCAGCGAATTAACTACTATAACATATTATAAATATCTTCTACACACTACACAAACATAAACATGAACTAAATGACAGCAGACTGTAATGCCCGCGGATATATATGCAAAGTAAACAAATGAAAACTTTTGGGCCACGCCAAGTCCACAAGGGTAAAAGGTATCTATCTATCTTCCGTTTCCTTTGTCGATGCAATCATTAAACACACTCTATACCAACGCCGTTTTCTTGCTGTTCGGAGTGAGATTTAAGGATATTGCCCACCACGCACGAATCCCTTGCTCACTATACCTCCCTTCCTCCTTTTCAGTTTCGCTTCCTTTGGTAAGAAAGGAGGCGAATATGAAATTATATACAATGGAAATATTTGTTTTGTAGATTTTGTTGGTGTGAAATTGAATCGATGGGTAACTGGGGATCTGTCGTTGAGCTTTATATGTTGTTCGATGAATCTCGGGATTAGATGATGTTTGTAATACTCATCCGTTCGTTGCCGCGGTTTCTGTCGTCTCTTCGAGCCGGAGGACTTGTTTGTGGTTTTGCTGCAATTGGTCCCATACCACTCGCTCCAATTGATCCTCCTGTTGCGCCGCTCATTCCTCCTGCTACTCCGGGCGCTACACCCAAGCCTAAGCCAAATACACCTCGAGGCTCGGGCAAATACGCATTTCCTTGTCCTTGTCCAGTGATAGATCCAGAACCTGGCACAGGCCCAGACGAATTAGATTCTCTAGCCAAAATATCTACCAAATATTGCACTCTTTCCCACCCACCCCAGTCCCTCGCTTCCGCTTCCCCAAGCACCAAAAGTCCTCCACTCAATCCACTCATACCTCCCATTTCCCTATCTCTATCTCCCTCTCTTGATAATGTAGGACTAGTCACACCCGCTCCTCCAGCAACATTGGGACTCCTCATGCCCATCGCCTCTCTGCCTTGCCAAATCCAGCTCTCATCTCCGCCTTGCAGATCTCCACTCAAGTATGCCAATACTTCCTCATCCATATCAAATCTTCCTCCCCTTTGACTGGAATTTTGACCTAAATACACCTGTTCCCTACTTTTATTGTCCGAACTCCTCTTCTTATCAATCAACACACCTAGAAAGAATCCAATGTATCTCCCACAAGCTACATTAACCTCTCTCTCAAATCCAACATAAGCAAGCGCTCTAATGCACGTCGCAGCAGCGTCAAATCGTCCTCCGAAGAGTAAAAATAGGGTACATCGCCATATATGCATACAAATCATCGCGCTAGTACTTTGGCCCCAGCTCCGATTTTGCGAGGATAGTGGGCTTGTAGAACTTTGAGGGAGAGCGCGAGATAGTATTGAAGCACTATTCACGGAATCAATAATACAGGATTCGATAGCCGATGCGCGTAGATCGGGTGGTGAAGATGTGGTGAGATTGTGGCGGTGAAGTAGAAGACGTGCGTTCAGGAGGTGGTAGATGGGGACGAGAGTCGTGGATTCGAGAGGGTCGGAGGAAGAGAGATGGAAGGGGAGTGGGAAAGCGGATAGACAGTTTGTAAAATGAGTGTCGAATATTGAGATTGTGGAGGGAGGAATAATAGGTAATTTGAGGGTCTTAAGAAGAGAACCTACGGCGCGCATGGTGTGGATAATTGGAAGAAGATAGGATGATGGCATGCTTGTTTGTGCACTATGTTGAGGCGCAGGTGGAGATCGATAGCCCAAATAAAATTCATCAATAGAGTTCGGAAGATTAACATCGCAATCTGCGTCGTCAATAAGAAGGGGTCTTCCAAATTCGAGCGACATGTGTCGGTCCCAAATATAGATTCCCCACCATACTCTTCTGCGCATTTCATCTTCAACTAATTGCCACGGTCCCGTCTCGCAATGAAAGCCTAAATCTTGTCCAATTCGAACACTTGATCCAAGCCATGTCCACGCTGCCGATTTAAGATTCATTTCGTAAAGAAATATACTGATAAGGAGAGCTGTGCGCGCATGATCTATGCAGTAATCGTCGATCCAAAGGTCTGTAAGGTTTATGGATAGTTCTATGTATTCTTTACCTTTGTAAGGTCTTTGAATACTAGGCTCTGTGCTGAATAGAACTCCCATCGCCATCACCGCAAAGAATAATGCAGTCCAGTTCCGTGATGTAGTTTCCAAAGAGCCCTTTTTGTAAACTTCTTCATACTCGCGCTCAAAGTTTGGCCAATGTAATATGGGTGTTACTAGGTGTATGGAAGAATAGTAGGCTCTCAAGAGATGATCTGCGAGATGCTTGGGAGGTAGTTCGGGAGGTGAAGAAGTCCTGTTCACTGGTGATCCTATTTGTCGGTATGTAGCTGGAGTTTTGAAGATTCCATGGCTATAATTCCCGATGCTCGATTGTATTTTTGACAAATCGTGTAGCAGAGGGGCTCTTGGTCTCTTTTTAGGTTGCGATCCAATCTCTGGTAAGTGTATAGAAGTCGAACCTTCATCAACATCCATTTGATCCTCTTTCATACTGAGCATGGCTCTCAGTTGGTTATTCTCGCGCTTGACTTGGGCAATCTGTTTCTCCAAATCTTGAACCTGTTTGATAGAAGACATACGTCTATTTGTCTCTTTCGTAAATTGACATTTGACATTCCTACTAGAGCACTCCGAACAGCTACTAGTTTCCGTCGCATCGCATTTAACTTTGCGTTCTCGACAGGCATCACAACTTGGATCCTTTCTTCGTTGTCGATACGCTCGCTTTTGCGCTTGCATATTTGCCGATGTCATTTGTCCAACAGAAGGGCCTGGAGTGCCGCTTGACGACCCATTTGATGCTATAGAATCCATGCCCATTCCGCCTGGAGATGTAGCAGCAGAGCTATAGCTGTGGTGAAAGGGACTTTGCCCAGGTGGCGGAAGCCCTGAAGTCATTGACATGTGTTGTGGGTGAGGGATGTTTCCGGTCATTGGCCGTGGCGAAGCTCCCATTAATCCACCTTCGTACAATCCTTGGGGCCTGGGAGAGGTCGCAGAAGATACCGAAGATGAATCATAAGATGATGTAGAAGGTATCGGTGATCTGGGATATGTATTATGCAATGGGTCCGTCATCGTTGGAGCACGCGGGATCTATCTCTTCAATTGATACAACGACCGGAGGTAAAGTTGATGTATCTATGAAACGAAAATACTGATAATGAAGTTGTGTTTGCTTAAAGATGTCGTTATTGGTGGTTTAGCTTCATCGCTTGGTCGGTATATACCGGTCTCTAGAGTACTTGTAATAGAAAAGAGTGTATAAAAATGTTCTAATCAGAAACAATCGATGATAAGATCCACACAATGTCTATAAGATCTAGTCAGAAACTTTTAGTCAGAAACAGGTAATCTTTCAAGTGCTCCGTGTGTTGAAGATCTGAAAGATTCGCGATGCGCCGCAGGGGAAAGAGTATTGTGCAACGTTGAAAGCTGCCAAAATCCGACGCACGCCTGCAGTGTGCTCAAGCTAGAATTTCCCCCACTGAATCTTCAATGCTAGATGTATCAAAAGTCGGCAGCTGATCCGTGAGGTGGAGGTGATTAATCTGTGACAGAACGGATATCAGCCAGTTATATTAAAGTAAATGGTCGCATATCGGGAAATACTAAATGCTTTAAAGGAGAATGACCATTTTGGGGCGGTAAATGGGTATGAAGAGGGAAAAGATTGTGCCGATGAACAAGTGATATGAGCTTTTCGTGCTAGAGTAAACTTGGATGAGTGGTTGAATGGGAGGGTATATGACGGAGATGCAAGCATTGGGCTTCCGCTTTAAGGCTGATTGGGAAATCTGGAGTAATTGATTGCCAAGATTGAAAGGCAAGCATTCAAATCAGAGGTTCGCCAAAGGTTGCTAGGCCCTAAGTTTCCCTGCTACCCGGCCATCCATGTATATAACAAGGACTATTATCATGTTAAAATGTAGCGGCATAATTGCGATGCTCAGAGACCTCATCAGTCTAGTTTCTTGTGACAGGCTATCGGCAGGGATTCAAAATATGTGCCAGTGAGTAGTAGTTACCGGAACACTCTGCATGAAGCAAATGTCAAGGGTGTTAAATCCTAAGGTGGGTATGGCCACGAGGCAAATTCATCTTAAGATCTTTCCCGATTGGGATGCAAACTTGAAATCTCATCCTTATTTGGTAGTCGGGTCGGCAGGAAGTTCCTGTCATACTTCGGGACATGATATGCACTGCTGATTGCGCGCTTGATTCGATTCTCCAGCGGAAACTCAATGCTCAAGAAGATGGTTTCCAGGCAGCTCGGTACTGATGAGCCATCCTAAAACTTAAAACGACATATAGAGGAGATCTTTCAAATAAATTGTTAAAACATACCGGGAATCTGTTCAACTTGCACACCTAATTCACCGACCACTGATATTTGTGAAGGATGACCTCCCTGCAGAATTCTCGGGTTGTGGCGTGGGTAAGCGTTCCTACTTGCATGTATGCGGACTCCAATCCACTTCCGGCAGAGGATACCGACAGGTTCGGGCCGTTGATAGGACAGGGTGAATTCCAATGACTCGGAGTTATTATGTTGATACTTTGGGGGCGACGTAAGTCTTGTATCAAAAAGACGAGCAGATGGGGTGTGACGAAATAATATATGAGAATCTAGGTTCTGGCAAGGTGTATTGGTACATGTATGTATTGTGCGACGTTCGAAATGAAGAGACCCTTGATTAGAAACCTTGGGAATATTTTGATAATTTCCTAGCTCACGCGATTTGATGTCAATTTGGGAAATATGTGAATGTGAGATGCACGTGGGTGATCTTCCTGAATTTCGTTTTTGATGATCTTTATTTTCCTGACGCCAAATGCGGATTTGTACATGAACAATGCTTTAGTCTAGGATCCCGAGAATGGTCTAGGTCTAGGCCGTTGATGGCATTAGAATAACTGATGCACGATTTGTGTCCGTAGGAGATTTAATAGGCGACGCGGCACAAACCTGGTAAAAGAGGTTCAAGATTTGGTACTGGGAATATAGTGATGGGATAAGGTGGTGGTACCTGCTATCCTTATATACCCTTGCTACACTGTATTTAAACGGGTACCTTGAAGAGATTCACTGGGGTTTGTCTCGACAACATGCTGTGTTCCTAAGATCAGCGTTGCCAAACATGCTCGAGGTGCATGATAATGTATGCAAGGCTGGTTGTGAGAGAAATGTTGCAAGATGCAGATACAGCTTTCAATGCCATTTAATTTTCATTCACCCCCGCGCGTACAAACATAGCTTTATCTTTGACAAGGAAGAACCAAGGTTACCGCAGTGGGGTTTTCAAGTTCCGGTTCTTCAACAGTGCTGTCGAGGCGTCAAAGATCTCGAAGCAGGGAGATCTCCTGTCGACCTAGAAGCGAGCCATGTACACCCAATGGCGAATTAAATAAACACTAATTGGTGTTTCATCTTCTGGAGCTTGCTCAGAGCCTCTTTTTACCACTGACTCTAGGTAGCCCATCCATCGTTCAAAAAAAGGAGGGGGGATGTATCTTTCCGGAAAGAAAGCATATTCAGAGGAGTGGTTCCGTTAGCACTGTAGGGGTTTAGGAATCATGCCAAGACTCTAGATGTTGAGCCATGGCATCCGAGGTACCTGCGGATTATTGTGGGGGCAATAAATGTTGAAATGAGGGGATAGTCGACAAATATGCCGGTTTAAGTGGGCGGTATATCTGTTCGTTTTTGATCTGTGTTGATGGCGACACATACGCGCCACAGATCCATTGATCAACTATCTACTCTTTTTCTTCCAAAGACACTAAAAGTGGTATCATCATCTCATTTTGATGATTGAGTTTCCCATTATCTGCATCTTTGGTTTCAATTGGATCCCTTCGAAATACCGACGGTACGTAGAAAGCATGATCATCTTATCGAGTCTGGCATCGATATTGATATTTATCTTGATTGCATCGAATTCATTGATTGTGCTGCTAGCTCTAGATTCTTGAAGACCATGCCTGACCGCTTCTGATAGGCCTACAGGCTCAAAAGCATTGAGGCATTTCAATTTGCAGCACTGATTATACCGGATCTTAATTAGTCGCTCATCTGACCGCTGCAGGAGTCCATCTCACTGCTAATCGAATTGGGCTTTACAGGAATTAGCGGGGTTTCCTCAGCCATGAAGCCTGAATTCTTTTACTTGACAATTGCAATTTCCTCGGTGTAGTCTGCTACCGGTTGCCGAAACAATACTGTATGACCTACGATAGGTATAACAGGGAGACATTGGGATGAAAATACAAAGGCCTCGCCCAAAGGTAAAAGTGTAGATTGAGGCGTGCTAATATGCTTGTCTGGACGGCTTCATTTGCAGGGCCTACCTGGACCGCTTCAAGATTCTAGCGAGATCCAAGATATCCACCTAACAGAAAAATGCACTGCCTCCTTGGCCGTGACTGTCAATCAAGAAGGTTTAGATGAGCGTCACGGGTCGCATATTTACCCGATAAAGTTTTGTTAGGACAAGCCTTCCAATGTGTCGGTATGGGATATATGATATCTCCCAAGTCCCGACTGCGAGTCTCGATCTAAGAACCATATTAACTTGACTCATGACTGCGTAAGGAACGTGTGGATACTTGTTTTGGGTTAACTCTTGAGCTTCGATTAGATGGTGACTGACAAGGAGATTCGTTGTAGACAAGACTGTCACTGTTCCCATGCATTTGGATTATGGGGAAGTACCCTAGGTGACGTTGGATAGCATTTGACGTTACTCCAGCGGCATGGATTCCATGTCTTAAGAATAGAGTTTGTGCTGCCATGGCATCGCGGTCAAACATTACTAAATTAGTTATGTACACTTCGGAAACCGAACTACCGTGCTCATCTAGTGTCCGAGTCTAAATGACCGATTTGAGCAAGTCAGTAACCGATTTGAGATGAAGGATGATTATGCTTGAGCGTAAATAATTGCGATGAGAATTTACACGGCATTCTTTAGATACTGCAAAGTTTTTGGAAAAATCCATGTTTTAGGCATTGGCTATTTTTGTCGATACCGACAGAATTGATATTCCAAGCTCCAGGCTCGGAATTCTGGTTTCATACAGGGCTTGAGTATCGTTTTGAAGGGATTGAACCTTTGAGGAATCAGAGAATCAAAGACATTCAAAATTGCGAAGAAGATCGCTGCACTATCTCATTTCGCCCACTCCGAGTTCGTTTGGTTGAGATCGGGTTATTGTCGAAAATGCCAGGTTGATCTGTTGAAGATGACGACAAAGGGCTCTGTGGTGCTGTCTAACACCGGGGGACCATCCGAATCTAGAGGCATTCCCGGCGCTTCATTTCTTAAAACTTAGGGTAGCTGGCCATTTGAGTATAGCGTTCACACTGCAAAGTCGAGACTCGTATTGTTCTATGATTGAGAAGGCTTTGTTAAGCACTCTGACTTTGTTCTAAATTGATATCACGATTCATTGAAGCTGTGTCCCTTGAACTTCCTTCGGAATCCTTCCTGAAGCTGCAGGTTCTGTCTAGATTTCATTTTAGAAGAGAATTCAATCAGAGATCAAAAACACCGACAGCTGGTATCTTATCGCCGAACATCACTTTACCTCCTACCCACTCCTCTGGAATGCCGGTAGAGTTTGCCGAAAAAAAGTAAATGAGAATATTATGATATTCAGCATGGATGTGAATCCGTTTTTTTTCCATTATCCGGTTACTGGGTATCAAGAACTGATCGTCTTCTCATGGTGTAAGATTGATATTGATCGGTATCAAGGTAGAAATTGCAATACTACTGTAAAAACAAGGGATAAACCGCCATTTGCCTAAGCATCGTGATATTTGAAATATGTCCGAGAGAAGATGAGAAGCTCTGGCCCAACTAGGATGTGTTAGTTTGGCTTGGAGAAGACCCATTTTGAATGTTAGTGGGTATGCCGAAATCTGAAACGTATGATAGAAATCCATGATGTATCGTATGCCTCCTAATTTGGCAATCACATGCTCTATCATGGAACCAACCGCCAGGAACGGAAAATTGGTCCAATGTTAGTTGCAGATCTTTGCTTTTCTTTGTGTTGAACTGGGGCGCTTTAGGATATTTAGGGTAGTAGATAACATGGATTGTTCTCCGAATTGTCCTCAATGGAGGGATAGATGCATCCTCACTGATCCACCATTTCATAGTCATGTTGAAAGAAAACTATTTCAAAAAATTCCTCAAATCAAAAATTAAAATAGAGGCTGAAAGGGTATGTGCGTGCATTTAACGTTGCGTGTTCAGAATGTTTTATATGTGTACTCTATTGAGGGATACAAGCTTGAATCCGGGAAATTCTCCGAGTTCCGCAGTAGTTGCACACCTCTATGATGCCCACCATAAATGCTTGCTGTAAGTTTGCGACGGCGAGCGGTAAGAAAACGTAAAATAGGTGTTACTGGAACCTCAAATAGACAGAACATTGATTCCCCTGTAACGATCACAGAATATTCGCAAACATTACTCCAAGAATAGTTCGGCGATTGTCCCGAAAAGTCGATATTACCCTCCAGTCTTCATATCAACCACGTTGAAATACTAGCGATATACCCAAGGATCGGAACTTTACGTGCAAGGGGTGCAAGGAGGTTAGGGCGTTTGCTCAGGACCAAGAGATCATGTAAAGAAATATCTCCAAGGCTACCAGAAGTCTTTCCCCGACGTTAGACAAGATCAAGTAGGTATCCGCTGCTCCGGGAGTATAATGAAACACTCTGTAACGCTCCACCATGTTCAATGGCGACGTCGGTATCTACATCACAGAACCTTCGTATATAAAATGAGCCAACAAACAACTTCGGGGTAACGTTGAGTGACAGATTGACAGTTGCCGACTAGGGTACATTCTAAGGGAAAATGGGAAATGCCGTTCGTACAAATTCAACACTGAAGACCCGATGAGGTGACAGTAGTGCAAGGGGGAGAGGAGGATTGTGGAGCCTCAATGAATAAGTTATCTCCATTCCTGGGTCCACTCCCATGTCAGTAGTCTGTTCAAACATTCAGATAATGCAAACAATGGTCGGGCAATTACTCAGGACAATGCCTCAGCCTCAGTAGTCGGGCAATAACCCCCTTGTGTGTTGCCATTTGTAGAATGTGGTATGTAAACCTACCCTACCGGTGACCATCGACTCCCCAGAAGTTAGGCCATTGATTATGTGACTTGTACAGATGAAGGAACTCGGAAGTAAAAGATGGGAGAGTGATAAATTGTGCTTCGTTAGATCATAGATGGGAATTTAAGTGTAAGGTACCTGGGATTTCTCGGATTCCGCCGTATAGCGATTGGCTCTCTCTTGCGTAGTCCTTGCAAAGCTATTGCATTCTAAGACTCCACCACAGAACATAATAACCTATGAAATTCAATCAACCTCTATCTTCCTTGAAAGGATTGGCTAGAACATCAAGAATGTCGGGTCTTTTGGTCTCTTACCTTGACCGCCAGCAAAAATAGGATGAAAAGTTTCTGCCATTTTTCGGTCATTACCACCTTTTCTCAAAAAAATTCAATAATTATTACCATACATCTTCAATCTTCATGATTAGACCATACCTTTGCATTGTCAATTCCCTGACACCACTGCCCTAGAAGACGAAAAAAAGGGCACAAAGGTAGCGATTGGTAAAGTAATATTGTGCTGTAGTTTGATATCTATCAGATATTAATGGCCGTAGGCCCGAAGTATTTCAATTTTGCTATCTGTGCTATTTGGTGGGTTGTCCTTTTGTAAAGCGTAGCCCTCGCTATCAAGGTTGATATTCACTCAATATTCACGATAATTGATCATTCATATAATTCATTGCTGGATCTTCTTCTTTCTTAGAGCAATTGATTTTTGATAGAAGTATCTCTCGATAACCATATTGTTGCCCCGATAGAATCGAGCAGAACAGAGAATACACTTTGCGATCTCGATAATTCGACTTAAATTACCATCTCTTCCTCATCCAAATCCTCTCAATATACAATAATTCAAGATGTGCGGTGAAAACATGAAGCAATTCCTGAAGGAGCTCCCAAAATGTGAGCATCACATTCATATCGAGGGGTCTCTTTCTCCAGCGCTCTTATTCGAGCTTGCCAAAACAAACAATATCGCCCTGCCAGACTCTGCGACTGATGCCTCTTTCAAATCTGCCGAAGAACTCGAGTCTCGCTATGAACGCTTTACTTCCCTCAACGATTTCCTCCATTACTATTACATTGGCATGTCAGTTTTGATAAATGCTGCGGATTACGAAAGTTTGGCCTATGAATACCTCACAAAAGCCAATCGCGACGGAGTTCATCATGCCGAAATTTTCTTCGACCCACAAGCACATACTGAACGTGGAATTGCCTACAAAACTGTTGTTGAGGGTCTTACTGCTGGATTGAAGCGCGCTGAGAAGGATTTCGGTATCACCTCAAAACTCATTCTATGCTTCTTGCGACACTTGTCTGCTGAGAGTGCAAACACTACATATCAGGAAGCAGCTTCGCTTGGTCACTTTTCAAATGGAACCGTAGCTGCTATTGGTCTTGATAGCAGTGAGGTTGGATTCCCACCAGAAATCTTTAGAGAAATTTATGAATCCGCGGAAAGCAAAGGAATTCACCGCACTTCTCACGCTGGTGAGGAAGGTGACACTTCTTACATTTCCAGAGCCCTAGACATCTGCAAAGTTGAGAGAATTGATCATGGAATTAGACTGGTTGAAGATGAAAGCTTATTGAAGCGGGTTGCAGAGCAGGGAACAATGTTGACAGTCTGCCCACTAAGCAATGTTCGCTTGAGGTGTGTTGAGAATGTTGGACAATTGCCAATTCGAAAGTTTTTGGATGCAGGAATCAAATTCAGCATCAACAGTGACGACCCAGCTTACTTTGGTGGTTATATCTTGGATAACTATGTTGCTGTTCAAGAAGCATTCAACTTGAGTTTGAAGGAGTGGAAATACATTGCAACCAGCGCAATCGAAGGGAGTTGGTGCGATGATGAGAGAAAGTCTGTGCTCTTAAGCAAGGTCGACGCATGTGTCAATAAGCATGAGGCATTGATCTGAAGGAAGGAGTAAACAAAAGTTGAGTGTCGCCATTTTTAAGTCTGGAATTCATCGGGAACGTTGCAGATATATTGGTGCCAGCAATCATCTCTCGGGTGCGCATCTATATTCAACTTCGTTTCGGGATCTTATATACACAAAAAGGAGATGAATGGCGCTGGGTTTTAAAAAAATTAAATGCACATATATATCACCTCGCTTCCTCTTGCTAATCTGTGATCTTCTTCGACTCAATACACCATTGTTTTCTGTGGGCGACTCCGCGTTGACCTTTTTATTAACGTCGTTGCCTTTTACGTTTTGCTCACTATACTCCAGCTGTGGTTCCGGCCTTCATTTTATCATGAGAAGTGGGTGTATTGAATATGGTGAATTTCTTACATGATGTGATTCACAATCAAAATGGTCAGGTGCTGATTTGCATCATTCGTTTTTTACGACGGCAGGAATATTAAGGAACGAGTGGAGATAAGGCTTGCTTTCGTGTCTTAGATAACTTCGTTCCGTTTCTGCGCTGAAATCCACGACATGGGCCATACAACTTGAACCACTCTAGCCACTTGTAAGTTTTCTATCACTTTGTTGGAACGTTAAAAGTCTAATCTTCTTGGATCGCAGAGTAACAAGAGACTGACAGGCGGCCGCCAAGCTAGCCAGTTGACTCGTGAGATCTACTATTTTACTCTCACTTTTAGTGAAAAGGTCTCCCAATAGTCAACTCCAATGGGGAAATCGGAGTTGATACCAAAAATACAGCCTAAGAAGAGGGTTCGGCCAATCTCCAATCCCCTCTACACCAATGATGAGGACTTCTTCTGCAACATACTCAAAAATCATGATGTGCGCCTAGGAGAACAGTTTCCTGCCTTCGATCGCCTCGATTCTGTATCTTTTGAGCATGAAGAAGGTTTCTATCTGGGATGTCAAACTTTCTATACCTTCACTTCCGAATTCATGAATCCAGAAAAGTGTGAGAAATCCGCTGAAGTTGCACCTCCAACTTGTCAAGTTGTTGTTCGGCCCAAGTCTTACAGAAAGCCTGCTAAATATGACATTCAACCATTGACGCCGATTGATGAGTCCAGCGAGTCTACCGAATCTATTGAAGAGAGAACGAGAAACGGTTGGCCTTGCTCACCAATGAAAATGTCTCTTGGGCATGATTTTGATCATCAGAAAGATGAACAGCTCGGAATGGTCTCTTCAGTAATGTCTGCTACAATTCCAAACAATGCAATCTCGTCACTCGGGTTCCCACATTATTCAATGACTCCCTTATCCCCGATGTCGAAGATGATTCAGGATCTTGAATACCCATCATTATCGGTACCCACCAATACCCGTTCAAGTGAATCACTTGATTCATTTCATGGTCAATCGGTGAAGCCATCAATCGCTAATATCAATGAAATTGAACCAAATGACGACGATGGACTCCATGCTATCTCTATTCACCCAATTTCAGCGAACCCCGCAATAAAAGTACTTAATAAAACTCAACTGACCACCCAATTTCCTAATCTCATATACGATGCTCGAAATGATAGATATATCAAGAGATCGAAGACTAGAATCGAAAAAAGCTCTAGATTCAATGATGATCTAGCAGTTGATGACATGTACACACCGACTAATGAAGCGAGGGGAGAGAAAGGTATTGCCGTGAGCCGAATCGCGGAACATCCTGAGGCGGCAATTATGAAATACACAAACTCGGATAGAATGACGGGAATTCGTCCTTTGAGGATGAAGCCACAAGTTCAAGACAATTTTTTATATCGAGAAGTTAAGGTAGGGCTTGGAAACGAAAGTGCGGAAGGTGTTGCTAAAGGGCATTTACGAATGGCTTCAGAGCCGGAACGACGTGTAATCCCAGGAGCAGATGAGCATATTGGCAGATTGAGAGTTGATACAATACCTATCAAGAGAATCGCAAGACATCCATCTGCGAATATGTCCCGGAAACTGGAAGACTCTCCAACCTTGTCCCGCAGAAGTTCTCGCCGCAGGAAAGCTGGCCCAATTTACCTGCCAGCCTGTGCTGAGAACGCGGATGGAAGTCCAAGAAGACCACTTTTCACTCCAGTCAATACAAGATCGCTATCACCAAAAATTTATCCAGTTCGTTCGCCACCGCCGATGAATCGTCCATATCGTCATATCAGTCAGATATCCGTAGACAACACACCTGGTATTGATATACCCCCAACACAAGATCATGGATCTGTTGAAAGTGATATTGCTTCAGTCGCGGTTGACGTTACTTCTCTCGTACCGCCAACAGCCACTACAATATCTCCAGAGGTCAATATCATTTCTGTCATGCCACAATCAAGAACCACCAAATCCCCAACTACCCCCGGGGCTCCAATAAAGGTTCCATCCTATACCCTCAACCTCCCTCGAATCTTCTCATCTTCATCACCAATCGCCCCACCACCTAAACTTGCATCCGCAGTTCCGGCTGCTCCCATCCCAAAGTCTGATTCCACAAACATCCGACCTCTTCCTATCTCTAATCAGAAAAGAACTGGTATCACTTCATCGATATACTCCCTCTACACCCCCGAATCCTCTCCTCACAATAGTGCTCATGTACAGCCTCCACTTTCCAGAATTTCCAGCATCCCATCTCCACCAAGTACGCCAACGACTAGTCTTTTTCGCTCCGACACAACCAATACAAAGAACACAGTGAGTACCGTGCCCAGTACACCCACTCAAGGTGCCTACAGCCACAGTCGCCACAATACATATTCGACAGACCTCTCTAGCATCACATCGCCTGTTACCAGCCCGATTTCCAAAGCCAGACCATCCTTCGATGCTGATCCCTTCCGGATCCCCAGTCCATCTCTCAATGCTTTTTCATTCCCAAATACCTCTCCATCAGTTAAGCCATCACCCATACCTTGTCCCCGCAGCAATCTCAGCGAAGAAAGCATCGCCTTAACCGAACATCTGGTCCGAGAAGGTATCTACGGCGGTATTGTCTACGACATCGTTGCTTCTCCCAACCTCTATCCGGCTCATCCAGAACCATTTATTCCCCATCTCACCAAAAAGCTCACACCCGCACAACTTCAACGCAAAAAGAAATTTGCAGCCCGCAAACTCCAATCCGCGCTCCGAAAGCGCGAAAAAGCGGAGAAAAGAGAAAAGAAAGCAGAAGCGAGACAAGCTAAAACTACGCTAAAGAAAGTAAAGGCTCGAACTACAAAAGCGAAACTAGCGGTACAGAGTAAGAAAGGAACATTGAACTATCTTACCATCCGCGTCTTTTTCAGGGGATTGGGAATTGGGGTTAGGATGAAGTGGCAGGGAGCTAGACGGAGATTGAGTCAAGTACAGTTTTCAAAGATTCTGGGAGCGAGACCAGAGAGAGAGGTGGTGGGGGACGGGTATGACTTTGTTTGTAGGGGGGAGAGCGAGGATAAGAATTGGGAGGATGTAAGGATGAATGGTGGGATCTTGGAGCCGGTGATGAGTAGAGAGGAGCGAGAGATCACGGAGTCGAAGATGAAGGAGTAAGAGCAAGTGTGAGTCTGAGTGTGAACGCAATGTGTGTTACTCACTGGAAAACAGTCTTTAAGATGATTATTTCTTTTGTTTCTGGACTGCGGATGGAAGGGGTACTAGATTTGACTGGTACTGGTAGTGGAAGATATCCATCCTGGGTAGATGAACTCCCAGGTCATTCAGATATTAGACTAGACTAGATGGACAGCTTTCCTTTAGTTTCATTTCTCAGAGTTTTTTTGGGCAATTGTGTTATTGGAGTTTGATGGGTATGACGGGAGGATATCTAGAGGGTCTACGGGCGTTACTATTTACCATAAGTTTTGGATCTGGGAAGCAAATACACGGATATTCAATTTGATACCCATGCATTATGGAAAGGATATCTTTATCGATTCTTTGGGGATGCACATATCACAATTAACATGAATTATGGAAGGTCAGGGTAGATATTTAGAACCATGATATAGTATGCGACGTTTTACCATTTTCTCGCTATCTAGCTTACTTGGTTGGTAGCAAATTTGAATTTAAATCACAGCTCTGTTTTGAACGCAAATTCACACCACTTACACTCGCAATCAGTAGCTTATATTGCAGACTGCAATAGAGCAATGGCATGCTTTAAGTTTGAGGATACTCTTGAAATGCATACATTCGATCAACATATCATATTAATTAATCTATCAAAATCATACCTACCATGAGCCCACCAACAAGGAAGAACAAAAACTAAGAAAGCAAAAATTACATTTCTAAACCCAAATCACACCATCCTGCCGGAATATCAAGGCTCGATGAATCATGATGCTCTCTGCCATCGTATCTACCCTCAGATCTTGTACCCAGCATTTTTGGATCATCTTCATGTCTTTGCACCTCCGTCTCTGCATTCTCAACGCCTTTCCCTTTCCCCACATAACTCCTCCCTCGTCTAATACCCATACCAACCATCTGTTCTCTCACCCTCTCTCTAATTTTTCGAGCACCCCGAGCACACCCATCACAACTTCCTTTTTCTTCAACCACCTGTGCAAGTCCGGTCTCGATCCCGATTCCAAGCCTTGCAGTTTCCCATGAACATACTTTCAGTCTCTCTTTGGCGCGAGGACAAACGGAGATCGGTGTGTATTTTGAGTGTGTGTGAGGACATAGTCTGTAGTACACGTGAATATATCTGCACATTTGATAAGTTGTCTAATTTCTGGGGCCTAGATGGTATTTTGGATCTGGATGTTACTTGCAAATAGTACGAGTGTATAAATCAGTGTGGAGATGTGCGCATGTGAGCTCCGCAGGTATGAGGTTTGAGTTGGCTATAAAAGGGGAATGAGGGGATAACCGTACATTTTATGTCTTTCCGTTAAAATTTCTGAAAGCACAGTACATGCTGACCCTATGAATGGAAATCTCTATTTCGCTCTTTTGCAGTAGACGTCAAGGTTATGATACGACAACGAAATCGATATTCGAACGTTTGACACAGATACAACAGAGAACAAAGTTGAATGCAAAGAAAAAAATGTTGCTTATTATGGGAATCATCCTTTTTTTTTCGATTAATTTTCGCTTCCCAAGCCGAATAACTCCAACATCAAGGTATCTTTCACTATCCAGTCTGTATCATGAACCCCTCCCCATGCAAGTCATTACTTTTGAATCATTAATTTCCTTCCACTTTCCCTAATTGTACACTCGGCTCTTTGTCCATATATCTGGATAACAACGACATCCAATGTAGTGTTGATAACATCTGAAATCCGATATAGAACGAAATAATGGTAGTTGTTCTCTCCACTCATAGCCTTGATACCCATGCATCGTATGAAATCAGAATCACCGCAATCCCCTCCTTTTTCCAATCATAGGAACAGATGGAACAGGAGGAATTACTGACTTCCCCTTCCACTTACCGAGTGCACACTTAATCTCTGCGCCTGCAATTCTCGATCGATACTCAAGAGATTCTTTACTATATCCGCGAATGAAGATTTTCTTGCTAGCTTTGTTGTGTCAGTATGGGTTCGTTCTTTGATCATAATCTTCTCGGGTTTTTGGACAGCTTCTAATGGCAACTTGCATTGTGAAGAAGGAAAGGATTTTCTCAACTTTGAGATCTTGATAATCATGCCTATCACCCCAAAAACAAAAGAATAGAACGTACCACCCGACTGCCCTCCTTCTCCGCCTTACACTTGACACACAGTCCGTCCACCCAGCTCTCTCTGAACTCACTTTCCAACTTTCTTGCTCCTCCATTCTTTCTCCACTTCTCTTCGTTCCTCCTTTCCCTAGTCGCCGGATTTTCTTCGTTTTCCTGACCCTCTGCTTCCCTCTTCCACCTTTCAAACCGTTCCCTGTCGAACCTACAAGGCGGACTTTCGTATCTCCCACCTCCAGAGCTCATTCTTCTACTCAGTGAACCCGGACATCGTTCCTGCAGTAATAGAGAGGTGTGTGGACAAGCGTGGTGGGTTATAATGTAGATGCACATCTTCCTTCGGAGAAAAGGATCAATGGATTTGATAATGTGTCTTTCGATCGCTCGTGCTCTATGACCGTGAAATCCTCAGGCGTTGGGCGTTCCCTTGATATTATATTGGTATTATCGACGCTTTTCGAGATTCTTTGTTCTTCCTTATGTAAATGCAAATACGGATAATCTCGTTTCAGCCACCTTAAGCTCTCGTGAACAGTTCTTTTTTTTTCTGTGATTCCGGAGACGTAATGCAGTCTAATTTTTCCAATCCGGGGTTTCCAGCTCAAAATCACAAGAGTTCCAAATTCTTAAAAGGAGTGGTGCTGTATCAAAAAATCGTTTACCAGCTCTTTCTTCCTTCCACTACATTACAGTACATCCATAAACTCTCTGTATCGCTTCTGGGTGAATTATCGCCGGCTCAAATTTCTATCCTGATATCGGGTTTTATTCGTTGAATCCTTCGCAATATACCTCGGTATCCCACTAGAGATGCTGTCGCGCAGAATTTCAATTATTCAAGTAAATGATGACTGGTGATCAAGTGATATTCCTTTGTTTGAATTTTGAGAGGTGATTCACTTCTAAACTCCTCTACCTTTCAAAACACAAATAGACATGCAAATTTTGTTTCGTACAGCACATGTATTACACATGTGATTACAACTCCACCTATATCTCCAAAGCCATGATAATATTCACTTCCCTAACATCCATTATCCTTCATCTACTCTCCGAGACTTCCGCTGGCCTCGCGAGCCACAGCTAATGAACGACCACAAGTCTAGACCCAGATTTCAATTTATTCTGCCTTTCTTTTGGTTTTCTTCGATTTTCTTTTTTCACCAAGATCCCAGATTCCATGGGTATCCACATCCCATAGCATCCTTGGAACTATCCCTGGATTTTGTAATTTTGCTCACGAAAACGCGGGGGTATTTCCGTATCGCGATGCTCTTTAATATATATCTTCATGCGCCAAAAGCAAGTTCCTAGTGGCCGTTAAGAACAAGCGTCGACCAGTCGTGATTTATCATTTGTGAACCTTACGAGTGGAGTTCCCGAAAGGAGATTGCCGACTTATAGATCCAATGAATTCGTCATTCTACAGATTTTGGTAAATTATCGCAAATGTTCCCTTTCTTAACCTGCGCTGCCCCTGCGTTTTTGTGGTGACGATGATACTTGCTAAGTGCCTCTCTTCTATTATCAACACAACACTATTTCAGGGCGATGAATGCCGATGTAACTTGTGAGAATCTTTCTTCAACAGCATCTCTCAATAATGATATAACTCAGCGAGTTGCTTGAACATGTGTTACATCTTTGATACCAATTTAGAGACATCAAATCGAGGATGGGAAATTGAGGGGTTATAGAGGATAGACGTATCGGGTTTGACTCGAAGGGAAGACAGCAGAGATTAAATAAATGTTCAGTATTGTATGGTGGCTAATTGACTCCAACGAATCGATGATATTAAATCCATATTGAGCAAGCGAGATATTTAAAGGGGGCATGAGCTGACAGGTTTGTGGTGTTCTCAGGTTTGTTGGAAAATGTAAGATGTATGTTTGGTACGAATGAGATTCGAAAGTCAACAGCATACATAAAACAGAATGTAGACCTGCATAAAACGCTGGGTTTGTGCAAGATTTATGCATAACCTCGGCACGAACACTTGTTCCCCTCCCCCGCATGCTAAATTACCCCATACATATCTCGATGTTCCGGTATCCATCCAAGCCAAGGAGCTCAAGAGGTTCGTTAACATCTCCAAACCATCCACAATGACCTCCCATCCCCCTCTACCTGGCAACAAATTTCGCACCGCAAACAAAAAGCCAGACAATCCCTTATCCCCACCCCCTGGCTCCTCTCCTCTCCCCCAGCCCCGTCCGTCTTCAACGTCCTCTCCATCCCCCGTACCAGCGGTATCCTCACCCCTCCGAACTAAGCATTACCGAATCCTACGACGCTACATCACTTTCCACCGCGCTCCGTTCCCACGAACTCACCGCTCTCGAAGTAACCATCGCGTTTTGTAAACGCGCGGCCATTGCTCAACAAGTATGTAATTGTCTGACCGAGATATTTTTCTCCGATGCTATCGCTCGTGCAAAATGGCTTGATGCCGAGTTTGCGAGGACGGGGAAGGTAATTGGTCCTTTACATGGTGTACCTGTGAGTTTGAAAGATACGTTTAAAGTAAAGGGATATGATGCTTGTATTGGAATTGCTTCTTTGGCTGAAAATCCCTCTGTGGAGAATTCGTTACTTGTGGATATATTGTTAGAAGCTGGTGCAGTACTATATTGTAAGACGAATATACCGCAAACGTTGATGGCGTTGGATTCGGATAACCATGTATTTGGACGAGTCTTAAATCCGAGAGATAGACGGCTCACTGCTGGAGGTAGTTCGGGAGGCGAAGGAGCGCTGATTGCAATGAGAGGAAGTGTGTTGGGGGTAGGCACCGATGTGGGTGGTAGTATTAGGATACCAGCTATGTGCAATGGATTGTATGGGATCAAGCCGAGTGCTCAAAGAATACCTTATCTGGGACAAGAAGGTGGCCAACGACCTGGAGCATCGAAAATTGGACTACCTGCCAGTGCAGGACCGATCGCGAGGAGTGTGAGGGATTGTGAATTATTTTTACAAGTGGTATCAGATTCGAAACCATGGGAACGAGATCCAGATGTAGTGTATGGAATGTGGAAGGAGCAGGGTACGGTTCAAAAGAAAGAGAAATCAGTATTTGGTGTTATTAGAACAGATGGGGTAACGTCACCACTTCCTCCCATCACCAAAATCCTCAACGAAACCGTACACAAACTCCAAGCTGCCGGTCACTCAATAGTTGAGATTGATGCGTCTGCATTCAAGAAATGTCAATCGCTCGCCAATCAATTCTTCGGCATCGATGGTGCAAACTACATGTTTGATCTTCTTGAACAAACATCCGAACCACTTATCCCCTGGTTATCCACACGTCTGAGACGGAAATCCCCAGTTGCTCTCCCGAAACTTGTGGATATTCATGCCAAGAAATCCGAATTAGAAAGGGAAATGTTGAAAATTTGGAATGATGCTAAGATGGGTACAATCGATGCTATTATTTGTCCCGTGGCTCCGCATCCTACACCACCGATTGATAGCTGGAATGCTACAGGTTATACGAGTAGCTTTGTGTTATTGGATTATCCATGTGGAACGTTACCGGTGCGAGATTTCCAGGAGACAGACTTGGAAGAAGACTTAGTAGAGAAGGTGGGAGGAAGTTGGGATAAAGCTAATAGAGAGTTATGTAAGTTTTTGTCTGGGGTGATAGAATGAGTCTCATACTAATGTAAATGAATAGGGGACAAGAAAACAATCGATAGAAGTGTATATCTTGAATCGACACTTTGCGTTCAAGTCGTTGCACCGAAAATGCAGGAAAGGAGATTGGTAGAGGCAATGGCTGTTATTGATGGTGTTCTACATGCAGAGCAACTCGGAGTGAAAGCGAAGTTGTAGCGAATACTTTTCTTTATTAATAGCTAAATAATTATATATCTCTCTTTTTCCGCTTCTTTCACCTCTGCTTTCCTAGCCTTGCTCTTGCCCTCCTCCCTCGCCCTATGCTTAGCCCGCGTCCCCATCAATAGAGGGATATAACTAGAGATGAAACTCAGTATATAAGCCCTTGTACTAAACAGCGGGATAGGAAGTTAAACGGAGCTTTGGATATTTTGCGACGCTCCCTACCGGCCTCAACCCCAACCATTTCAAATGGGTTGTTCGAAATAGACTCAGAATACTGGCTTCTACCCAAACCGAACAATGCCATACTATCATGCGATGCGTACCTTTTGACTTCGCTAATATTCCAGCGCAGCCTCGCAGATTCGACCCCTAGTTTCGCAAACTTTCCTCATCCAGACCTCTCTCAACTAGTCCTGACCACCTATCTAACATCTTTTCATAACCTCATACTACCGAGTACGAACCCCAAAATCAAAAGCAATAGCAATCATAACATATGTCATCGTCAAAATCACACCTTTCAACCTATCTTCCCAATAATGACTAGCAATCGCAATGTTACCAACATTTCATTCCACATTTCATCCAAATCTGCATGAAATTACAGTAAAACAACCTCACACACCAATGCAACTTTCCATCTCCAATACTCTGCTGCGCAAGAAAAATGCACACAAACAGGGCCGAAACCTGGAAACCATCGAAAAGCAAATTCACATCATTTAAATCAATTCCCCAGCCCACGAGGATCAGAGCTGGCACCACGACCAAAGTTGTTTGTATACTCTTGCCTAAGGCAGACTGGTTCGCCATATCCATTTGATCTTTTGATGCACATTGGATTGCCGTTACATCATTACTTAGAATGAGATTAGTATCATTCCGATAAACTAGCGAGGTACATTTGCTTTTTCGGTAAACTTTTGGATACTATCCGACATTCATGAATTGTGCATTGATTTCCAGGATTGCAACTCCAAAGATAAGTATGGGGGACAGATATAGAGGTGCAATACGAGCCAGGTATTTGCATCCTCTTTGGCAAGTTCAAATGCATCTATCCCTACCAATTCATCGTTGGGGGATGTTCAGAAATACCTAGTCTACCAAACCCTGCCGAGGGTGGACAAAGGAACTCGTTCCACATCATGAAATCGACTCTTCTTGAATATATCCTAATCTACAGCTAGACAATGAAATGCAAACAAATATACATCTCCAGCCTCAACTCTGAGCATGCACGACCAGCAAACTGACCACGATCACCCACGTCTGACAATACATCCGCGTTGCTTTTAATCAACAATTCTCACCGCGTGTATGGAAGATGAAAGAAGCGCAACTTATCAGCATCACGATTTGAATAACACAAAATTGCCACAGAAATTCTTCATGGCATCCTCGCTTTTTTGGTAGAGCGTAGCGAGGAATTCTTATGGCAACAGAAAGTTTTCGGAGAAGACAACTGATATCATGTGATATCACCAATATCGATAACTTACGTGGTAATGGATGTCTCAAATCTTGGTATCTGAAATTGTCTACTTCTTCACTCTTTACAGAGTAGCATATATACTTAAGAAAACATGTAGGACAAAATGAGGAGCACTTGGAAAAAGAGACGCTTGACCTATTTTTCTTCTCCAGTGTCCCCATTCTCTCCCCTTCACCCCCTCCCCCGTCACCCACCCACCAGATCCACCAAATATACCAAACCTACCAAGAAAAAAATTAAAAAATTCAACATACAACAGTAGGGATTCGCTGGTGGTCACCCACCCAACTACTAATCTACCGATCTGAAGCTTGTGTATGGCAGAGCGGACGGGATGCCCAATTCTCTTCAGTCTATGGTCGTATGTGAAAGACATTTTGTTGAAAGAAGATATATTGGCAATTGCTGTGTGACATAAATACACACTCCAAACACTCCCTGAGAACCTCCAGAATGCATCTTACAAGCTCGATATAAAAATACCTGATCCTACCACATTCCACCCTCCCTCTTCTCCTTCCACTCTTGTCAGAACCTCGTGGCAAACCCACACAGAAACCACTCAGACTTTAAATGCCTCCCTCAGGAATCGTTCTCTTCTTCCTTCCCTTCTGCGCCTTCTCACACAACTTTGGTTCCTCCCCCTTGGTTTCCCACCCTTTCTCTCTCTTAACCTGTCCTATCTTTGGATACTTTCCACTATTTTCAAAGAAACCTATAATCAGAAACACATATTAGCTCACACACTCAAAATATCTTCTCCTATCGTATTTTCCTCCTCTCTGCCCCCTCTCTGCTCTCTGCTCTCTGCTCTCCACTTGAAAATCGCAGAAACAGTAAACACACAAGACCCAAGACCCAAGAGAAACCAAAAAAGGAGGAAACTCACCAATCCAATGTCCCAGCGCGTCCCTCACCCCTTTAGCCGCCTCCCTCCTCTCCCTCTCCCTCAACTTCTTCATTCCCCCCTTGCCAACCCTCTTCAAAATCTCCGCATCAGTCTCCTCATCATCCACCGGCAAAAACATGTCCTCCACACCCCTCAAATCCGGCGTCCTATCCTCCTCAAAACAATTCGTCACAAACGCCCTCGTCGCATCCACGCCCGCGAAAAAGTGATAACTGCCTCCCGGACCATAATGTCTGCGTCCCGCCGTAACATCATAGATCGTGCCATTGAGCGCGAGGTAGATTGGAAGATCTGGGTTCGAGCCGTCGAAGCGCGGGAGATCTGCGTCGGTGATTTGGGGAGGTCCGTTCTGGAAGGGAGTGTGAGATGTTAGTTATTACATTCCCCATTCTAGAAGAGTATCCGTATTTCTCAAGCTGTCCTATTTTCTCCTCTCTTCTCTGCTCTCACATTAAGCTTCCTAGCTAGCAATTCAAAACAAAAGAGAAACCAGCGAAATCCACTAACCCAATATCCCTTCAAAACCTCTCCATGCGTCCAATTCGGTCTCTTCATTCCCCAAAAATAGCTGTTCCTCGTAACCACATAACTCAACCCACAGCTTGCAACCAGTACAAAAACAATCGATCTCAATAAGTCTACCAATGAGAAAGGTGCTGCATCGTCATCTGCTGCTAATTTGTTAAGTGATTTCTTTGCTTTCTTTTCTGCCGACGAAGAAGAAACCTGAGTCGTGGTTTTGGTGAGAGGAACCTCATCTTCTAGAATATCAATGGAGTTTCGTTTGCGACGCTCACGGAGTGCGTCTGTGTCGGCCATAGTGGATGGATACTAATATGTATGCCTTGTAATGTGATGAAGCATTCAATTGTGTTATAATGCAAAGAAGGGAAAAGGGATCCAGGGCTTAAATGGAGGGAGAAGATTGACAGGTGGCAGGTTCGTTGGAGGTAAATTGATATGGGGAAGTTACGGGTCTTTGTGTAATAATAGCTCACAGCTTGGAGATTTAGCCTCGTACTTGCATAGTAAATGGAGTCGTCGTCATTGGTATTTTTATGGATTTGGAATTGAATTACATTTAGCCTTGGGGTAGACGGGAACGGGAAGAGTTTTGAGCGGGGGAGAATTGGTCTGCAATTAAGGTTTTCTAGGGAATTGGACCAAGAATTGGTAATTGTGGTGATCTCAAAGGCTGAGATGTGTGGTTAGACTTGGTCCGGGAACTCTTTCCACCGCTCTCGTACTCGCATTTTGACTGGATCTGCTGTGTCTTGTTCTATTCCTTCAGATTAGTCTGCATTTTCAAATCACATCTTTACCACGATATCACATCTGCAAAATATGTATGAAGACCCATCAAATTTGGCATCAATAAGCAAAAGGCTGAATTCGATATGCTACACCTGCCTGCCTTTCCTAACAAGCCCGAGGAAAAGTCATAATGTAAAAACCCATCCGGATATCTCATGCCAAAACGTCCACGTACAATCCATAATCGTAATTTTGGTCGATTATTTCGAAGACGAGGTCATGACCATCGTGTATTGCCTTGATCGTTTTGAAGTTTTCCGATTATTGATTTCTTTACTCGTCGGCTTGGATAGCACGGGCTATTGAAAGAAATATTGTTAGCATTTATATTTTCTGGATCGCCCTTTTGATACTCTTGTCCTGGAGATCATCATTCCATTGGATGGAAATGATTCGACTCGAGTGTTCTTGCGCTGTATCGAAAAAGTATAATAGCGGAACGTAAGACATACTGTAGATATCACCGGCGTGATGCTTGACAACAATCTTGATTTGTCCCTTCTCCTCCAATTCCTTCAAACATCTTCTGGCCAAAGATCCGTTGATCTTTAATCTATCGACCAAAACAGCGACGGTGACGAGACGGTAGGATTGAACATCTTTGGCGAGTCTGTCGGAAGTGGACTTATCGAGGATGACGGCGTGTTGAGCCTTGTCCTTGACTATATTGATTTTTCATCAGTTTCCATTCGAAAATTCCAGGGAATGGTAAAAATTTAATGCGCACCCTTTCCCTTGGACCACTTCTTCTTTTGCTTCTTTGCGCCGGTGTTTGCTGGTGCCATTTTGTCGGTTTGATGTTGTCGTGAAGAAAATGGATGTTTCTCTCAAGATCAATTCAATAGAGGTGGATTGATTTTTCAATTTAGGGCTTGTGTGTGCCGAGTGGAACAATCGCGCTAGTCTTGACGTAACCGTCACGTGATGACATCAGAATAGATAGAAAATTGAAGGAATGGAGGAATGGAGGAACATGTTCAGATTGAAACAGGAAGGGAATGTGAGAAATCTAGCATGTACTGATACGATAGGTTACGGGTCATGAATCAATCAATATTTAATATAAATTAATTGTCGAGTTGCCTGTAGTTAAGCATTTATAAAACGATAGAAACCTATTGAAGATATATGAACACCAAATACCAAATGACCACCCCTGTCCAAGCGACATTCAAGCAATACTAATAGCACTCTACAATGTTCGCTATCCAGGCAGTCCGCCTCTATAGAAATGCTATTCGAGAGAGCCAACGAAGCCTCACATCAAGATTTCGACTTATAAATGGTATAATCATGGGGGCAAGCCCCCAAACACCCTTATCTCGCTGCGCTCGAAGACTCTGTCTAGATTCTTCATTTTCACAAGCCCTTTTACTAAAACCTCAATGTTACTACCCGTAGCAATATAATAGTACCTATTATACAGCGATCCAAAAGTTTGCTCCCCCATCGATTATTTGAAAAGCCTTAATCGCTACAAAAACTCTTGTAAGAATATTGTTCACTTGTTTATATTCATCTATCATTTTGGATTCTGCGTATGTTTATACCTCTAGCCCAGCATACTATCATATCTGGCAAATTTCCTTTTTGTTCCGCCGGGCAATGTCTCAACAAGTCTCGTTTATGCAAATGTTTACATATATCCTTGCCACGCCATGCTATATGTTGCTATGTGAAGATGATCCGCCATTCGTGAGCATTCCCATTGCCGTTCTAATCTAAAAGTTCATCTTTTCCATTGTCAGTACCTGTATTACTCTCCGACATCTGTATACTCGATCTCCTACTTCCATCGTCCGTGGCTGCTGTAATAGAGATAACTGCATCCAACCAACTCTGCGATCCAGTCCTGAGAACAAAATATGGGTTGATATCCTGACTGAAATACTTTTCCTTCCTGGTCGTACTTCTTGTACCGCCCTCAAGGGCCGACATAGCTGCTCGAGTTGTTCTCATTCTCTTGGGTTTCGGTGCGATATTACCTCCATTTTGACTGAGTAGATTGCTCAGGCGTACTCGATCCTTCTGAAGACGTGCATCGTAGGATACTATGGATCTAACGTATGGAGCAACGTCGAGTATAATGAGATTCATAGTTCGATCAAAGCAACACGCTTCAAGATTTCCGGTACTCCAAACATATGTCTTTTCGGACTCTGAAATAGGATCAAAAGCCAAGCTCAAATCGCGGCGAGTAATAGCATTCCCATAAGGACGTGATTGAGACCGAATGAGACCTTGAACTTGTTTCTCGGTCGGTCCATCCAGCTCTCGATGGATTTCCCATCCATGTTCAACATGTTGACGAATTTGAAGAACTTCTCTAGCTCGAGATTTCATCCAGAATGATATGTTGATACTTGTCTCGTCAAGAGTAATTTGCGGCGACACGTCCAGTAATTGATTTGCCATAGTGTAATCTTCTCTCGCTTTGCTAGACATTTTTGGGTAACTTGCATCAATGGTAACCTTATTTCATTAGCAACGAGTAGGTGTAATGCTGATAGAGGAAAACTTACTTTATAGTCTACACCGAAGCTATTATGCGAGAAACAATCTGTAGCACTCATAGCTTCGGCAAAGTCATCGTACATTGCCAGAGCAGCTCGTCTGGTGGCCCGCTCATTGGCGCAATCCGTGATCTTGTCCGCCCAAGTACTGATGTCTAGATTTTGTTGCCAGTCGCCTACATCGATGCCCCAACCATTCCAAGCTTCATGCAAGGTCGCTTCCTCGATATCGATGTAAGGTCGTTGGCTCTCGAGAGTGTCTTGAGAAATCCAGCCCATGCCAGTGTGATAAGTATCTTCGCTAACAACGCGATACTTCTTACCATGCTCATCTAGATCGCAACCCAACGGTAAGCGAGGATAAAACCACTCCATTCCAGCTTTACGATCTCCAACTGCAAATTGACACCAGAACTCCAACTCTGTCAATGAACCACGTAGGTCTGACGCTCGACTTTCATATAAAGCCTTCACCGCGTCACGACGGATAGCATGACCTTCATTGGCTGCTACGAGTAGCATGTAATCAACGGCGAGGTCGGTAGGCACTGTGGTAAAGCGAATAATTGCATGTAGAGATAGAGCAAGAATTGGTACAGCAGCCTCATCATTACAGGTTATAATAATTGGTCGCTTGCTCTGGGCGATCAGAAGCAAAACCGTTTGCCAAAATCCTCTATCCTCCTCAAATAAAACATCAACTTCTTCTAGTAGTATTAAGGATTGTTGCTGTTTCTTTGGTGGCCCTTTCGGAGCGGTTATATCCTTGTTGACGTCTGTTTTGGCTGCAGTTTGCTCAGCATCCGCATTCTCAGATCTCATCTTTGTCGGTTCTTTGGATGTGAAGAATGGTTTCAGCATGCCCGGGCGGCCATTTTCTAGATCTTCAGCCATATCATTAGATGGATGTTCTTCGTTGTCATTCTGACCTTTCGGTTTCGTTGGTGCTTTGGATGTAAAAAATGAGTTCATGGTGCCCTTGCTTTTAGGTTCTGGCTTGATGGGTGCTTTTGAAGTGAAGAATGAGTTCATGGTACCTTGACGGCCGCTCTTCACTTCTTCAGCCACAGAATCAAATGAATTCTCTTCGTCCTCATTCGCACTCGGAATCTTATCAACTTTGGATCTTTGAACTAGATGATTTCTGGTCATATCTCCGACTTTATCCATCACCTCTTTACCGCTCCTCTTGGAATTTGGATTGATTTCGAAGACTTCGAATCCAAGTTCCTTTGCAACAGCAAAGACCGTGGCAGACTTGCCACATCCGTGTGGTCCGCTCAAAACAACTGCATTGGCCAGGCGCTTGGAATCTTTAGAGCCTTTCGCATTCAAGTCACCAGAACGCATCACTGTTTTTTTGACCAAACCTGCACCTCCTAGCAAATCCCCCTCTTCCGGCTCCGTTATTTCATCCATCTCGTTGTCTTCTTCGCCATCAGATACTATAAAATTATCCAGCTTTTTCGATTTTCGCTTCCTTTTTCCAGCTGGTTCGGCTTTTGACGATGCAGATCTCTTCGTAGCCTTACTTTCAGCAGAACCTGATTCTACTGACATTACCGTCAACTTTTGCAACCAATCTTTCAATATGAAGGCCTCGCGTCCAGTCTGTAAGATCTCATCCGCACTTTTTGGTGCATACTTTTGTGTCCAAGATAGATTTTCGCATTCAGCCTTGTCAAATGCCGATAGCGAAGTGGCAATTGAGTTGTAAATATTTGTGAGAGCAGGGTGGGTATTTGAACGTCTTTTATCTGGCTCTCGGAGTTCGTCATCACTCAAATCCTCACACACAACTGGTCTGCTAGGCTTTGAGATAAGTTCTTTTCGTACTCGACACTGGAGACTTGGGCCTGTTTCGATGTGTTTCGATGGTACTCGGAGGCAAGGAGAAACTGGAGCAAAGTCATGAATATGAAGGTCATGGATGCTATTGATTGTCTCATCAATTCGTAATTTCGCTGTAAAAGTGTTGATAATATTTTCATCTTCAACGATTTCAACTGCTCGATATTTTGACCCTTTCTTGACGTCGCTGGATTCTCCAGGGACTGTGCTGGTAGAGGTGCCGTTTGAATATTCCTCGTCTCTTTCTCCACGTACATGCACCATTCCAGACCATGGCCAAGCTGGCTCAATGGCGTCGGGGAATTTGGAGGTTTTAGGAGCTGTTCCAAAGCCTCTAAACGTTGGTGGGGCTTGCCTTCCGTCCCTTGAATGTGGTCGGCCAAAATTGGATACAATTGTCGATGGTGAAGCTGGTCTGCCCGAAGTAGATCTTTTTCCTGTAGGAGATTTCTTTCCTTGACCCGATTGCTGTGACTTTGAGGATTCCTGGGGTTCTTCTTGTGTCGGCGATTTCTTTTTTGCTGTCTTCCACCATGGAATAGCATCTACCCCATTCCCCTTTCTCGATACTATCTCTTTTGTATTTTTCACGTCCGCAATATTTGACTCGGTCTTCGGTATTAATATTTCGATGCCGTTGAGAATATTCTCAATCTTGCTGCCAACTTCAGAAGCTGGGCTCTGTCCACTGCCATAGCGCATGACAACAATTTTTGACTTTGCAGGTGTCAGGGTAGTTTGCTTACGCTTCGAGGCTCGTAAAGGTTTCACTGTTTTTGTCGGCGCAGTGGTCTTTGTGATTGTGGATATCTTTTCTGCCTCTGATTCTGTTGTAACTTCTGGGGAAGCAGTCTTTCGGCGTTTCCTCCTACTATTATTCGGGTCAACCTCCAATAGATCTGCCTGTTCTCCATTTGGCATATGGGATGAGTCTAGAGCTCTATTTTGCGGTGTTACATTGTTTCCCGCAGTCGATGACGTTCTTAATGGTTTTTGGAAGAAGGGATGCACAGTCTTTTCGTGCCCCTCCTCTATGAGAGGATTCATGGTTTTTGCGATCAAGACCGCCATTCGCATGCGGCCAAGTCGAGATGATCAAACGCGAACCTCGCACATTCGCTTTCAACGATAGCGATTCTCAATCAATTAATTCGTCAAGGAAAGAAAAACATTTGGTAATTTTTGTAAGAAGCTTGACTTGAGAACAGGTAGAGAATATAAAAAAATGCCCTTTTGCAGACAGTGAAACAGTGATTGGGAGTGAAAAGCAATGTGCATCCAAAAGTTGCTAAGTACTTAGGTAATAAGGTAGTGACATCAAGGTGGAGTTGAGAACCGCGTTCGCGTTTTGATGAAATTAGCACTTTAACTACTGGTCTACCTTGGGCCCCATAGGTGATATGTAGACAAAGTATATCGAAAACTGTTCACCCTTTTCAATATTCCATATAAAATCAAGCCGTCAAGATTTGAGGTTAAAACTTGTATGAAAATGTTCCAAAGCTTATGAATTATAACATCCGATCAAAAAGTTTGGGATTTGGATTCGTTTTCGCATTATTGTTCGACATCAAAAGATAGGTACCTGATTAGAAGGAATTTCAGTGTATGATTTTTCTGACTGCGTGCGTGAGTGTACAATGTAGACCCACTTTACAGTCTTCTGCTCGTGTTTTTTGAGTGCTGATTGGTGATTCCTAGCTGGCAGAAGAATCAAAATCACATGATCGACACCAAATAGACACGCTAAAGTGTGCAGGGTGTGCATAATAAATTTTGTAAATCTCTAAGACATAAAGTTTTATGCGACGGCAGAATTATTTCACCGCTCAGAGAAATTTCAAAGCTTTTTGGTTCTTTTTACTTTGCGCAAATCTATAATCACTGCTTCAATACATTGGAATTGATTGCGCAAAAATTTCAATTGTTATTATGTCTTCGAGAATATCTTTACAGCAGCCATACGTGGTCGCTACTTTGCCGCGATCGAAACAGGCCCAATATGTAGTTGGGGAAGTCTTTGGAGGTTCACCTGGATCAAAAAAAAGAAAGAGGTCAGAATTAGCGGTTGGAATTCATGGAGAAGGTGTGAATTTATATGATGTAAGATCTTATAGACATTTCTTGAGTATCTTCAAATGTTAACATCTTCTCAGGTATCATCTTCGAAATTACTTACTTCTTACGCTCTGCCTCCTGGTACTTCATTTTCTTGCCCGCCATACTCTTCCAGGTCGAAAACGACGAAAAGCAAAACCGAGCGAAGAACATATGTTTCGACATCCGGCTCTGAGGATCAAATCACATTGTTCCATGATATTACGGAAGGGACTAGCACATCAAAATCTACAACAGTCACACACAAGCTCAGTCAATCGAAAGCGCCAGTGGTTCATTTGGGTGCTTTAGCCTCCTCAGGATTGGATGCGATCAAAAAATCGGATATATTGATTGTGAAGAAAGATGGTGAGATTCAATGCTTAGATGGTGAAAGTCTCCAGCTATTATGGTCCTCTCCTGCGACCGCCCTTGGTCGAGCTTCATCAATGACAATGACCAATATCGAGGTTGAATATGCGCACATTACAAATGCCTATTCCGCTGGTCAAGGAATCTTGAAAGGCCGCCAGGATGTTTTTGCCTTTTTCCCACAAGAAGTGACCGAAGATGGCTTTAATCCAGACATAATAATTGTGATTACAAAGTCAAATGTGCAGGAAGCTGGGGATAGTGTGCGTACATTACACATTGTAGCGTTACCAAGGAAGGCGACGACATATTTAAATGGCACAACACATTCTGTCGAATCTCTTCTCGACGCCCCTCTACCAATTCACAAAGCTCCAAAGAAGAAAGTGACGGTTGGAAAAGCTTCATTCGGTATCAACGTTTCCGCCGGTATCTTGCAAATACTGGAAGCGGAAATGTTGACAACTTTGGATTTACATGATACGTTCCCCAAGATACAATCCGAAATTAACACTCCTGGTACCGGTTCATTCCTTCGCCTGTCAAGCACTTCTATTATCATGTCAACCCAACAAGCTATTAGCATTCTCAACCCAAAATATGAATCTGTGTTAGCAACCATCAAGTTGGATGATGAGACAAACAAAGAGTCACTTAAACGCAAGCGAGACTCTGATGATAAGCAGAGACCACGATTGGATATTCCTGCTCAATTCATCTCGTACTACCCTAAACTTGGGACAGCTTTAGCTATCTCAGATAATGAGCTTGTTGCCGTTCAAGTAGATTTCCAACCTGGCCAAGGATCGAAATCTCGAGCATTTGGACTATTGATCGATTCTCTTGGCTGCTCGGATCCACAAGTTGTACGTTCCAAGCCCGGAAAGGAGCCATCACATGGAAAGTGGCTTTTCGTGGATCATTATCTTCCTGGATCAATGGGCATGAAGGAAGATGCATGGGTAAATGTGACTAGAGAGCCTGAGAGATGTGTCAAGAGTGGAGATACTGCAGCTTTCGAGAAGGCTTTAGGCAGTAAGTTCGACCAAGATTGGAGCACCGAAACGTCCGAGAATCTTGCAGACAAGATTGCGAAAATAGAACCTTCCGAAGTCGACCGCAGATGGATATTATATGCACTAAGTAAGATTTTTAGCTGGTCTCAGAATCTGGAAGGAATGTATGAGCTTTCTATTGTTTTCTATCCTCCTAGACTTTTCAGGTGGTTGCTTCAAACAGGAAATATGACGATTCTTAATATCGAATCAGCATTGAGACAAGAGATTCGAACCTCACTTTCTGGCCCAATACCAGCTGGCCAACTTGTCAATGCTATTGTTAAGTTGGACCGGGAAATGGAATTATTACTTCATCTTGTTTCATCCAATTTACTTGGAGCAGCGGAACTTCTCCACGCTATTCGAAACTTGATGGAAACTATGGATTTGTTTGAACTTGGAGACTCTTCGAGTCCAAAGCAAGCATTACTGACAAATGGGGAAGACGCACCCCTGGAAAATGATAATGCTGAAGAGGAAGTACAGAGACTTGAAGCCGAGGCTGAAGATGATCTCCAACTCGCCGAATTTCAATTAGGAGAAGGTTCAGGTGTCAGAGGTGAAGCCTTGAATGTGGCTCTCTCAAAACTCTATACATGTCCAGACAATAACATTACGGAAGCTTTACAGACAACTTTTACAAGTCAAGAAACGGTATCACTAATCTATATTTTGAGAGTCGAATTGGCCAAAGGCGGATGGACGGGTCGATACCTTGATATCTTGGAATTAGATGATGACGAAGTCGAGGCACCTGATAACTCGATCATTCTCATCTCCAGCTTACTCAACAATTGTGTTGATGCTCTTGCGGCTGGTGGTTGGTTAACCGGAAATGCAAGATTGATCAATGGTGATCAATCCGAATCCGAAGCATTCATTGGAACATTGAAAATGGAAGTTAGTGCCGCACTCGAAGGTATCGAAACGGCCGTTTACCTCAAGGGATTGACATCCGAAATGGTCCGTTACGGGGATTCCGTACTCAAAACCCTTGGCAATGAAGATACAGGACGAATGGCAAAGTCAATATTGACACTTCCCTCTGGAGAAAAAGATCTCTCGATATTACCAATTGGTCTCAAGGCCGAGAAACAGATTTCTCGTCTTCGTGTAGGTGCAGGAGGAGAAGTTCAAAAGAGAAGTAAGAGAGATATTGGAAGACTCTTGAGTAGACAAGTGGGAAAATATACAAGAGAAAGAATTGTTTTGTAAGGAGTATCAGAATAGCATTGAAGATGAAGGAGGGTTTATTATTTTAATGATATTGTTGATTGATTGGTTGGAAGAATATAAAAATCAGAGAAACTCTTATGCTCATGCCATATACCATGTATCTCGTACCAAGTTTACCTCGTACCCAATTTATCTACACTATCAGTACAGTACTATTCACATGACATGATTTCGGAGTTCCCCTCCCCTGTCTTGCCCTGCCCTGCCCTGCCCTGCACTCCACATCTCACCATTGATTACCTACCACATATTCTAGCATCTTTTCCCGAAGCCTTCACGCAACCTGGAATGCACAGTCAAGAACAATGTGTCAAACAACGTTTAGCGATCCTATCATTTTCCACACTTCAGTACATTCTGCAACACGATGCGGTAACTCGGCAAGGTAGGAGGACTCAAGGATAGGTCGCTCGGCTCGGTGTTTGCACGGGTGCAGTGGATACGAATTGTATAAGCCTTAATCTGAGCCTCACGCCTTAGTTACGCCGTGGGTGCGACACTGCGGCGATCGACGTGGATGGATGATGGATGGGTTGATAGATTGATGGGTTGAGTTGATGGGTTGATGGGAACTGCGCCACAAAGTGCGGTTCGTGAGACGGGATTCTCCAGTTTTTATTGTGTTCTTGTGTTCTGATCCATGTTTTAACTTTTCGGCCGTTTTTGTGAATGCTTGGGTTGGGTTTGCGGCGTGCGGTGTTTGATTGGGTGGAGGATGGATGGAGGATGGATGGAGGAAGGGATGGTTCATGGATTGCATGGACGGAGAGACGGATGGGATAGGTGGAGAGATGGATGGATATTCGTTCCCGCGACGTCACTTGGAATCTTGGATGAATGGATGGATTGGAATATGATTATCGGTTTCTGGATCAGGTATGGTATATTGTGATTCATCCAGGCAAGCGGTAGTTCTAGAGAGATTTCTTAAATCGTTACCTATTCTACCGGTACCCATCTGTTCAGCTCAGCCTCGATTGATGGCTTCGATTGTCCTTCTATGCAGCTTCTTAGGGAGGGTTTATTATTCTGAAACTTATTCTCCATCTCAATATATTTTGTGGCCTCGGTTTGGTTTGTGTACTGAGGATTGAACGTGGATGAATTATATTGATTATTGTGATTGTGAATTTGTATTTTGTATTCGAGAAGTTGTATTTTATATACCTACATACCCAAGTGCTTCCTCGAGTGATCATGAACAAATAACGGATACATCGATACGAATTCCCCAACTCTCCACTCAAGACTCGACAGTCGAAAGTCGAAAGTCGGCACAATCATTGCGATTAGAAATCTGGGAATTCGACAAGAAAAACATTGCGGGGTATAATAAAGTGGAGTGGTTCGTTACGTCGGAGCTATCATCATATCAGACAGAGAACTCAGCAAGAAAGAAAGAAAAGATATCCACTTCGCTGCAGCAGAGCAAAGTAAGTGAAAGCAGGAAGAGAGTACAACACATCATATCGCACACACACACACACGTACACTCGCATATCTTTCTTCATTTTAATTTGATGGATTGATTGATTGATTGATTGTTTTCCTTTGCCACTTTTTGAGATCAAAGGGATGGGTTTATAATTGATCTCTCCCGCCTTCTTTCTCGCCTTCTCGAAATTTGGAATCGATATTGAAGTGCGAAATTCGACATCGGAAATTGGATATTTGAAGTCGAACATTGAACGCTGAATGAGAAACGAAATGAGTGTTGGAACATCGTCAGATATCAGAAAAGCATCAATACTTTGTCGCGATGTGTATCGGAAATGTAGAGAGGCAGGTGCGGAATATGAGGAGATTAGACGGGAAGTGAAGGGTTTGTATGGGGTTTTGAGAGAGCTGAAGGAAGAGGAGGAAGAGAGGAATGGGGAGTGGGATGAGGGGAACTGGGGAAGGGTGGAGGGGATTATTGGGGATTGTGAAGGGACGCTTAGACAACTTGATGGATTGTTGGGAAGGTATGGGAGGAATGGAGGCGGAAGATTGGGAAGTAATGAGATGGATCAATTGGGTGGGATTCGAGTGAGGTTAATTTCGCATAAGAAGAACGTATCGCATTTTCTCGATTCGCTACTACACGAAGATGAAGATGGAGATACAAACGGAACAGAAGGGTTAGACGGAAAGGGCGAATTGGATATGTTATTGGATAAGGTGGATGATATTGCAGCGGATAGGAGTCGAAGGCTTGGGACTTCACAGATGATGGGTTCTGAGAATGAGGATGAGGAGGACAATTTGCAGATTTGGAAATGGTTTAGGAGGAATCTAATTGAAGAGGGGGTTAACAGAGTAGTTCTGGAACGGCATAAGGTATTTGGATATTCCATGTGGCAAGACAATGACTTCTTACTGACAGACTTGTAGGACGTTCTAATTGCATATATACGACAAATGGAACAAGATGGGCTACTAAACGAAAATCCATCTGCATCTACACCTCAAACCAGTCCAAGAACTCATTATAAAGAACAATGGGACTCTACATATTCCGATTCATCTCATACACAAGCAGCACCAGCTTCATTCGATAATACCGATATCAATATTGGGCGCAATGACCCCGGAGCAAAAGAAATGATCCAACGAGAAGACAATATAAAATTCCCCCCAGCGATGAAATTCCAAAGACCCAAACCCGAATCTCTCGTCGACTCTTATCCATATCCCGGACAAAATATATCGTCAGCTCCTCATCGACAATTATCACCTCCTCTAACTCCCAAAATCTCAACCACAGATCTCGATATATCAAAATCGCAATGCGCAAAGGATATCAGCGGCTCAAAATTAAACTCTGAGGATAATACGTCATCGACGCATCAGACGATATCACGATATCCAGTTAATCCGAATAATGATAATACTTCAATAATTCAAACCTCGGATCTTCTTTTGCTTCCTTGCTTTGCAACAAGTAATCCTCAACTTCTTCCACCGTCTTCTCCGGGAAGTTGGAATTCAAATTTAAATTCGTACTCATATCCTGATGAACCTCCCAACAAAAATATACAATCGCCTCAATTGAAAACAATGACACTTCGACCAAAACATAGCTCGGACCCAGTCCAGAAATCATCACCGCGTACAAGTGGTGTTCGATTCGATCTTCCTGATGCTAATCAATCATCAAAAACCCACACACCTAGTAGTGGAAATAATCCACACGATTCTACCATTCCAATCCCTATTCCCACTTCTATTCTAAAGTCAAAAATTGCACCTGATTCATCCGGGCACGAAATCCCTCAAGACGCAAAATGGACAAAGGTTAAACGATCTTTGATATCACCAGAAGTACTGATGAAAGATGGGAGAAGATTCGAAGCGTAAGTTATCCCTAGTTTCTTTTATATTCTCAGGATGAGTATATGATGCATATCAAGAGATTGGAAGGAAGGCTATATAATCAAATATGATATAATGTATTGTGGTACTAATAAATATATACAAATAGTCGACCAGAATTCGTAGCTATCTTAGGAATTCTCACGAAAGAGGAAATTCAACAATACGCTGAGCGCTCGCATGTTTTGAGAGAAGAACGTTGGTGGAGAAACCATCCTGAGCAGAGAGAAAGGAGGGAGAGGGGGGAAAGAAGTGAAAGAAGTAGAAGACGAAACTCAGGGGATGAGGAGAGTTCTTCTTGCAGTTCTAATTCTAGTTCGGAGATGAGCTCGGATTCAGATTCAGATATAAATGAGCATAGAAGACGTGGTGAGAAAAGGAATGGGGATGCAAGAGGAAAAGGGAGAAGAGGTGATGAATGGGAAGAGAGGGGAGAAAGAGGAGAAAGAAAAGGAAGATCGGAAAGATATAATCGCAGAGAAAGAGATCGTGAGGCAAATTATACTTTTGCTCCTCAATCACAACCCCAGCCCCAACCTCAACATTTCTCTGCTTCGCCATATTCTGCGTCAAATAACTCACTTCCAGGAAGAGGTATGGATATACCCGGAATGAACCAAACACCAAATGGATACGCACCCCTGGGTTCTTTTCCCGGACAGCAAAACTATCCCCAACAAGGATATCCACCACCTCCACAGCAGCAACCGCCCTATCCAATACAAAATCAATTTCCTCAACCTCCCTACCCTCAAGGACAAGGACCTCCACCAATAAATCAAAATCAATATCTCTCACCGAATCCCTACGCTCCTTACTCTACTTCTCCATCTGGCGCCTCACCTACATATGCGCCCAATCCTTCCTACTCCCCCCACAACTCCCGACGCCATCATTCTCATTCTCATTCCCATTCCCAATCCCGCTCTCCACATTCTCATTCTCATTCTCACCACTCTCGCTCCCGCCGTTCTCGTGATTCAGATCCCAGATCTTCAGAGCCGAGGAGACAAAATTCAGGAACGACTAGTACACATACGAGTTCGAGTACGAGTAAATGGCGGGATCACCTCGCTGCGGCGGGGATAGGTGGAGGGTTGGGGGGTGCGGCGGTGGGATTGTGGGAGGTGTTGAGTGAAGCTGCGGAGGGATTTTAGATTGGGGGAAGCGGAAAGGTGTTTAGGGGGGCGGGGTTGAGAAGAATGGAATGGAATGGAGTGGAGTGGAGTGGGGAGATGAGGAAGAATGAAAGAAAGAAAATGGAATGATGGAGAAATGGATAAAGAATGAATGGATACCTACGAATGAAACCAAACGAGATCAAACAAAGTGAAACCGGAATTGGAGTTTAAGAATGAAGATGGGATGGCACGATGATATGATGATATGATGATATGATGACGTGACGATATACACAGGTGGGCTATGAAATGATGAATGATGAATGGCGAATGATGATTAGCATAATTTTTTGTCATCAGATGATGATGTATGTATGGATATATGGATATATAAATATATGAATATATGAATATGATAAACGTAGTGATGAATGTAATGATTAGCGAAGATGCAAATGATAATAATGGTGAGGTGAGGTGAGGTGATGATGCGATGATGAAAATGATGATGCGAAACTTGAGATGTGATTGCGAGGTTCACAGAGGGAATTGATAAGATATAGGTAGGATACTCTACTCTAGGATGTCTATCCCATATGGAGAGAGCATTCATCAAGCACATGATACATCAATCAAGCAAGCACTCAAACCCTCAAACACACAAGCACACAAGTACCAACGTCAAACAAATCAAATACAAACACAACGTGTAAAGTCATAATACTTAAAATTCCCATTCTATCTTAACTCAATCCCTATATCAATATACTATTGCTATTTCCTCCCTCAATCCCATCCCATTCCATCCCAATCAGTTCCATCAATCCGGGCCAAACATCCAAATTCCCATTCTCATCTCCATCGAGAATAGATGAGATATATTGATCTCTTTTGTAAGCCCAACCTAGCCTCGCCTAGCCCAACCTCATCTCCCTATCCTGTCCCTCTCCTCTCATCATTCTATCCATTTCATCCTTCACCAATAAGCCTCACCAGCTCACCGATCCAGGTCCCCTAACAAAAAAACAAAAAAATCCCACCAGGTAATAAACGAAAAAGATAAAATATATATATAAACTAAGAAACAACAAACAAAAGAAGATATAATAAATTGTCGAGACTTCCAAAAAGAAACGCTAAACCGCAGCAACAAATACAAGATTTTTCTCCTTTATTCATCCTCAAACTCAATACCCCTTTACAAGAACATTGCTTCTAATCTATCCATCATCGAATCCAAGTTATTACATAACCTGGTTGCTCTATTGAAAGCATTAGTTGAAACTAATTTTTCGCTTTCAATATCACGAACGACGAGTTCAAATTGAGAAGGCTTGTTAAGGCCAAGAGTAGAGAAGTCGATATCGAAGTTGAAGTCAGTGGAAGGTGCTGATGGTGTTGATGAGGTATCTTCAGCGAAAAGAGCAAATGCTGGATCGGCATCAAATTCTTCATCAACAATTTCCTCAACAATAGCAGATGGTGCAAGTTCGTGGACTGGTTTACGTTCCACAATTGGAAGTTCTACCTTCTCGTCTTCAGATTGTAATGAATCGACGAGGTTTGAAGATTTTCCGGAGAGGATTGATGAATCGATAACCGTTTCTGGGATAGAAAGAACGGAATAGACTTGTGGTTGATAACCAAATCCATCGGCATTGATATCAAGCATAGCAAAATCCATAGCTTGTTCTGGAATCATGACCATACCAATATGTTGTTGTTGTTGCATGTGTTGTTGAGCACCATATGGGTTAACATCCTTTCTGACTTGTCTTGGTTGTTCGTGTTGAATAGGAGCTTGTTGTTGTGGAGGTGGTGCTTGTTGAGTAGCGGGGTTGGAAGATAAAGTATCGAGGAAACCAGAGAATGCAGGTGAAGAAAGAAGCATTCTTGTAAGATCTGAGAGACGAGTATTTTCCTCCATCAAAGCTCTGTTTTGCGACTTCAAATCCATATTCTCATTAACCTTGACAGCAATTTCTCCTTCGAGTTGACTGATGTATTCTATAACATATTAGTACAGGAATCGTTTTCGTTGTCCAAACATGCTTACCCTTTCTTCTTGATCTGAAAGCACGAGCTGATACCTTATTTCTAAGTTGTCTTCTCTCCTTGCTACTAAGTTTCTTTCCTTCCTCACTAGCCAATAATCTTTCATCTTCATCCATATCCTCTTCTTCCTTTCGCATACGGTGAACGTGTGTCATATTTTGAGAATTTCCGTCATCACCTTCGGTAACGACACTGCTTTGTCTCATCGAGTTGAGTAGTTGAGAGATCTTTTCCTCGACGAGAGGGTCGGTACCAGTGTGTGCTCTTGAACGTTGTTGCTGTTGTGGTTGTTGTGGTTGTCTTTGTTGTTGGCCATTTGCCGCCATAGCATTTTGACGTTGTTGTGCGATGATAGCTTGTTGTTGCTTTTGTTGTGCTTGAGCTTTTGCAAGAGCAGCTTGCTGTTGATGCATACCAGGCCAAAGACGACCGACGTGACTAGATTGTGTTGGGAGTACGTTTCCGACGGGTAAGTTTTGAGATCCCATGTTACTTGGGTCAACAAAGTTTTGTTCTGGGTAGAAGAAGGCTGGATCTTGTTCCATTTCCACGTCTGATGGATGAAATGGTGTGCGAGATGGAGCCGTTCCAAAATCCACAAATTCTTCACTTGGACTCATGGCAGAGAAGTATGAAGGATCTTGAAAGTTGTATCGGTTGATGTGACCATTATTTTCATTGACTGCCAAAGTATTTGCGATAGCACCTTGTGGAATACCAGTCTGCTGTCTGTAGAGATCGTATTGATGACTTGGACCGGAAAGCGTTGGTTGATTTGATGAAGGTAATGTAGTGGGTGTAGATACGGCGGACGATCTTACGGAAGTTGGGACGAATTGTGATTTGGAAGAAGAGGGTGAGAGAGATGGTGAGTGATATGATACCGTTTCGTATTCGGTATAATCGATCAATTCGAGAGGATCTAAACAACTGACCTGAGGAGTGGAGGTTATTGATTCGGACTTCATGGTTGCGATAGAAGAGATGATCAGGTGGAGGAGGAGGAGGAAGTTGTTGATGGATTGATTGTTGCAGTGGTGAGTGAGTGATTGATTGATTGATCTGTTGGATTCGGATTCGATTTGACGACGATGATGTTGAAACGCTTTTTTCTTTTCTTTTCTTTTCTTTTCCTTTCCTTTCCTTTCCTAGAATTGATTTCTTTTCTTTCCTTGATTTGAAGATCTAAAATGTTATTGATGAATAAAAGGAATAAATTGATAAATTGATAAATGAAGATATTCTCGAAGAATGAATGGAAGGAAGTTTTTAAGAGTTGTACGAGTAAGAGTAATTGATGAAAAGAATCGGACTTGTTGCTTTCAAACACTAGACCACGGGTAGAAGCGCCCGGATAGGATAGGTGTCGGGGCGTAGGGTAGTGTGTGGTGGGTGGTGGGTGGTGTAGTGTACGGAGTGTAGCGGCGTAAAAACTTGATGGTATATTATCGGGATAAGAATAGTGTTTTTAGTGTTTTTAGTGAAGGAGGTGGGAGATTTAGGGAAGGATGCGTGAAGGATACGTGAAGGATAAGTGAAGGACAAGTGAAGGACAAGTGAAGAATGATGGTGGGAAACCCAGTAAAGGAGATTGAGCAAAGGATATCTAGTCAAGAATACCCGGTCAGGGATGCCTGGTCAAGAATACCGAGTGAAGCATGCAATAATACCATAAAGTTATGAAATGTCAAGGATGAATTCCTTTCTTCACTTCCCTTTTCTTGCTTCACTTCCCTTTCCTTTCTTCACTCACACTCACTTCCCTTTCTAAATTGTTGCCTTCCCTAGGTATCCTTTCTCGGGGAAGAATCATACCTCGATCCAAGTTGTCAGTGTCAGTGTCAGAGCCATTACCAGCACCAGCCAGTACCAGCCAGTACCAGCCAGTACCAGTCCCAATCCCCAAGTGGCTTTGATCAAAACGGGAGGCAGAAAATGAATTGAACGCGCGTTCATCATCCAGACATCTTGCTTTGATTGGTCCATAAACGTCAATTTATTTAAATAAACCTCGGGGATCGGGGTATCGGCTATTTTAGTATTTGTATCTCGATTGGGTAGTTTGGGGATTTGGGGTTGGAGATTCTCGATATGCAAAGTAGGTATATAATATGTATTGATGGATATGTATTGATGGATGTGTATTGATGGATCTTGTATTGTGTTGTGATGTATAGAGTCGAGACTCGAGAGGGAGTGAGGGTAGTGAGGATTGGTAGACACGCAACGTACATTCAAGGAGATAGCACCACCATTGTCACGGATTCGTACTCGTTGACGATGACTATCATATCATACCAGTCAGAGAACAGAATCACAATCAATCAATCGTTGGATATCCGATAATCTACATGAGTGAGGTGAGACTGGGTTGGCGCTCAAGTGAGAAAATCACATAGAACCACAGGAGGAATCCTCCAAGAATACCAGTCAGTACTTGATAATCCATAACGATCAGATATAAGGGGTACTTGAATACATCCAGTATCGAATCGATATAATCCAGTTGTCACAAGAGAATAATGCCTGTGTGTATAATATATAAACGAATCTAGTCCGTCAGATAACCACTACTCCTTCGAATTTGTGTGTATGTATGTATGTATGTGTATGGAGAGTTCAATCCCTATTCTCGATTACGATACTCGGTCTGAATGCATATGATGGAAGATATACATCGTACAGAGTGCATTGAGTCTTCGCATTGCATTCCTTACATATACGATACACACTTACAAATACGATATATCTAACAACTCCTCAAAACTTGCTAACCGCTATCCATATCACATCACACACATCACATCACATCCGATCCGTCAAATCCGTTCGTTCGATCTCATCTCATGCCATCCTATCCTATCCTGTCCTATCCTTCCCTTTCATAACCAATACTCAGATTCTCGTAACTTTTATACACAGCCCCATACCTTCATTCATCACCCCCAATCCCAAACACTACCCAAATAAACATTCAAGCCACCTCTCTACACATTCCATCACCATCTCCATCTCCATCTCCATCTCCCATCAACCTCCTCAGATCCTAGGCACACTACACAACACTACCGATACATCCTACCTCACATCCATCACATAAAGCCATCATTACGCCGACCAACGCGTGGCAACGTCTTTCCTTGCTGCGCCCAAGGATATATTTCCTCTTTAGTATTAATCACCACGATCAACCCCCTAGCACACCATGAAATAAATAAATGAATTAAATAAATGAATAGTTTATGCATGAATCGAATACTAGGCACAGGAGCAATTATCTCGCCCATCAAAAAAACATCCACGATCCATCATTCTAGATCCCACCTCTCTTCGGGACCGAAGGACCACACGTGATACCCTCTTCGCAAATTGGCAGTGTCGGGACCAAACACAATGTCCGAGTTCGTAGGGATGATTGGTGTCGAGAGTGAACGCACATGAGTAGTACAGGATCACTCAAACTTTTCTCTCTCTTCTTTTTCCCGTTATCGTTACCCTTCGTTTCACTAATCCTCCCCTCCCTCGCGAAAATTCCCCTTCCACCCAGGATGTAAAACATGCTCGAGACTACCACCAGGCGAGCCAGGTAATATTCCACTTGCAATCCACTTGCAATCCACTTGGCTTGGCTTTCCTTCCACATTGTGCGTTTTCTATCTGCCGATGTGAAAAGATAGAAAGATCATACCGGCGGTACATGTAGGTACCGGTACATAGATAGATGTACGGAGTAGGATACAAAAACACAAAAATTACAATTGCCGATGTGATGTAATATATGTATTTCAAGGTTGATAGATAGATGTATCGAAATCTAGACCTGACCGAGGTAGATATCTTCATCTAGATTCTGAATAGATTCTAGACCATCGTTCGTTTGGGCGCTCTCTCGCTATCTGAGTAGTTTACTTGCTGGGAGTCTGGGACCTACAAAAATACATACATATCTATCACCTACCTACTTTCGCTATTCTCCGTAATCCTATCTACAGTATCGCTATCTACAGTATCTCTATCATCTTCATCCACCTATCTAACCACAACGACTTTAAAGAGTCGCGGAAAAAAGAAGAAAAGTTTAGAAGCAAAAAGTGTCAAAAGAAGGAAAAAGGAAAAAGAGAATAACGGCCGAGAATTTACCCACGGCTTTGATGTATAATCGTCTGTACATCGTAGAATAACAAACCACTCACAGGGATTTTCCCCTTTAAAAAAATTTCGATTTTTGAAGTTTATTGAAATGAATGATTTCGGGAGAGAGGGAGGGGGAGATAATACAATATAGTATAGTATAGTTCCTAGAACATAGATATTCTTCATAGATACCGGTATGTATATCAATCTTGAATTCTAGATTCATTTCTCAGTGATGAGATCTCTAACGAGGATCTAGAACACCATACCATACACTATCTCTTTCTTTCCTTCTTTCTTTCTCTCTCTCTCTCCCCCTCAAGCCAACTTCCCAAGTCACAAGTGACACCTTGCACTAATGAATGAGTAAACGAACTCAACCCCTTAAACCAGATTCCCTTCACCTATCCGATCTATCCGTTCCTACCTATCCCAGATATCCCATAAATCTCTTCCAATTCCAGTCCTTGCCATCCTCGAACCCTCGAACCCTCGAATCCTAGAATCCCTCTCTCGGCACTTGCTTACCTGCTGCACTTGAATGGAATTCCATCTTTCGATTCACCTCGCCATACCCATCCTGTTCCATCCAATTTTCTACACATATACATATATACATACATATACACATATACATGCTTGGATCTAGTAGGATTGTATTGTGATTAGTCAGTCAGTCTAAGCCTTAAACTCTGCGTAAGTGTTTATTACGAATTTACGGAGGAGGGATAGATCATCGGAAATATCTTGCCGTATCGGGGATTTCTTTCTTTCTTTTCTTCTTCTTTTGCTACATGTGAGTGAGTATAGTATTGTGGTGGCGGTGCACAGACGCAATAGTAATGTAAAAGTAATAGTTCTGGTTCTGGTACTACTTGTACGGAGTACAGAGAGAAGATTTTCCTCGGCAGGGGTTAGGTGGGTCAGAGTGGAAGGTGGAAGGGGAGGGTGGAAGTGGAAGTGGAAGTGGAAGAGGAACTTCTCTGTACTATGTGCTGTATGCATATATGTTATATTATGTCATTCATGTGTGAGATTTACCTTTCGCTTCTCTTCCCTTGTTTTTCTTCTTGAGAATTGTCTTTTCTTCTTCTTTTTTTTGGATGGTTATGCTTATGCTTATGATTATGATTATGCTTGTGATAGATAAATTCGGTTATTCATTCCCTGACTGAGTATTTCGTTTCATACGTTTATACGTTTGGACTTGATAGTAAGTTCAAAACGGTGTGATATGGTGTAGATGTATAATTATATGTGTTAATATATCAACATACACACGACGTATCCCTTCTTCAAACTTCAAAGGGGGACCTCTCCAAAGTTCAAAGTCAGTGGGTGGGTAAATTCCGGTGGGGACCAGCGCAGCGGTAGATAGGTGGGTGGGGAAGCGAAGGAAAGGGAGGAGGGATTTCTCCCGCGTTGGTATCATTCCTCTGTGATTATTTTTGTGTGCGTTCTTCTGTCTACCCACCGTATAGTACCACGTACGCTATCTTCAACGATGTATCGCATCAAAATTCCATTCATCCCATGGTTCCATCATCCCCACTCCCTCCCCACTTTCTCCAGGGCTTAAACAACAATATCCTCGCTGAGCTGAAGCAAGCGAGCAAGAGGGCATTGTTTGAGATGAGACCAGATGAGACGAGACGAGGCAGACTGGTATCGAGATGGATGGGTTAGCGTAAGGGAAGGTAGATTGCGTGTTTTATCATTCGTTGTGTGTGATTGGTAGGTGGAGGGGCGGAGGAGAGGGGATTTAGTGGAGATTTCTCTTTTTCTTTCTGCCGTTTCTATTTTTAGGGGTGGAAATGAATGGGTGGACGGTGGATGCGTGGATTAGAGAGGCTTCATTCGAGCGATGAGTGATATGCTGGATGCTATATCGTTTATGCTATAGTTGGTATGATGTTTCAATGCTCTTTCCGTAAGGCTGATTGATGATGTTGTGATGCTGGTGTGCTTGTTGTCTAGGGCTGGGGTGTAGTGAATAAATGAATGCTATCTAAAATTTGGAATGTGAAATTGAAAATTGAAATTTCGATTTCGATTTCGATTTCGATACCGATAGTGGAGGAATCTGGATTTCTTTCTTTCTTTCTTTCTTTCTTTCTGGCAGGTTTGTTGTTGCTGTTTGACATGAATGTTTGTATGGTGGTTGAATATTTGAGTAGACTTAATTAGAGGGTGAAGCGACGGAAGCGGAATGTACAGACAGCATGTGGTCATGATATTGAAGTTGTTATCACAGCTATACGTGAAACTCAATGTTCATATGAGAATATAGACTACTACTATAGCAATCCTACTCATGGGATAGGTGTTGATGGATGTAGTGTATGAGATTATAGCAATAATCTTAGTATCTCGTAATGATCTTGAAGTCCTTACCATTAGACGAGGGATAAGAAGAGTTGGGCGGATTTTCCTTTTGTGTTTATACAATCAGAGATAAGGGCTTTAACACAACGTATATAGAGTATACCATAATTTACTCTCGTCCCTTTAGACTAGAGTCGATGTGTCTGGAGGTTATCTTGGATTTTATATCAAATATATATACTCGCTCGTTGACAAGTTGATATCGCTAACTCAAATCCTATCGAGAGAATTCCATCGAGAAGCTAAATGTAGTCTATAACTTTTTCATATTCAAAAAGAATATCTTAGGTGAGCTGATATAATCTGATTAGTTCAGTCTAGCGAAGAAGAGGAGATTGTAATGTATATAGATTAGAATCCGTATTGGATAATCGATTGATTAATCTTGATTCTAGCTGGTAAGAGTGAGATTCTATTTTTTTCATATTCATTTGTAGTAGTAGATTTTCATGATGTAGTAGTGTACTTGAATTAACTTTCGTATTATGGAAGGAAACTCCGACTACATTAAGGGGTGTAAATTGAGTTCTAGATGATGTGTGTATTACTCACTTGTACGCGAATAGACTTCATTGGTTTACTTTGAGGGATCAAATATTATGAACTATGAATATACTTGAGCCTATCAATAACTATAGGTATCAGACTGTGAGTTTGAGTCACTTGATTATTAGCTCCTATTTCATTTCGAGCCATCCAAATATGATCCGTCTAGTAATCTAATCATGTATTATCGTTGATGAATTTGTATGCCGACAACTGTCTCATAGCAGTATATATGAATGACATTCATTTCATCAGGTTAATATCACTCAAGCGCACCTAATACCTTCGTACCTTCTTTTAAAAATGTTGTGATATGTTTGCCAAAGAGTTCTTTCCTTCCCCTTATTACCAGTGGCGAGAGGAGAAAGTTCCTTTGCCTTGCACTGTGTTTCAATTCTGTAGCTGGTGTTATATGCATACTCGTTCGAATAGGAAAAAAATATGGTATCTAAAGCTACCTATTAATACTCGAGAAGAATATCATACATTTCAGAGTCTTCTAATCACGGCGGTATTGACTACACAATCTTCAACGAACTTGTGATTATGTAGTGACCCGAAAATTCTAAGTGCATTCTATGAATACAGTGAATCCGATCAATCATGACATATTGACCTCGCATTTTTGACTCATAGCATAAGTCTATGTTGGAGTTTTGTGTGCCTTCCATGTCTTCGAGTACATCAATCAACATTCTCCAGTATTGAGATCAGTGTTAGTCTTTGCTCTGCGAGTGTGTTTTCATCTTTCTGACTTCGGAATGGCAGTAACGGAGAAAATCAACCAAGAAAATGCAAAAATGACACCTTGAATCGAAGAAATTCTGGTGGAACTCAAAGCCTTGCACCATGACCATCTTGGTCTGACAGCAAAACAGACTCCAAGCCTACTTAACAAGAAAGATTCCACACGAGATGATTCCACGCGAGGTTTTCCCATTCCTAGTACAGAAATCATGGAAAAATATGAAAATGATCAAGTGAAGTGTAGAAGAAATGACGGAGTGGTTGAAATCTTCCCCAGGAGAATCGGCACTGTCGAGGAACAGGAAAGATGGTATTTATTAGTAGGCAATGCTTAGAGGTTCCTAAAGATGGTCGCCTCGAGCTTACTTTCTCAAAACGCTCACTTCTTTCATTGAGTTCGTAAGTACCAAAACTTTCCATTAGAAAATCCTCGTATTTTGTTTGAGAATTTGCGATTCTGTGGACATATTGCTGATGATATCATGCAGCGATACAGTCTTGAAGATGTTGGAGGGAATCCATAAAGAGGATAAAGATGTTCCGAAATGGTTCAATGTAGGGAGAAAAAGAATCATGGATATTGTTGACGATAATTTTACAAAGATTTATACTGTGTGAACAAAGTGAATGACTTCAATTCAATTACTATTGTAGTAAGGCTATTGTAACAAAGCTTTAAGCGAATAAAGAAAAGATTAGCTCTTTCAATAGGTTTATATAAGACCTAATACCTTCTGTATATAGTTAGTTTTATAGATAGAATACAATTAGATAATTAGGATCTACATATCATGGGTGCTATATCTTCCATATCCTTCTCATACAAATATATATTATTGACCCTAGTGCTTCAATATAATAGGAAATGGTAATATTGCAAGATCTCCGGTTGATCATAGCAGTCAAAGTCGAGACACTAGTTTTTCTAATAGTAGTACTCTATTACCAGAGGTATGTGTTGGTTTGAGAAGGATATGAATGATGAAGCACCTACGATTCGTAGGTCCTTAATGTCAATATTGCATTCTGTCTAGAGAGCTAGCTAGTACAGGGTATAGTAACCCTTATATAAGGGCTACTAGAAAGAGCTAGTCTCTTTCGTATTCGTTTAGAGCTATAATACAGTAGCTATTGAATTGAAGTTATTCATTATGTTGTACAGTATAGTAGCTATTGAATTGAAGTTATTCATTATGTTGTACAGTATGGCCTGGCCCTTGGCGAAGAACAATGTACGTAGTCACCCCAATCTTATCTTCCTCCATGCCACAAAGAAGAGCTTTCCGTTACTAACATCTCTTACAAGCTTAATCTGGGCACTGGAGATCAGGTTTAGATGTCTGGTGCGAGATTTGAATGTCTCTTCGTTTCGTCAAAACAGGGCATACCAAGCCCTGGCTCGGGATTTGAAGATCGTTATTCTCTGCATCTCACATTCTACGAAATCGTAACAATACTCGCTCAAAAGATCGAAACAATTACTTGGAGTTTCTGGAACAATGGTGTTCTACACACCGAAAGCAATGGTATCCCAAGTAGTCCTACATCGGTATTGGTAACAAAAAGCTACTGGAGAGCCCGTATCACGTAGGTAAATAAACTTATCCGGGTAGGCCTGGGGATAGGGGGAAATTCCTCTGCATTAGTGTCGCTTATGGTTCGTTACTTACATACTTTCGTAGTTATAAGCTACCAGTTTTCTAGCATATCCATCGATATCTGACAGCAAATATTGGACGCTATTGGAGATGAATCCCGCCACAATTGCTTACACAAGTCATAGTAGCCAAGATCTGAAAAGTGTTTCCGGGAATATGCTACTCTGTCTATTCTCCCATGCGTATCCCACCATATCCGAGACCGTAATTTGCTGGAAGAAAATACTGAAATATTTCGACCAACCTATTGGTGACAAGCTTCAGTTCTTATATCCGGATTATTGTGATAAGTTTCTTTCTAACGAAGAAGTTCTCTCGCGGTCCAAAAAGTATTCTTGGGCTATCTCCACGCCGAAGGACTTACGTAAGAGTGTATTACAGAACACCTTGCAGGTCCGGCAACTATTAGAGCAAGAAACGAGCGAAACTACGACTGAAGAAGAGTTGGGGGACTTCGAAGAGCACGTACCATGTTATGTAGCGAACTTCAAAATGTAGAAAACATCGCATCGAAATTGGTGGCCAAGCAGGAAGAAGCCACACATCTCAGAGATGGCGTAAGTTTCTCAGTTGCGAATGAAATATTTGATCTATTCTATGGACATAGTCCTGCTAATTGCCATTTCTATCTCAGCTCATCAGCACAAGTTTGCTGACGGAGACACGAAATTCTACTCGCTTCAACCAGAGCATCAAGCTTTTAACATGCATGGGCATTGTGTTCCTCGCTCATCATTTTGTTTGGTAAGATAAGCATTCTTGATATCCAATCTACTTCTGGGCTTACAATTTGTTAGTCTGCATGGAGTATCAATCCTTCCTTCAGCTACCTGAATCTTCTTCTCACAGTCAATCTCCTCGCCGCTGCCACTTACTTCATGAGTTTCAATGCGGATCTACTTGTACGCATATTCCGGGGCGTATATGATAAATTCATCAAAAATACACTGCAGGCAATGAGAGATGATGAAGATGCAAGATGGGCAACTAGAGCACAGGAATTGATAAAATACTTGGAGCGTTCAGAAGGATCCCAAAAGCCTTTGCATCGGATTTATTTTTCATACACATTAAGAAGGCTCTGTTGACTACCCTGGGTGAAGCTCTCTCGAAGAGGTTCTTCAAGTGTTTGATCTGAGGTTCCGTCCCCGTTGGATTTCTTTTGCTCTAGCCGGTGTCTTGAGGTTGGAGTGATGATCAACTTAAGTTGTATGGCAATACATATCTATTAACCCATCTTTCTAGATGTTAATTAGTCAATTTAATGCATGGAATTTACCTCGTTTTATCCATCAGGTTTGCATGTCAATTGAGCGAATACAATCGCGATTGGAGTTGCTTCGAGAAGAAATGCTTGACGTTACGAATTTTCTAATTTTTTTCTGCTACTTATAAGTGGGTTAGTTGCGGATTACTCAAACCAACACTATCGGCCTCCTATTCGACCTCGCCAAATTTTCGAAGCCGACTGTGGATACGAAAATCGCCCATTCATCCATTTCTGCTCGCGAACAACTATTTTTCCAGGTTTTTAGGCCGGATGATTCATCGAGAGACCTATATTGACCATTTGGTAATGAGGGCAATGGGTCGCATGACTTTTCATATTTATTCATAGTGTCATTAGTTGCCACTTTTATTTTATTTTCACAGATGAAGAATTACTCTTATTCTGGAACTTTTCTGCGGGAAAGTTAGAGAAAAAGGTATGCGGAGTAGTACTGGTTGTTTTATGCATTAACCTCACCTCGAATTAATTTGCTATTCACGAGGATCTATATCAGAAAATTTACAGACAGCAGCAATACACGTTTGTTTATCAGCATTCTTTTGGCAACAATTCGTTCATTTCTATTCTGTACGATCGTTTCTTCCCCTAGATCTTTAATTGAAGAGCCAGTCACTTGACACTTGCTTAATCTTTAATCATGGTTGTTCTACCCGATCCCGCTAGGTAAGACTTGTATCCATTTCTATTTGCACCCTCACCCCTCATCCCCATAACTTCATCACTAACCTCTCACTCAGCGACAAATGGCCCTTCTTCGGACATGTATACTTACGACAAGATTCCCTCCCTCCCACCCATAGTCCGCGCCGTCATAGGTCCCGCGATGAAACTCTGCGTCTCTGGAACCTTTATCTTCCTCTTGAGCCACAAAAAGACCAATTTAAGTTTGTTCTCTTCCTGCAACGTCTCATGACAATGGTCGAAGAGCATTATCGCAAGCGCCATCGTTCTGGAGATTGGAAAGTCTCAAAACCAATCGAAGATTGGTATCACCAAAGTATCCGAGATCTTTCCGGGTTAGGAATCGATGAGAATCTCATGAGTAGCGAGTGGAGAGAAGTAGTGCAGAAAGGAAATCGAGAAGCAGCGAAAAAAGAAAGAAAAGAGGTAAGAAAAGTACATTTGGAAAGGATGGAAAGAGAAGAGAGCTATCCTTATCATCGATATCGTGATGGGAGAAGAAGAAGTAGAAGAAATTCATATTATGAACCTTCCGATTCCTCCTCCGACGACGACTCATCAGATGGGATAGCAGTTTTCCATTATCACAAACACAAACCCTCCAAATCGAAATCTCCCACCAAGAAAAAGAAAAAGAAAAAGAACATCCAAAAGGAACACCTAAATGGGTAATTTGTCAGCGTCGCTCAAAACACTGTTCGCGCGAACATGAAATGGTTAAATGTAATGGACGCTGCGGTCTTACGGCCTGTGTGGAAGATGCCCATCGTTGTCATAAAATATACATCGACTACGAATGTACGGATCCTGATTGTGAAAAGTGTAAGAAAATAAAGGAGAAACAGGAGGCGTGGGAAAAGAAGGTGGCGAATCCTACGCATGAGGAGAAGTGGGTGGATTGTCCTTGTGAGAATCCGTGGTGTAGAAGGAAGGTTATGGAAATTAAGGAGATTCCGAAGCCGCCGAAGCCAAAATTTTATGCTACAAAGCCTTGAGGTGTGAAGAGAGTGTTTAAATTCTGTTATTATGTGGAGCCTGGTTTTTATGAATTATTTTTGGTAGATAGAGGGGCAGTGTCTGGATTGGGTTGAGTGAGTGTACATTCATAGAACGAGTCGATATGGATGATTGAATGTCCGTTGTTTGAATTCATATAAATGATTGAATAGTTATTGTATCAATCGACTTGAATGAAGAAGCGAAAAGTGCTAACTGTTTCATTTGAGAGCTGGGATACAATCGTTCACGTGTTGTAGTTTGAAATAAAAGTAGTGGTTTTTCTCACCGAGCGGTAGACATTGAGTAGTTTGGATATATGATGGAAGATTAAGTTTGTTGATACGGGAAGACAAATTCTAGCCCATTAATACAATTTAAATGCCTTCACGAGGGCCGAGAAACACAAATGGAAGACTTTCCGACAATCTAGATACATTGTATCTCCATGCTGCTCCATACCAACGTTCCTTTATGAGAAGCAGTGCCATCTAAGCCGAAGCTCAAGAATAGAGTAAAAGGCCAGTTTTTCCCTTCCTTGAGAATCTCAATCCAGGGATAAAAGTTTTTAGAATTCATTTTTCGCTACCTCTCTCCGTGATGAACCTTCGTTGAAAATGACTAACTGCTCCCTGGTCCGCTAGCTTTGATATAGAGTACTTAGGTGCTTGAAAGAATATCCCAGTAAGATGATAGTTTGACAATATGTTTAGAATATACCTAGTCAATTGATCTCGAGAATCTTTATCCGTGGCCAACCTCCGATGGTAGTATTGGCTGACTCTAAATCTATACGCCGCTTCAACATCGATATGACGTTATATTGTCCCACCACCTCTCATCACCCATCCACCCACCGATCCGCCAAAATAAACCCCACTACCCTTCAAACTACCCTCCACCTCTACCTCAAAACTTAAAATCCTTCACTCCTAAATAACTCATCTGCCTTCCTCAAGCCCTCTTGAATATCTTCTCTCGTCAACTGAAATTCTGTTCCCGCTAACGCTCTATCCACTCTCGCAATACTTTTCGTGGCTTCTTTCTCGTACAATCCTCCTAATCTCCACTTATCACGACATCGTTGACAAAATATCTGAACGGGTGGACGTCGCACAACGATGGTTCCTGGCGCGGGCTTACACGCAAAACTCATAGGAATGATTCTGTTGCGGTGGTATTGGGTGGGGTGGGTGGAACAGCTAAGCCAGGGAGTAGGATTTAGGGCGGTGGGAAGGTGGTGGCAGAGGTAGATGACCGGGTTGCACATTTTTGGTGTTTTATTGGAGTCTGCTGATTATTATGAGTCTGTTCGGCTTGGGTTTGAAGCTTTCGATGAATGTAGGAGTTGTTCTTGGAAAATTATTATTTTGTAATTCGTGTAGGAGGCATTTTTATAGATCTCTCATCATTTGTACCAAATGTTGAGATCAAACATACGGCATCATGCTTGAACAGTGATTGAACAACCGTAAGGAGATGTAACCAGGTATGCCGTATTCATATTGTAGACCCTATCCCTTAAATTTCTAGCCTTAGAGTCAACTACCACAGCATTTGTAGATGAAAATTAAATCACTGCAGAAAAAATTGAATCATCGAATCAAATTAAACGGCGCTCATCTCCACATTCGTAGACGTGAATGGAAGATTGATATTGGTTCGCAGATTCTGTTGGTAGAATTCACTAGAAACAAGCCAGATAGGTATGATCCAATAAATAAAGGTATCTTGATTACCTCGTGATCCCAAATGCTCTCATCTGATCTATTTGCAAATCACACAGCCACTACAAAAACTTTACAAAGACTCACAATGCCCAAATTCATACATTTCCTGCGCCACAACAACCAACCCCCCAATCGGTGCCCAGCTATAGAAACCCACCACAAAAAGCAGTATCCATCCCCAATAACTCCTTCTGGTATGTCTCTCGAATTCTGCGATGGGCAATTCGCTTGACTGTCCAGACATAGCCAATGAACAGTAAAGCTGATTTGGGTGGAGGTTGCTTGTCTCTTTTGCCAGCCGGTGAGAATGTAAATTATGATGTAGGGAGCTGCGACGGCGATGATGAGAATCAAGGAGACGAGGAAGAGAAAAATAGGTTCGAGATTTGTGGGGGGTAGACGAGTGAAAGGACCACGAGAGGGTATGCTGAGCATACATTTCTCTTTTTTTTGAGCTTGGATTTTCGAGGCCAGACGCTTGTCAATTTTGGCAGGGTCTTCAAAGATATATAGGAGATATTGTTTCAGTCTTTTAATCTTCGTAGATGGTGTACGAAGAGCGCTTTCTGGAGGCATGAGTGTGTATTCTGGTAGAGCTTCAGTCGTATCGACTTCGCAAGTGAATCGTCCTTCTGCATTCATGTTACCCCTGAACACGACAGCCGAGTTACCGAGCTTGCCTAATTCATCGTCGCTAGTTAAGTTTTCGCCTTTGCCCCCCTCTACTCGGTCGATAGATCCAACTACTCCATCCACAAGTGCACCACGATTGATTGCTTCATCCATGATCGATGAATGAACCAAGAAGACATTGTCGTATCGCTTACTGACTAAGCTTGCTAGCAGATTGATGATACTAGCAATCACATAAGGTATTACCGTCAACCCGAAGGCAGCGTATCCGTAAATATCTAACTGTGAACCCTTCGATTGATACAGTGTATAAGAACCTATACATGTTTGAGCAATGGACCATAGTACCTGCAAAGCAGAGAATTGTGAAGAAATGGCCATGGAGGAACCAAGACCAGAAGAAGTATGACGAGGATTAACAGCGATATGCGTGCCAATAGGCCCATCAGTAGAGCCAGTGGCATTGACGTTGACAGCATCTATGACCGTTCACAGAAGGGTCGCACTTATTGCTATGAGAATGACATTCGAATAGTAAATTGCCATTTTTGCGATCGCATGAAAATCATACTCTTGAAACTAGAAACACAACTATGGATTGGTACAAGACCGACAACATTTCTCCTGTAATGTGCAGTATTAGATCTGAATTTCCCCCGTGGATGCAGTGCCAACGATATGGGAGAATTAAGAAACCTAGCCTTACTTTCCGCGCGGAATGTTTTGCCTGACACCAATCACGAAGTATAGATAGATGGAGCCAAGATTCCGCGCTGCATTCCAGTAAGCACGGGGCAATTTGATAGGAGCGACAAGTGTAAAGCCACAATTCAGGCACCTCAGTTTTCTGCTATCATTCTCTATGTGAAATATGAGATACCGATGTGGTTGGCTGAAGATTTATATCATATTCGCCTTGAAAAAGAAACCTCCCACCAAACTTACTTTGCATGATGAGTGGCACAGATGTCGAGAAAGAAATCCGACAGAACGACAACTGCGAAAATACTGTCTACGATTCATTTCCCTACTCATGTATCTTCAGTGGTGACTGCTGTATTTCTCTCAACTGACTGCTCGTCTGTGAAGTGAAGTATTCAGGCAGATATTCGACGAGTCTTCCTCGATGCACGCTCTATTCTAAATTATCAGAAACAATCCTAAAATGAAGGTTATGCGCAGAGTTGTTAGGACTATAACCTTCGACTATCCTACTCCATTGTCAAGAGACGTTTGTATACCTAATTAGTCATATCTAAATGCAACTCCAACTCCGAAGTTTAATCGATGCTCATTTCGGATGACACACGGATGACACAATCTTGTTCTATGATTTGCAGCCCAAATGCAGCGTTCTCGCTTTGAGGTATCCGTTCTAAAATTTTCTTAGCCCCAGCTTGAGCATGCCACTTGAGGTGGGGTAAAAAACCAACGCGTTCTGATATTTCCCTTGAGAATATGGCCCCAGGGTAGGTGAAATTATAATCTCGTGCGTCTACAGTACATAATTTTTTTCTTCCTGCTGTAAAACTATGAGAACTTGCTCTCAGTCTAAAAGAACTCAAACTTTCATTCGCCCAAACCGGCGAGAAACGACGTGAATTGTGTATCGGCACCTGGATGTCTCGCAAATCTCTCTCGAAACCACGATTCCAGATCCTTAAATCTACAATGGCAGACTGGAATTGCTTCTGTACCCCAGGTAGCCATTCCAATTCCGTGCTCCGTCCAATTCTTTAATTTGTCATCTTTGTGAGATGCATTGAATAGATCGATCGAATCTCCTAATACACTAGTGCATCCAAAACAGGCACGAATATGATATGCATAAGAACAAACAGCAATTGCACTCTTTAGAATTCCTGGCATTGCAAGTGGATTGAGCAAAGGATCAGTATTAGATGAGCGATTCGAGAATTTAGTTTCTGCTAGCCGACAAATCTGACCAGCATTCCAAAGGGCAGTACGAGGATGTGGCGAAAACATCCAGCTACTTAGACGCGCTCTTGTTCTTTGTGTAGTCAAACCGGCTCCAGGACGACATTTGAAACAACATCCTTGTCGTTGTAAGAGCTTTAGGGGCGCATGAACTGTGAGGGCCGATATATGCCATAGTATGAGGTTCAGTTGTGGAAATATGCGATCATCATTGGACTCAGTAGAGTTGATCTCTGGGTGCAATTGAGCGTGATCTTCCATTCTTGTACGCCAAAGATTGAGTTGAGAGCCCCATCGATGTACTGGATCGCTTCTTTTTGAATCCGTTATCAGCTCATCTGAATCACAACAGCAGAAAGCTTCGCGAGCCGTTTCCCAAGTACCAATCTGCAGGGAACAAAGTCCGAGATGATAGTCATTATCAGTGAGATGATACGAGACTGACTGGTTTTCGCTAGCATCAATAAGATCGCGCATGAGAAAGCAGAACCGGGCTTTCTCGCGACCTGCAGGTTCATACCACTGAAGTTTTCGTCTTTCTTCATCAGTTGCCACAGTCCATAGCTTTGTAGACTTTGGAAGGGGAATACTGATCTCCTGATAACGAACAGACGGTGGATAATCCATAAGGACGCTCAGATAAGCATCCACTCTCAGACTAGAAAATGAAAGTCTAGTTGCTGTCAGAATATGGCGTAGACAGACTGAGGCAAAATTCATGAGGGTATGGGTACCTGTGAAGTTGTTCCTGAGCCAGTCAAAGATCAAATGGACAATCACCCAGCTCATAATATGTGTTCTGTCCATTGAAAATACCAGCATGACGACATGTTGAGATGAGTGCACCATTCAGATAAACAGCTCTCGATGACATTCCTCTGGTGGTCTATGAAGTTATCAGTAGTGAACGGAAAATGATGTGAAGTCTCACTTTTGGAAACATAACTCACCAAAGAGAAATTGTGTACACAACACACAAAAGAAGACCTTGGAGATTTTGGAGCGACGATTGATCAATCTCCTTGTCGAGTGAGAGATGAACTTCCTGTAAATCTAGATTAGAGATAGAAAAAATCGATCCTCAGAGGGTATACATTACCAATAGGGCAGCTAATATTGCTTCAAATACAATCGACGCAAGTTTTTCATGCTGCTGACTTCCATCCAACCAATTCGCAAGCATTAGCATGGAGCCTAGCAAGATCGGCGAAACACTTTGAGGATTGAATGTTGGAGCATGTAAAATGGGCCAGGATGGATGAATTTTGGTGAAATAGACTTCTAGAAGCTGGTTCAGATGACCTTGATCTTGACTCAGTGTTCTACGTAATTCTGATAAATGATCTTGCTCGGAGTGCTCAGAGGATAATGATGATAACGGTGATTGTGATGCAAATGTTGACCTTGTTCTGTCACTAGGGTCAGCATCATAATATGTTACATTCACCCGAGACTTGTGTGGATCATTGAGAGCATGCAGAGAGATGGAAGCATCGTCAGACAGAGGTATATGGAAAAAATCTGTAGGATTGCCTCCCGCGGACTGGTGTTGACCCCAAGAAAAGTCTCCGCTGGGAATATCCTCACTTTGAAACAATAGCTCGAGAGTCGCATCTGAATATGGAGGTAAAGATAACGTTGGGTTTTCAGATTGAAACCAGGGATGTGAAAGATCAGAGTGCTGATTCGAACTGTGAGCATTGACCACGCTGTTCCCGACAATAGCCTCATTCACGCCCACACCGTTGACTTCCGTACGATTAGTCCCACCATCAATCGATCGGCTACATTCTGTTGAAGTGTGAGTGCATGATCGACAAGGTGATGCGTCATCACACTTGAGCTTTCGCTCATGGCAGGATGTACATGCGACCATTGTGCGTTTCGCGCTTGAATTCTGAGCATGATGATCTAAATGCCTCTTCAATACGTCACTGAGTGGATTGTATGCAATGATCAGTCTATCTATTTGAATGATTGAAGGGCTAAATTACCTTCGCGCATATCGCCGACCACATACAGGACATTCATATTGAAGGTTAGGATCATGTAACTTCATGTGTCGAGTCAGGTGTTCTTTGCGACTGAAGAGCTTTCCGCATCCAGACTCTTTGCATTTGATACGTTTTGCTATTGGTTGTGTACGAGTTGGAGATAATGCATCTCTTGCTTGTGGGGTGACAAATGCAGTGGGAGAAGTCTGTGTCATCTTTTGTACACAAGTTATTGCCGGTGGATTGGAATAGATGTAGAGAAGTAAATGGGAAAGAACATAAAGTGTGAAGTTCAAAGAGGAGTAAGATATCCACCAATTGGTGAATGTCCCGACACGCACTGCTTATTAGCCAAGCTCAGTATTTGAATACGAAAGCGAGAGAACTGTGATATTCACAGTAGCAAGTATAAAACTCTGCATCGCGAAAGACCTAGCTGAGAAGAAATGCATCGATATGATGTTGCGATCATTTGAGATTTGATATACCAGGGTATCAAAGAAAGTATTAACTTGAGTTGTTAGGAGGAGTGTGATTGTTTGCTGAGGAAGACGCGTGTGAAGCCGGAAAGGTGCGTGTGATTATGTAAGCTATCGCCAGCCACACCTAACGTTCTCATCCCTCATTTGTGGCTGGCCCAAGCCCATTGTTGGATTAGAAATAACACAAAGGATCAGGATGATGATGTGCTTCTCGTGTACCTAGCTAGTAATAAGCCTACAGCCTCACATAATCTACGGTTCTTCCGATTCATTGGCCCACTCGCGACTTTGACTTTCTTAGGATTGCCAAGCGTTTGCTAGATGCTTCTTCCCGTGGGCCAAAGCAAGAGGTGAATAGCGGCCGGTGGCATGTGGGAGATCCCGCGAAATTGCGCAATGCTTATATATAAGTTGTGCCATCGGAATATGCTTACAAATAATAGCGATGTTGTGGACCGAATGTATTGTTGCCGTGAGGGCGGTTTGTCATCGGGCAGCTTATCCCTCATTGTACACCGAGATGAACGGTTTCTATAATAGCTATATAGTACCTATACAAGTCTATCACTTTCCAGACTAAACCATCATTCAGCACTTCATCTTAGTTTGTATCTCACTAGCAATAACACAAAGCACCACTATAAACCTTTTACATATCTACAAGATGTCTGGAATCACGAAAGTTGCGTTGGCAGGAGTAAGGAATTACCCATTTCCTCTGATGGGCCGTCCCTAACATCTATATAGGCTTCTGGCAATCTTGGTCCAGCAATCCTTGATCAGCTTATTAAGGCTGGCTTTCAAGTCACAGTACTTACTCGACAATCGAGCACTCACAAATTTCCATCACCTGTTACAGTCAAGGAAGTCGACTACGACTCCCTCGAATCACTCACCAATGCTCTTACAGGACAAGATGCTGTTGTATCCACTCTCGCCTCAGCTAGTTTAGACAAGCAGCTTCTTCTCGTTGAAGCAGCAGCTAAAGCTCATGTCAAGCGCTTCATTCCCTCTGAGTTTGGATCCAATACACCTAGAGAAAATACTGGAGCCTTGCCAGTTTTCCAACCTAAAATTGCTGTCCAAAATGCTCTCAAGAAGCAGGTTTCTAGCGAATTTTCATACACTCTTGTGGTAAATGGTGCATTTCTTGATTGGGGCTTGTCAGTTGGATTTGTTATGAGCGCAAAGGGAAAAAGCATCACACTTTATGATGGGGGTAATCGAACTTTCAGTACCACTACTCTTCCAGACATCGGACGAGCTGTAGTTGGTATACTCAAGCACCCAGAGGAGACAAAGAATCGCGCGGTCTATATTCAAAGTTACGCAACTACTCTCAAGAATCTCGCGGATATTGGAAAGAAGGTTTTAGGATCAGAAGGTTGGACTGAGAATATTGCGTCGGTTGATGACATCGTAGCGGGCGCATGGGAAGAATTGAAGAAACCACAGCCGGACCCACATAAATTCGCCATGCCATTCATTATTGCTTCAATCTGGGGCGAGGGATATGGATCGCACTTCGAGGCCTATCACAAATTGGACAATGATCTCTTGGGAATCAAACAATTGAGCGAGCATGAATTGGAAGAATTGATTAAGAGTTTGGCATAGATAGATTGAAACCTCATTGCTTCTGTACGTTTTGCAAATTCAAAAACTAGAAGCAACATAGTCTCATAATTCAACGCCGATTAAGTGAACCTCTTGAGGTACATGATCAATCATTTGTGAACGATACAATGTCTTTTGTAAATTTGCAAGCTCTTCATGAACCCATCGTCTAGAGCACGCTGACGACTCATAAATCTTTCGAAATTGTTTATCCTTGTTGTAGATGACAAAATGATTGTATCACGTAGTCACTCAATTCAATCTAGATTTACCGAACTCCAATGAGAGAATCAATGCATCCTATATGAGCCTGTATGATATCATGAGAGGAATCAAAAAGGCATCACGAAATCGGGAACTTCCATAGCCACACAATGAACGCTGCCCCAAGATACAGTCGGTATCAACCAAAATAACTAAACATAAGAATAACAAAAAGCACCTTTGATCGTCGAAATCAGACTACTAATTCTCTGTTTCGGTGCCAGAATTCCAAAATCAACCAGTGTACCAAGCGCAATATTCGCACTTGGGAGTACTAGAGACAACAATTAGCAAGGCTCCACTTTCTCCCCCCGCCCACTCAAAGCTTACTCACCGTTAAATGCCGTCCCCGTACCATAAACCATTTTCGTCCTGTTACCTGCATTTAAATTCTGCCACAAACCCCAGATTTTATCAACCATAGCATGATGTAACCAAAAAGCTGGGTCTACCGCACTCGCATACGTATCTAGACCCAATTCACCCATTGAGAAATGCCCCCCTGCGTGAACCCCATCTAGTGCTTCGAGATTCGTGTCGAATATTCCTAGATCCGGACTATTTTAATGAGTTTTACAACATCGGAAGGTTTGGTGTTGTTAGACCAAACCGTTGAAATATCGCGCGATAGACAGCGGGGATTGTATCCTAGACCGTGATCGGAACCATAGGGAGCGTAAGCGATGGGACCGAGATTAACAGTATAGTTATTTGAGAAAGAGCCGGATATACAGCCACCGCCGGTGGCAGGAGGGATGCCTAGAGTAATTCCAAATGCGGAGATAGTGGTACTGGTACGATTAGGTATGAAGCACCATTACTTCCCATGGATGTTGGAGAACCGTTGAAAACGCTAGATTCTCGCGGATCTTCCCAGGAGTGTCCAGTCTCAGTAGGGCTGGTATCCTTTGTGGCCGCATTCTTCACGGAGGGCTTTCTCGTAGAGATATACTAGGTAGCGATGGAAGTGGAGAAAGAGATCCTGTTTATCGTTAGAGATTGTTATTTCTGGCATCTGGATAAATAAAAAATTCGAGCAACTTGCCTCCACCGTTCCCGTGGCGTAAAATTCTGGCAATGATTCTTTCAGTGGATATTGGGTTACCTTGGAGAGTACTTATATTTTCAAATATGAAACCGCAATAAGATGGAGTATCTATGCCTGCGAGACAGGGCACGCGAGGAGTATGCCAGTCCCAATTTCTTTTTTTGTGCAAGTAAAAAGTTCTAACGACGTGATATAGATTTCGCTGTTTTTCATGAAAATGCATTGAAGAATGTAAGCAGTGTTTTGGCAGCGCAGGGCAAAATTAAGGGCATGTATCTACAGCCTTATTCCGTTCAGAACATCTAAAGTTCTGTTTGGGAGAAAATAGAGCATGGAAGCAAGTTTTTGTATGACTGGCAATGGACATCAATTTAATGGGTAAATAGCAGACATGCTACTAAGGATTGAAATGTAGCTTTCACTGTATTAGCATGCTTCAGAGCTACAGGCTTACGTTTGAATTTTAAACCCAATCATTGAGACACTATTGTCTGTGTTGACTCTGATATTGGATGTTTATTGTGAAAGTGAATGTGTACGATCATCAAGTGACACATCCATATGGATGCTGAATGACACCCATATATTAGGGTATTGAATTATACAGACAGCCATCTTCCCAGAAGGTTGACTAAGAAAAAGAAAGTTAACTTAAGATTCTTTATCCTTATTTCAAGATTGGTGTGTGCAGACAGACTATACAGTAAATTTAATCTTAAGAAACCTTCTTGATTGATAACCCCTTGGTCGTCGAACCTTCAGCCAACTATGCTGTTGCCCTACAAATTATAAAATACAACTCTCAGAACAATGAGATATTAGAGAACTAAAACCAATTTATATTAATCCTCGAAAAAGCAATTAGCTATCTGTTTATTCCCTATAGTTGATCTTTCTCTTTAGCATGCGTGTCATCCTTCGTTCAGTCTTCCCGGGTATCTTTAGGAATATGTATGAATACAATGCTAATAATGAGATCAGCATTTGCCAAACCGACTCCCAAGTATATGACATTATGATAACTTCTAAGAAGATTTTTCCTATTGTTGTTGATGTTCACTTCTATAGTTCAGGTGATACCCAAACCAGTGCTTAACCCATAACTAAGAAGTGTGCTTATCAAAAAATCTGCTATACCTTAATGCTTCATTGAAACAGTGTTATATACAATAATCTAAGCACTGGTGGTAATCAGATTAATGGTAAAAGCCGATATGAATATTGCGAGAAATGCTATTGCCCAGTAAGTGAGTTTTGCAAGAATGGTCGAGAGAAGGACGTTGATAATGATCATTGCCGAACATCCCAGGTCAATGATGATCTAAGCCAGTACCCGAGAAACTAGCCATACTGCAAGAAAAGAGGTTGCATATTCAATTAAAGTAAGTAGCAAGTATTGTATACTAGTAAGAATAAGACTATCTCCATGAATGTTTTGTATATATGCACTCATGTATCAAAAAAAGATACCCAGGCTTATGAAAGAGAAAACGGTCAATATCAAAAGTCCGAATGAGGGGGCCTTCCAGATGTTGAATGGTAAAATTGGTTCTTTGGCGACTTTCATTTCCCAGTATACGAATCCGGCAGAATGAATTACAGACACAAGAAGAAGTGCGATCTCGTAAGGACTGTCCCATCCAACGAGTGGTGCTTGACTATTAACAATTTAGCTTTTTCCGCATAATATAATGAGCTTCCACAGCATACTTCCAGACAAAATTAAAAAGGATGAGAGCAGCGACTCCCAGGTAAGAGCCAATCCAGTCTACGGTGCCCTTTGAATCGATGGGAATATCCGCACCAACAGCCATGATCGCAACTCCGTAAACAAGAAATCCGAGCAGACCACTAGTTTCTATTAGTAAATGAGACTCATGAAGTATACAAAAGCAGCTTACAGCATAAAGAAAAGCCATTTCCAATCAGAAAGCTGGATAATAACCGCACCAACAAGAGATCCACCAGCAGCGCCAAATAAAGCAAAACTCAAATTTCGCTTCTTTCCAGGTGGGAAGGTGATGCCTAGCAAAGCCACAAAATTTGGTATCATCAGACCACCGCCTATTCCACATAATCCTCTCACAATACACATCGATATCAAGTTATCAGAAAATCCACCGCACAATGCCCAGAGAGTCCACCAAACACAACCAGCGGTGAAGACGTTCTTGTGGCCATAGACTGCACCTAGACGACCTCCTTTGAAATAACGACATGTCAGCTATTCTCATGCCAATTGTTTGCATAATAATGCAATCTGATGGATGGTCTTACCAATCAAAACGAAAGTTCCTTGAGTTGAAGGGTACGAGGCAACTATTCAAACTGACTGCGCCTCTGTTGCTCCCAATGCTGCCCCGATAGCAAAACTAGAATTAATACCGGCTCCCAGAGGGATCATTTGAACTAGTTGGGTTAAGGTGATAAAAACCATGAAGACGTTCTGTTTTAGCAGACTGGACATTTCGATTTTTGGTGGGGTACTACTACCATTTTCGAGAAATGCATCACTCGAAGGAGAAACAGTGTAGCTTTCCTTGTTGTGATCCTCTTCTGAAGCAGGTGGTGGACGGGAGGACATCATGATGGTATCCTCGCCGGCAGGGCGCTCAATAATTGGTGAAGTGTTGTGGTCCATTAAAGAATAGAAAAGTTGGCAAACTCTTTGCACCGTAGTTTTAAGAATTCAGATCAGACAGTCGTTAAGAATAACTGTTAATTTGCACAGCATAGAGATGATGGACTTGGACTTCTCGAAATGTAGGCATATTTGCATATCTCACCTACCTATTCATAGCTAATGAATGTAGCTGCAGCAATACCTGATTAACTCAAACGAGAGATACAGATCCTTTCTAATGTTGAGCCGAGGGGGGTTTTTCACCATGATTTCAAACATTATTTGCGTGTTCTCACACTGTTGAATTCTGTTGGATGGTCTGGCGATATTTGGGATGCCGAGGACATTTCTAAGCTAACCTTGAATAGTTTTAGCGGCACTCCCTCGTTGATCCTCATGCCAAGCAATTTGTAGACATTCCTAAATAATTCAAACGGCATAGATTTCTGCATACACATCAGCATACATGGTGATCAGCTTGTCATGAATCGTACACGGCAAGAATGCAGTATGCCATCTCATCACGCTCACCGTGGGAGGAGACTCGAGTATCAACTCCAACTCCTTCAAATACAATATGACAAGATTTGTCTTGCAAAACGAGCAAACTTAAACACAACTGATTCCATTTCAATTTACTGATCAATCACCACTTTCTCAATATACCGCAAATCGCACTTTCAACATGACGACAGTCAAAGTTGACAGCCAACAGCGATATCATGACACGAACGCGGCTTATGTGCTACCAAAAGCAAATGAGTAGGCTCATGGTCTTCAATCACTGAAAGCTCTACTAATATCATTACCATAGTGTCATTGAGCAGGATCGGCTTGATACTCAGGCAACTGCCATTGTCGAGATGATTGGCGGCTTCCCTCTCTTAGCTCCATTACAAACACTAGATAATATTTACAAGGTGATTGAGTAAGTATAACTAACCAATTATTAAACTATGAATGTATCGATCGGGGGACTCATTTGCATGCTTCATAACCTATGCCCTAGTCACTACACAGTGTCACCAAGAATGTTTTGCAATTGCTGATTTTTGGGTGGTCTAGTGTTGGCTGTGGTACTGGTGTAGCGACCATTCAGATTGCTACAATCTTGCCATCTGCCACCATTTACGGTCTCGACCTAACCCCAGTCCCAGAGGAGTCACGAAAAATGGCACCGGGTAATGTGGTTTGGGCTCAAGGAAATGCATTGGATGTTGACTACAACCAACCTGACGATGGTATTCTAAGCCGCGAGATATTCAAACCGGAAGGATTGGATTATATCTTCGGTCGCATGCTTTTCTTAGGTATCAACAATTGGCCAAAGTACTTTTCAACCATGTCACATGCGTTGAGGTCTGGTGGTATAATTGAGCATCAGGATTTAGACTGGAAATTTTATCGCGTCGGGACTGCAGATTGTGTGAGCGACGATTGGAAATGGCACAAAGCAATCTTATCCGGGGCTCAAAAGTCCGGATTATCGACAGTTTCGGGCTCTGGAGCAGCAGCACTAATGGGAGATAGTGGTTTGGAGGTGCTCAACGTCCAAAGTTTTGAGTTTTCATTCTCGGCGTCAAGCAAAACGCCCAAAAGTCAAGCAATGGCGAGTTATGTCCAAGCTAAATTGATACCACAGTATCCGGAGTTACTTCGCAAAATGCTTGGAGCTATTGACATAAGTGGAGATAAATTGGAGACATTGACCAGAGCATGTCTTCATGACATCAATTCTGAGGAGGGCTTGTACCAGAAGTATACCGTTACTATTGCAAGGAAGCCATAGTCATAGGATACTATGAGACATACAAATAGCTCTATAAACACTTTGTCCCCGTCGCGAATCAAGTTTTTGTGATGGAAGTTAAATTCTAATTGTCTTCAAGTTACTTGGCCATACAGCTACTAAATCCAAGTATGCATAGCTTGTAGTATTGTCACATGGGCTTCCCTCAAGAACAGTCAAGGCAAACCTTTTGTTTTTGGATACATCATACTTACATGGTGTATGAATTCGCACAACATTGGTGGTCAATTATTCACTGGACTTTAAATTTGGCTGAACTTTGAACGGAAGTATCTATACCCAATTAGTGCTTAGACTTTGGGCAGTATCGTTTCCGCACATTTCTGGTATTATCTTTCACCTCCAAATAAAATTTAGGGTTGCCTGGTCAGCTCGTGTGATAGTTCCTCTGGTGTCGGGTCATACTCTATCGAAATCCAAGCATCTCGGTCTTCATCAACATTGTAACCACTATCCAACCAAGTCTACCACAAAAAAAACCACTCTGATGACCCGATTACGGCTGGAGCCTCTTAATTGCATATCCGCTTAGCGCAGTTGTGGAACTGCAACTCTGATTAGGATCAATATAACTATTTAATTTAAGTTGAAATGATGAAGATGCGGTAATTGCTACAGCCCACCATGAACAAGATGCACCGTCAAATCTTGTTTACCTGAGATTTGAACAGATCAGAGAGAGTGCTATAGAAGTCACTAACTGCACTACGTTTGAAAAGTCACCTATTAGTCGATTCAATCAGTAGAGCATATGTGATCATCAAATAGGGCTGAGAGTGCGTGCGCGATTTCTAATGCATATAGCATGTCTCGTCCATGCAAAGTATCGGAGTACTGGCGCAAATAAGCTTGCATTGTCATTCTCGAGGAGGCTCAATTCTCGGCACCTACCGAGTCCATTGCCTGAACGCTGTCTGAGATCTATCTTTAGTCCCTTGTTTTACCCAGAACTTGTACCTAACTTCTAAGCTTTGACAGAAATATAGACACTCATGCCTTCGATCAGACCTCATGATATTAAAGATGCCACTGGAAGCCATCAAGCAATGATCGGCAACGTGGCATCGATGAAAATGACACCTTCGCACTTCGACCAGTGGATGGATTGTTTGAAGGATCTCATCTCACTCTTGGCCGAGTATCTTCGGTTTTCCATATGCGACGCGTACTCTTTTCTGTACTTGCTAATCTTACACTTGCAAATTATTCTTTCGTGCTAGTTCCTGAGCCTTTCAAACCCGAAGTTAAATCTCATACGCGAACTTTTCGGGTGAGGCTCAATTGTCTGGGTATCAGCTCAAATTTGTACCCTGGAATGGGGAAGATTTGAGTGCATTGATTCAAACCGGTTGTTTCCCAGTGCGAAATTGCTTGATAGTGAAAATGATGGGGTTTTGGTAAGCGATCAAAACTATCATCTTACCCATACGGGCCCGAAATCTTCCAGTGCAATAGATGAGAAAGCTGCACAGGTATTGCCACTTAAAATTGATCTGTCTTTGGATCTTTCGGCGCAGTAATAAAATACACTGAGGCTTTTACCTTTACACTCTTGATTGGCGTTTGTCTCGCGCAGAAATTTTTATGACACATAATATATTTTGGCGTCTCTTCACATTGTTGCAATAGCTATCTGGTATGGTGACATTAGTTTCGACCCTATCAGACTCTTCGAGGCTCAAGTTAAGCATAGGCTGAGATTTCTTCAATGCATATGTCAGGGGCTCACAGACCTGTTGGCTAAGTTCTTACACCAAAAGAAACCATGGAGGCGTCAATTACCCTCTCTCAAAACATATTGAAGAATGCTACTCTCGTGAGGGGAGCAAATGCGATCATAGAATGGCACTCGGCTCGTGTGGGATGAAACTTACTATGAATATGGATCATGCTTACCTGTTTACTTAGGGTATATTGAATAACATTGCTAAAGTGCAACGTCTCTCGCCTCCCCGTGGAGTTCTGGTAATCAAAACGGGGGTTAAAAATAAGCTTACTCCCAGGATTATAGTGCCATCTTAAGCTTTCGAAAGATGTCTACGATATATTGCGTCTTAATTGAGACATACTACTGGCTAGGGCTGCAGTATCGACGAATCTTTTCGCCGGTTTGCGGGAGTCTACTACGATCAATGGATAGATCTACGAGTTCTCCCGTTAAGGCGGTGCTATCTGCTTGATTTTTCAGCCAAGTCAATGTTGTGTTTAGGGAGGCATTCCTCTCTCTTCGACAAAATCAAAATAAGAACATGTGGTTGCACGTAACCGTCGTCAATGAAGGGGCTTACGCGAATATTTTATCAATCGTGCAAGACGAGGCTGGTAGACCAGTATAAGAACTGGACTCTATAAACTAGACTAGAATAACGTCAATCTTTAGCTCTTCTCTAACAAATATTTTCTCAATTTTGGTCTGACACTGCTTCACTTGGACCTAATTTCAACAACGATACTCCAATATTCAACCACCGAGTTTCCATAAAAACGCTCTGCAAGATGCTTGAATTGATCTTCTTCGTGGGGTTTTAGCTTCTACCCTAGCTTTTGCTTTGGTAAGTTTAATCAGAATCTGCAGCACGCGAGCTGAAGTTCCAATACCAGTGACAGTTCCGATTCAAACCAGAGTGAAGGAAAAGATCGACGAGAACGAGAATGTCTCAAAATATCAAGCTTTGAGAAATCTACGAGATCAACATGAAGTGGCCGCCGCTATGTCAAGACTAGTTGATGAGGACGGTGCAGGAGCTTGGCCACCAAATGCAAATCATGATTCGTGGCCTATGGCTCTTCATCCACACAAAGAAATTTACTTCCAACTCATCCCTCTTCTGTCCGCGGCTCCGCCCTCGTTAGATAATGATGAAAACAATGAAAGATCCGGAAAATATTGATCTATGATGCGGAAGTCATTGATGGAGCGGATAAATATTCGCCAAGTTGTGGCCATTATGGCTGCAGTTGAAGCTGGCAATTGGGATATCTTTCCCAGAGACGCATATAATGGGTTCTCTTGCTGCATTGCTGTCTGTCGTCATGCATACAGGTATGTTGTATTCTGTCAATAAGCGAATATGTACTAAGGGGAACTCAGATGGGCAACCATTCCTGTGGTCAAAGTAGCACAATTGGAGAAAATTGTCGAGTTCCCATATGAACTCAACGCACCGTGGTCATATCTTCAGCGGAATTTTGGTGTGGACGCCGATGCAGGAAACAATACATCCAATGTCTTACTAAACTTCAATACAAGAGGAGAAAGAATCTATAGGATCAACATTTGAATGTCCGATTCGATTCGATCATCTAAAGAAGTTTTCTTCCAAATGTTTTATGACCTTGAAATTGTTGTAAGTTCTATCCAACATATTATTTTCCCATGTAGTACTACTAACTATCCCAGGCTTTCTCCATTTACCACGAAATGGTTCTCTCAGTCCTAGCTTACAACTCCTCATCCCCTAGCACCTGCCTCCCCAACCTCTGTACCATCAACAAACGTCTCCGCGACCTCTTCCTCGTCTTCTACGAAAATCTCACTAAATTCCGCGTCTCTCACTCCGTCTGGCTTTCCTACGTTCAGGGATTCCAAGGATGGGGCGTTGGAAAAATCGTCAATGGGGAATATGTGAAATACGATGGACTTTCTGGAAATCATGTCTTGTTCTTCCAAGCTCTAGATGCGTTCTTGATAATGGATATATATTTGACAGATGAGAATATGGAGAGATATATACCGGTGAGACAGTGAGAATTGTGTTTGGTGCTTAAGAAATATAGTTTTGTGAGGGGGGTGAGGGAGATGGGAGAAAGGGAAATTGAAGAGGAGTTTGCGAAGATGGTGAATCAGCTGAAGGTGTGTATATTCCTTGTTCATTATCAATTTTCACCCAGTTCTTTCTACTTGTGGGATTCTGTGCTGATGTATCATCACTAGTTGTTTCGTGCCGCGCATCGCGCACGTGTAATGTCGTATCTCCAAGAGCCAGCTCCTGAACGTCTAGTAATGACAGCTGGCAAATCCGTTCTTGAAAACTCGAATACTAAGAGTTTGGATAATGCGTTGAAGCCTTTAGATGATATGCTAGCGGATAGGTTGAAAGAAACAGCGAATGTTGGAACTATAAGTGCTGGAGCTTGAGATCAGCATGCCATTAGGCCATCGTGGTATGATAGAAAGAGATTATGGATGGAAATATGGTAGAATTGAGAATGTATTTGAGAAAAGGTATAGTAAGATTAGACGGACAAATGCGGCAATGCAATAACTGGATTTGACTTATTTTCATCAGCTCTTGATATGATTCACTTGTTATGAGCTATTGTCAGCGCGTCTTTACAGGTGATTCTGCTTTCAAATAGTGATCGGCAGTAAGGAGTATGAGTTTGAACTGTTGAAGTAACATTATAGGAAACTTGGAGACTAATTATTTCATTCAAAATATAAGTAAAAAGTTCATTAAATCGTAACTACACTAGCATATATTGACAAATAACAACCCAAAGTGCTATTAACCTTGAATGAGTGGCATTATTAAAAAGAAAGTTGAAATCCGTAACCCATCCCTCATATCCAAATTTCCATCAATAGACGAAATTAAAGACGCGAGGTAGCAATACCGCTCAGCTCGCCTGGAGCATGATAGTTGGGTACTTTCATATCAAGTGCCTTACCACTATAACCGAGATCTTCGGCGACTAGCATAGAGCATTTCTCTCCAATGAGAAGAGCGGTTGAGACTGTCGCAAGTTAGTTGATGTTTACTTGGTCGGCTAGGTGGAGAGACATACAAGTGTTACATCCAACATTATCAGGACAGATAGAAAGATCAGCGACCTTGAGACCCTTGACGCCATGAACATTAAGACGTGCATCAAGAACACCATGTTTGACAATGGAGTTTCCTTCACGGGGTGCCATGGAACATGTCTAAATTTGTGTTAGGTAAATGCTCACACAGCACCTTACGGGTAGTGACTTACACCAAGTGAATGCCAAGTTGTCTCTACATGTCTCTTTACCCATTCTTCAATATGCTCGATATCTTTAGTGCTGTACTTGAGATCTTCTTGGAGATCTCGCTTGTTACTGTTGAGATATGAAATTTGCGGTGGCTTTCCTGGTTCCACAGGCATTGCCCACTATCTTTCGTCAGCTTTCGAATGTCTAAGGCCATAGGCATTAAGTATGGAGAATTAGACTTACAGAACCGTGTTGGATACCCGCAGTAACATTGCCCGGGAGAGCATACGAATTGGTCGTCATCAAGTCCATATCCTTGGCTCTGGCTGGTGAGTCATATGCGTAGAATGGATGCATGTTCTGTACTTCTCCTGCGTAGGCGTCCATACGACGGGCAGTTTCACCTGTATTAGATCATTAGTATAGGGCTCTGTTGTTATAGACAGCTTTGATGGAGCAGAGAGACTTACGAGATTTGATGTATCCCCAAACCATCGGTGCCATGTCTCTTTCATCATTCATGAAGCCGGCATCAAAATCTGGTGCCTCATATGGATCTGGAGAAACGATATGAGTTTCACCACGAGAGAATGGATATTCGAGGAAGTGGAACATCGTGAAGAAGTTCCCAGGTGGCCTAACAATTAATTAGCCTCTTCTCGTGAGAATTAGAATTGCAAACTTACATCAACATGTGATCACCGAACCAGCCAGAAATGACCGAGTAGTGCATGACTGGCTTGTCAGGTTTGTTTTTGAAGTAGCTATCCCAACCTGATCTGAAATGAGGCGTTGGCCAACTATCCATCTCTTTCAATTCCTCTTCAGTTGGACGAACTTTGACACCGGCATCGATACCGTTCGTCGCAAGTGGGCCAGTACCCTTGAGATTCCATTCATCAAACACTGCCTTTTGAACTTCTGGAACACCTCTGGCAAAATCATCAAAACTTTCAGTTCCGGGCTTAGCACGGTAGACTGATAAGTATTAGCATGAATGGATGGTAATGAATATTCAGGCAAGAATAAATACCAGAGAATGTCAAATAATGATCTTGGAAATTCTGACCAACACCAGGTAGATCAACAACAGGCTTGACACCAACCTTTTCCAATTTCTTTGGGTCACCGACACCACTTCTTTGTAAAATCAACGGTGATGAGAGGGTGCCACCTGAGACAACGATTTGCTTTCGTGCACGGAAAGTGCGTGAACGTTGCTATTGGGGTCAAATGTCAGAAAGAGTCAATCAATTTGGACACAATAACTTACGTTTGGGTGAAGAGGCTTCGTTGGCACGGTTTTAACACCAACAGCTCGACCATTCTCGATGATAATCTTATCTACTTTGGTATTACACATGAGGTGAAGATTTGAATGTACGGATCTAGTGGAATGAACGTAGGCATGGGCGGCATCGCTACGTCGACCTGTCTTAACATGATGTAAGATTTATGATTCTTTTGGAAAAAAAGGTGTACTTACATCTCGATTGATCCATTTCAGCCAGTGTTCGGCGCCACTGATATTTTTGTAAGTATGGGAATAAAGTAATGCGAATATGACTTACTGTGCAGTAACCAGGTCTTGTAAATCATCAGTTGTTGGGATGCCTTGAGATTCGGCAGCACGTAGAAAGTCGTGAGTAATTGGATAGGTGTAGTTTCCAAATGATACTTTAATGGGTCCATCAAAGCCGTGAAGGTCCCTGAGAGTGTCAGAGATGTGAATTGGCAGGAGATATATCCACAAACCTGTTGTTGCATGCCCGCTGGTATGTCTCATGCTTTCTCATCAAAGGAATGAGTTCTTTTGTAGACCATCCTTTGGCCTGGAAGTCATCATAGTCGGAAGCAGACGCCCTTGTATACATCATGAAGTTTATAGAGGACCCTCCGCCGAGAATATGTGCACATGGAACAACAGCTTTGCGACCGGCGAGCCATTCTGAAGGTCGAGAATAGTAGAATGATGCTGTCTTACTATCGAGTTTCATGTTCTTGGGGTCTATAGCTATTAGTTAAATACAGTTGAAGGGATATAGCATAAGGCTTACAGATTCCAGGTCGAAATACCCATGGGTTGTTGAGATTACTCTCTCCAGCTTCAATGAGGAGAACTTGGAGATTGTGGTCGAGGTTTGCAAGTCTGCGGACCGTTCAGTACCGAGCTAATGAGCATGAATATCTGGAATAATATCGACATACCTGCCAGCAATCACACAACCGGTGCTTCCACCACCACAGACGATGATATCGAACTCATCTGGGATCGTCATTTTCAACGTCTTACTCAAATTTTGTCAATGTTGTATGTCAATGTTGTATGTCACTTGCAACTTGTAAAGCTGGTAAAGAATACCACAAAGATGAGGAAATACGCAACCTTTTCTACTCTCGAACTCTTATACCCCTTGGCTCCGGATGCCCGGATTAACAAAAGTAGAGGCTTCGTGTAGCATCAGCTATGTCTCCGCCTTGTATGTAGTAACATTGCATACTCATTCGGCGACCATTGGCCTCCTAAAGGTCCATGAACAGAGGGAGCAGCAAAATAAGAGCAACTAAGCCATAGCTGGTGTCGCTACCCCTCTTTTTGTCTTACCATGACGATGCCGGCTTGATGGACGACAATTGTGATTGATGCGCGAATTTGGGGATGCAGCTTGAGCACGCCCTCACAAGCAAGCACAAGGAGAGTAGGACACCATCGGACATTTGAGTAGAACGTTTAGAATCTAGGAAATGTGGTCGACGCGGGGAAATGCGATCTGCCGTCGTAATCAAAACACTTTAAGTTTACCCCGCAGTCCGAGTTCATATATGCGGGCAACATTTAGAGTTCCAATCAAGTACCTGGAGTAAAAAGAGAAGCCAATTGAGTTATAGCATAATCTGAACGTGACACAGCTTATGTTCTTGGTTTCCAATGCACTGCAGACTTCTGCCACATTGATGAACATATTACTAGCAAAACGAAAGACCGAAGTCAATTCCCGAGCTATTCCCGCCCTCCTTTTCCCCCTCAACACCGTGCACCTCCTATCGATCGTCGACAGCTCCTCAACTTCAAGCTGTTTTTGACAAGCCTTGCAGGATACTATTCACAAGGTGCATCGAAGTGCTCAAAGTGTTCGTCGAGCGGGATGTAGTCAAGGATCCAAGAAAAAAGTTGTTAAAAGACTTCGGTAAGGTTATACGAAGATACTCATCGTAGCGTGTTGCGGGGTCAATGCCGCTTTTAGTCTGGCATTTTTCCACCACTACTGTACCCCGGATCGCATGCCAGACTTTTCTAGCACTGGATCAAACGGCATAACATGAAAACAGGGTGCACTTTGGATCGGTGGCTTGTGTGTATTCAGGGTCAGATTGCCAATTCGGTCTTTTCTAGTCATAATAGGAAGAGCATTCATGCGAAGACGAGTCAAGTTTAGTCAGAACTCTATTCGACCTCCACGTTTTCTGGAGCTTCACGGTCTAGATTGTGAGAACAAACTAGTGGTGAAGGAGCTCTGGGCATGAATGAAACGCTATCTACGAACGATGTAGGGAAATCTAATCAATGGGCTCACTCGAGATTATTGGATTCCTGAGATCGCTTTTTATCTCTAACTTCATTCATAATTGATACATTCAGTGCCAAGGTCGGCATTCCTGCCTCAAGGTTTTGACCAACCAAAAGAGACAGGTAGTCCGGACTACTATGAAACATACACTCTCGCTTATATCTCATGATATTATAGCTCAATTAGAGTTGTAGAGTTGGAGTACGCCCCTTGATCCTCTTATGCTAAGGTCACTTGATTGCGATGTTTGGAACATGAAGTATGTCAATTTATTCTATTGGAAGTTTATCATTTTTGGGTTCCGATCATTTGCACATTTTGAGGGACTATAGAACATTGTTTTTGATCTCCAAGGAGGTTTATTTTATTTGGAATCATAAATGCTCGCACAAGTCGGATAGGTTTCAAACTTACTTATTTAGATGCTGTTGATCATTTGTGGAGGACTTTTGAAGGAGCAATAACGCCTGGAAAAGTCAAGTTGTTTCCCAACTTACTTTACTGCTTACTTGGCAATTTACCCCTCACTCCATCATTCACGTGATTCTTCACATGATGCTACAACAACCTGAAGGTTCTCCCTCTCTTCTCCTACCTGATCTTACCTCA